CTCTCTCTCTCTCTCTCTCTCTCTCTCTCTCTCTCTCTCTCTCTCTCTCTCTCTCTCTCTCTCTCTCTCTGTCTGTCTAACCCTCCCCTTTCCCCTTTCTATCTCTCTCCCTCTTGCTCTCGCCCCGCGCCCTTTTCCTTGCGCATCCCGTCCGGCAGAGGTTTCCGCGGAAGGCTCCTTCGCCGCGGACAGCGTTAGCAGCGTTACACCCTCGTCGGTCAACAAGCCCACTGTGAGCGTCGTCTGTCTCTCTCTCGCTCTAACCGGACTCCTCGCCCGATGGAGATGAGTCCGTCGCCGAGGTGGCTCGCGGTCCCGGCCTCCACGACGACCCTGCCGGTGTAGGCGCCCCGCCGCCGCCGCGGTGATTTACTTTACCCGCTAATCCCGCAAAGTGGATTGCGGATTGTCTTTTTACGCGGGGATGGTAATCTCATTATCGCCCTCCACCAGCGCGGCCAGCACGGCCAGGTGCGCGGTCGGGGCGCGTCTCGGCCTCCTTGTGCCGCAGCAGCCACCGCCTTGCCGCCCGCCAGACAACGGTGTTGCCGACGGGGCGCGGGGTGGGGGTGCTGTAGCCCCGCACTGTACCGGACAGCAGCCCGACGACGCCGTCATGCGGCCCGTCACGAGGGTGGCGCAAGCCGCGGGGGCCAAAGGGCGCCGTCGAACGCAAGTGGCGGCCCCCGCCGCTTTCCGAGCCATTTTCGTCTTTCCCCGCCTTGCTATACCCCGTCGTGTGTTGTGTCGCGGTGGCTTGGCGGCCCCTCTGAGGCGCAGTCGAGGGCTGCTGCCCCGATGCAGGGCCGTCGTTAGCAGCATCTCGGCCTCCAGGTGCACTTGTGCAAAGCGCCTTTTTATCCGCCCCCCCCCCCCTACGCCGCCCGCCCACGCTTATCCCATCAGGTAGCCTGTTGCGGCGCCTGAGTTATCGCCTATTAATAGGTTGCCTTGCGGGGCGGGGCGGGGCGGGGCGGGGCGGGGCTGGAGGGCGAGCTCGGCCCCCGATGAGTGAATGGGAGATAAGTTTAGCGGGCGAGGGCGCGGCGGCGCGGCGCGGTGTAGTGCCGGGGAATCGACGCGCCGTAGCCGTCGCCGCCTGCCCGCCCCGCTGACTGACTCGGACGGCTTCGGAGAACGCCACTCCGCCACGCCCACTCGGCCACTCGGCAGCGGCAGGAAAGAAAGAGAGAGAGAGAGAGCCCGGCATGTGCGCTAGTGTTGTCAACGCGGGTGCGCGTCCGGGGAGCAATGCCTGGCCGTGCAGCGCGGTATGATGCGCGCAGCCCCCCCCCCCCTTTTCCCCCCTTGGGATCACGATCACCCCTCCCCTGTCCCGCGGGCCGCTAATTTAAGCAGCTGCGGGATCGTCGCTGTGCCGAGTGGTCACCGCACCGCGCGGCCTTGCGCCCCGCCCCGCCCCGCCCCGCCCCGCCACGCCACGCCACGCAGGCCGGCTGCTCCTCTACCGCCCAGTGCCGCGTCTGCCCGCCGAGTGCCGGGACCGCCGGGCACGCTGTGCCGCACAGTGTGCCAGTAGGCCTGCAGGCCGCACGCCGTCGCCGCGTCGCCGCGGCCCGAGCCGCCCCCGGGCACGCGCGTGCCCTGCGTGATGGACTGGTGGCTGACCGCCGTGCGCCGCCCGCTGCTGCCCGTGCCCCCGCCTCCCGGCGCCCCCAGCGTGCCCGTCATCATCCCCATGGTGGTGCTGTCCTCCGCACCGCCCCCCGCGGCCGATGAGGCCGCGCCGGCGTCCGCGACGCCCGCCGCACCGCCCTCGGCCCCGGCCGCGGCCTCGGCGGCGCCCATGACGGCGTCCCTGGCCGCCGCCCCGGTCATCGGCGTCGCCGCCCTCGGCTTGGTCAGGGACTGGATCGCTTCAATGCTGAGCCGGCGCAAGAAAGGTGCGCTCCCGGAGGACGCCGTCGACGTCTGCCGTCCGTCCGCAAGTGTAAACGCGCCGAGTGTATTTTCGCGGAGAGCCGCCAGTTGGAAATAGGGCGCGTGTCAACAGGCGCGGCTACGCGGCGCGGCAACACCGTTGTTCGGGCGGGGCGGGGCGGGGCGGGGTGGGCGGAGTGCACTCGCACCAGTGACTCAGGGCAGTGCACGGCAGATAAGGCAGGGTCAGCGTGCCATCGCCTCTCGCTAAATTTAAAGACGTCACCGAGACCCCCTCTTGCGGCCGCGCGCCGCCAGCCCGCCAGCCCGCCAGTGCATCTTGCCCACGCCATGAACTGTGTCAAGGCGGCGACCGACTGTTCTACGATCACTACGACCATGCCGCGGCACTTTAGCAGCACCATTACGCTGCTGTCCCCCTGGGGCAGGGCGGCCAGGGCTGCAGGGTGGCCGGCCAGCCAGGACGCCGTTGTTGACGTCGGCATTGTTGCCACCCAACCCGCACCGCGTGCAGACAATGATGTTATTGTTGGCGGCGACCGCGCTGCCGTGTCTGCCGTGTCGCCGGTGGCGGTGTTGTGGCTGCCGAGTGCGCACTCGCTTCCAGTGTTGTTGTTGTCGTTGGCCCGGAGCAACAACATTTGTCCCGTTTTCGTTCGCTGTTTGTCGAGGATGTATGCAGCAGCACGTCGGGGGAGAGGAGTTCGCGCGTTTCGGGAAACTCGATGGGGGTTCTGTCGGAGCGTTGAGCCAATAAATTTATTCTTGCAACGCGCCGCTGAGGTCTCGTTTTGTTCTCTTTGGTTGGCATCGCGATTACTGCACCACAGAGTCTCGCTTCGCTTGGTTCACCTCGACTGGAGGCCGGCAGGACAAGAAATGCGCAGGAAAGGCGGCCGAGGGAAGGCCCCAAGGGAAGGCCCCAAGTCGCGGAGTGGGGTCACTGACTCACTCATCCCGCTCCGCTCCGCGCCGCGCATGCCGTCTGTCCTATCTTATCGGCCGGACGGAGCGGGCGGAGCGGACCCGGGATCGATCCCCGCGCGGGGCCAAAACGCCGACGCCTCCACCGTCCTGCTTGGAGCACTGCTCGGCCTTGCCGGCCTGGCTGGCCTTGCCCTGGCTGGCCTTGTCTAGGATGACCTTGGCCAGCTTGGTTGTTGCGCCCTGTCCATTCCCTGCTCCGCCCCTAGGCCATCCCAGATGGCGAGAGAGAGATTGCTGCCGAGTTTGACATTGTTGCTGGCCGCCTGGCCGTCTGGCCCGTCTGGTCTGCCGTCGCAGTCACTCCCATAGTGCGTCCGCGCGGCGGGCTTGTTCTTGTTATCGCCCGCGGCCGAGTAAAGTCGATTCTCTTTTGACGGCCCAGAATTATGATAAGCGCAGCAGCCCAGCCCCGCGCTCGTCAAGTAGTGCTGTTTTTTCGACGCCGCCGGTCGAGGCTGCCCTGTTTGTGTGTTGGTGTGTGTGTGTGTGCGTGTGCGCGGTGACACTGTGTCGGCTTGGGGTACATGGCGATGGCCGAGACGCGCGCCGTGTTGGTGTATGTTGATGACGCCATCCTGGTGACGTCGCGCAGGGTCCCACCGCCCCCGCCCCCCACTCCGACAAGAGCAGCCGGGCGGCTCTGGGCGGCTGGCCCGGGTCCAGGGGACCCACTAGCCACTCCACGCCACTCCACGCCACTCCACGCCGCGTCGCTCCACGAGAGCGAGTCCCCCTCAAAAATACACCGCTCAAGTAATAACAGTATAACAATGGCCAGGGTCTGCGTCAGCCTGGCGTCAGCCTGTCCGCGTTCCGCCCCGCCCCGCCCCGTCGGCTAGTCGCTGTCGCTGCCGTTGGCACCCGCGGCCCATGGCGCGGCCACGCTTTTGGCGCAGAGAGGCGGAAAGCAGATGGCCACACTGTTTGGCGGACGGGCCGGTGGAAGAAGCGTCGCGAATTTTATAGTGTAGTGGATAGCGGGCGTTGTGAAGCACCATCAGCAGGGTTTTGCTTGCGTTAAGTCAGGTTAGAAATCCGTTCGCTTAACGTTAACAAGAACGCACGCAGGGAAAAGAATGAGTTTTTAATTTTTAGTATTTGGCGCACTGTGTGACAGGGGCGCCGCCCCGCCTGCCTACTGCGTACTCTCTCCGCGAATGAAGCCACTGGGGCATCGGCTGCCCCCCACCCCGCCCCGCCCCGCCCCGCCCCGCCCCGCCCCGCCCCGCCTGGCCTGCCGCATGCAGGAAGTCGAGTTGTCGCCCTACTCTCACGGCCGGCGGCACGCCGGGCCGCTCTGATGCAGTCCATCAAGGTCTAGGTCCGCGATCTAGACGGGTGAGGGGGTGGGGCAGTGGGCAAAATGGAGCAGGCAAAAAGACATTCCGCCTGTAAATTTTTCGTTTTAGTTCGCTCGCTGAAATGGCGTGGGCGGGACGGGGACTGCGTTGGGCCGTGGCGACGCCGCGGACACATTTTACGGACTCGGCTGCCGGTTTCCGCGTGTGTGCCACGCACAGTGGGCTCATCCAGTCTCTCTCTCTCTCTCACTCTTAGGGTCACCCAGCGGTGTGAGAGAGACGGAGCGACACAGCACCCACTTGGCAACGCGCGTCGCCTGTTCTATACCGGCCGGTCGTCAGTTTCAATTACTCGGGCACTGCGCCCTGCGCGCCATCCTGCCACACACACGCATTTATCGGGACCGCCCCTCCCACAGCAGCCGACCCGCATTTTCCAATTATCGTTTGGTTTTTCTATTAGCCTGCTCGTGTCCGTGTCAGCCGGCCAGGAGTCGCGACTCCCGGACGGGCCGACGGGCGGCGTGGAGAAGCAAGGCGGTGCGCTCTCTTCGCGCGCACGGAACGTAAACAGGGGGACTTGACGGCGCCGAAGACGTAAAGCAGAAAGTGCGATCCAGACCGAAAGGGGGGGGGGATCCACCGGGTTTGGCGGTTTTACGAGCCGCGCTGAGGACCGCGTCGACGCTCCGGCGGCGTGGCGGCACCGAGTGGTACACAGCCTCAGCACTGGAAGGGGAAGGTGCCTCTCGACGGCGAACTTGTTGACGGCGTCGGCCAAACTGACAGTGTCCCTGTTTCTTGTTGCAGACTGGGAGCACGAGGGCGTGCGCCGGCAGCTGTCCGTGTCGTCCGACTCGAAGCTCCTGGACGAGGACATCCGCGAGGAGGCGCGCGTCATCCTGCGGCCCAAGAAGCCGCCGCGGCCCAAGTCGGAGGTGTTCCTCAACAAGCAGGCGCAGGACCCCGCCGGCCGCCGGAGGACCAAGCGCTTCTCCGCCTTCGGGGTGAGTTGCTTTCGTTCTGTGTGGAGGGTTAGGCCGTCGAGTCAAGCCGCCCTCGGCCGGAGCGGCAGCACGCAAGGCGCGCAGCCTGCATGCCGGCCGCAGACAGGCCTGCGTCGCGGGACTGCCTGCCCCCGGGTTCGCAGGCGCTCCCCGCGGAGCTCGCGGAGCGGGAGACGAGCCGCGGCCGCGTCCCGGACGGGGCGTCCCGGAGGAGGGAGGGGAGGGGAGGGGTGGGGCGGGCAGCGCACCGACGCCGTGACACGGACGGGACGGGGCTCCGCGGGGAACGTGCCAGCGCCAGCCTGATTCCCAACAGTGGCTCCGTCGCTCTGTCTCTCTCGCGCTCATGGCGCCTCCACTGCAGGTGCGTGGAAGACAGAGCGAGGAAGCACTGACTAGTCGGCCGCGGGAATTGAATGCCACGGCGTCGGGCCTGCGACACGGACGAGTGTGAGAGCGCGGCGTATTGTTGGATTTGTTGCTCGCCCTGCTCTGTTTATTTATGGGGGTCCCAGTCCCCAGTCCAGTCCCCCTCCGCGCCCCGCCGCGCGCGGCCCCTACACTCGACACGGTGGCGCCGTGCCGCCGCGTTCGCGTTATCGGCATTGCGCGGCCAAATTGAATGAACCCGGCGCCGCCCCAGCGTGCCGTGTCGCGCCGTGCCGTGCCGCCGCCGCCCCTGTCCCTGCTTTCCTGCTCGCAGCAGTCGCGCACATTCACTCCCGCGCGGCGCCACGCCACTTCCATATTCCATATTGGTATTTACAGTCACGCAACTTTTCGCGTTGGCCGCGCGCCCCGCGTTTTGTTTTTGTTTTGTTCCCGCCCCTTGTCCTCGCTCGGTCGTCGCTGTTTTTGTAACTGAAAATAACGTGCGATTGGCGGGATTACCGGACCGGCCCCCACGCCAGGAATGCGATGCAGTCCGCGCGAAGTCGAGTGGCGCTATCAATAATCCAGGGGCAGGGATAACGGCTGTTCGCTCTGCTCGAGCATGCTCCCCCTGACGAGCAGCCCCGGGGATCTGTACACGCGGGGGCGGGGCGGGGCGGGGCGGGGTGGAGCGGCCCCCAGAGGTGCGTTGATTAGCTTCTTTGTGGCGCAGGCAGGGCTTTGCTGTTCTGCCGTCCTGGCACGTCCAAGCCCTCTTTGCTAAGTGTGTGCGTGCGTTTGCGTGTTGCAGGGAGACTCTCCGTTCGGCAAGTCGGACGCGTACGTCAAGCTGGAGCAGCTGGGTGAGGGTTCCTACGCCACCGTCTTCAAGGGCTTCAGCAAGTAAGTACAGTGTGAACGCGAAAAAAAATCTTAACTTTTAAAAATGTATTCAAAATTATTTTTTTTCGAAAAATTTTTTCCCTTACCTTGACTTACTTTGTCTCATCCTGTGCAGCTTGACCAACCAAGTGGTGGCGCTGAAGGAGATCCGCCTGCAGGAGGAGGAGGGCGCCCCCTTCACGGCCATCCGGGAGGCGTCGCTCCTCAAGGACCTCAAGCACTCCAACATCGTCACCCTGCACGACATCGTGCACACGCGCCACACCCTCACCTTCGTGTTTGAGTATGTGGTGAGTGTCGCCCAAACTCGCGAAACGCGCTGTTTAAACTTGGGTCTGGAATGCGAAATTTGCACCGTGTTGGCACTGCGTTGGCACTGCGTTTGCTTGTTTGCCCGCAGCACACCGACCTGTCCCAGTACATGGAGCGGCACGCGGGCGGCCTGGAGAGGCACAACGTGCGCCTCTTCCTGTTCCAGCTGCTCCGGGGGCTGGCCTACTGCCACAAGCGGCGGGTGCTGCACCGCGACGTCAAGCCCCAGAACCTACTCATCAGTGAGGCGGGCGAGCTAAAACTGGCAGACTTTGGTATGACTCCTGCACCACATTTTTGTGTACCTTTTAATCCAATTTCTCATTTTCTTTGGTGTACACTTTCTCATCATCTTATTCCATTACACAGGTCTTGCACGTGCCAAATCGGTTCCGTCCCACACCTACTCTCACGAGGTGGTGACACTATGGTATAGGCCGCCTGATGTTTTATTAGGGAGCACAGAATATTCCACATCACTGGACATGTGGGGCGTAGGCTGCATATTTGTCGAGATGATTACTGGTATCCCTCTATTTCCTGGTGTACGTGACACGTATGATCAACTTGACAAAATATTTAGGGTAAGACCATTATAGTTTATTGTTTTGTGCTTATTATTCCTTCAGAAAAGTATACAAATTGGATTTATTGCTTGTTTTTATCCAGATATTAGGCACACCAACAGAGGACACTTGGCCGGGATCAACTCATCTGCCAGGCTATAATGTCAACAAATTATGTTTCTATCGACCGCAAAGACTGGGACTTGCCATTCCCCGACTGTATGACATCAAGGACGGTGAAAACATGGCAGCAGCTTTACTACAGGTATTTATTCATTGTTTATTCTTTCGATACATAAATTTGAAAAGTGTTTTCATGGTATATATTTTATTTTTTTCTCAAACAGTTAAATCCTGACAAGAGACTGGGAGCAGAGGATGCCTTGAAACACCGATACTTTACATCTTTGCCAAAGAAACTTTATGAACTGCCAGATGGTAATTTAAGCAAACTACCAACTTTCCTTTTGCCAGAATTATTCGTCCATGATATTTAACTTCTTTTTTTCCCTTTTGCAGAGGCGTCGGTACTCGATGTTGAAGGTGTCCATTTGTACCCTGAACTCCGGATGACTGGGAAGACCTGAGGGTCGGCTGGATTGCGGCGGCCGCCCTGGTACCCAAGATACCCAGCGTACTGATACCGAATACCTCACCTGGAGGATTAAGGATTCCAAGGCTCTCGTCTCGTCACGCGTGTTGCGAGCTCGCTGTCCTGTCCTTCAAGTGGTGCTCGTCTGTTGCGTTGTTCGTGTCGCTGTCGCACGGAATACCTGTCTGTCTGTTTCGTACGTTATGTAAATGTAGAGCAGACTGCCATCATGGTCCATTTGCTGCAATGGACAACTCATTGGTTGTGATACACTTTTGTTCATTGTCATACCACAAGGATAAGATGACTTGCTGGTATGCCTTTTTTGCCTATTCTATTATTGTTGTGGAGAAATGTGGCACTCTTTTATTGTATTAGGTAGACTTCATTTTCTCTTATTCAGGCTGTGTGTGATAAAAGTTTTATCCTAGTTATCTCTTAAATGGTTTAGACAAATGCGGCTCCTTGGTTTGGAGTTTCCTCTCTTCCCTGCCATGATTTTTGGTGGTACAAATATCACACAGCAGCTCCCAAAAACCACCTGTTACATCATTTTCATCTCTTTTCGACAACTTTTCGGTTCAAGTACATATAGTGACGTTGAGAAGGTCCAACTAAGCCACTGTGTTAAAGGCACATAAAATATAGATATCTGCCCATTGAAGTCAGGAAAAATGACAAATTTCATGTCCGTGTTTCCCTGACAAAGAAAAATTCAAAAAAAAAAAAAATGAAACTGATCTTTTATGTCATTTATATGAGATAGCAAAGAGTTAGTTCAATGTTGTCCCAGTTTGATTTTCCTTGAATAATCAACACTTCGGGATTATTGCCTCGTGCACAAGTAACTAAAGAGTAGTGATTTTTGAGTGAAATACTATGTACATGCAGTGTACAGTACTGTTAGTAGCTATCTCTTTTGATCAACTAGATTTTATATACCGTTTCGTATTGTATGAAATTGGTGCTTGTTGTATGTGAGCAGGTATTCTCCTTTTGACTCAGAAAATTAATCCTATTCACAGCTAGGTTTTTTGTGCACCAATTTGTCGTTGTTTTAATTTAATTCATATTTAACTGACCCAAGACAGTACAAATGTACTGTTTTTCTTCTTCAGACCATTAATTACATTTCAAACTAAATGTAAAAAACAAAAAAATGAAAAAAATATTTTTGTTTTCTTGTCATAGTCTTGTTCCTTCAAATTATCAATCATGAAACGCACACTCTTTCCTATAATTCTAGTTCGAAGCTTTCAGAAACATTTAAGTTGGTAATGTTTTGAATTTATACTGAATGTACTAAATCATGATGGAGGTGGTTTCGTTACATATGATAATTTCATTTTCTTTGCTTGTTGTCATTCCCAAACTCAAAAGAGGTATAATTTGCTCTCCTTTCCATTCTGTTGCTAATAATTATTATTTTCAATCACTCTATGGATATGAAGTTCAGTATGACACAGTGCCCACATGAAATGCATCTTCATGATAACTACATGTGCTGCACTCTAGTCCTGTGTTTCTCATGTGGGCATAATCATTCCAGAGTCCTCACTCCAGACTAGAGTGCTCAGCTGTAATATAACCATGTTCTACCAATTAATGTTGTGAATTAATTTGTCATTTACCAATAATGTAACTGTGATATGTTTGTCTCTCTCAATTCTTCATTCTTTGTTTGTATAGTATAAATTAATGCTCAGACTCCTTGCATTTTCTACATGTGTATTTTTTTAATCGCTTTGATTAATCAGACATTGTCTAGTTGTAGATGTAAAGTAAAAATTTTGGGCAGATAAATGTCGATTATTGACAAGAGGGGTGTATGTCATGTGTGATACACCACCAGCCATAAACTCTTGTTGACATTTTCCTTGCTGGTTAAAAATGTCTCATGCTTCTGGCAGGAAGTCTAAAAACCAGAATCACTTTTCAGATATGGAAAATCGGTAGTGAGTCTATTGATTGTTTTCATTCTATGTCCTCATTTCTTCCTAAGCATTGCTGCCTAGCATAGAAATATTTGCAGCAATTAATATGTGCCATTAGCTTGAGTAAGTCATTTGATATGTTACTATGTGCTTATTTTTAAAACTCTTTTAACTAAACGGCTCAACTTTAATCTCTACAGCTGTATGTTGCTAGCTACAATCCATGTATTGGCCAGCCAAACAGTGCAAATTGTTTCTTTAACATGCTAGCCAGGGATAAATTGTCCAAGTCTGTTTACTTAGATAATTTGTGAATGGGAAGAACAATGCATTTGGTTTAACCATTGTCTCAGGGCTTCACAGCCTCTGCCATGGTCTTATGAACAAAGAACTGACTGTGTGGATGTAGACTGTAAGATGTCTGATACAAAGATGTAGTCTGTTTAATTAGTGCATGGAGCGAATCAATTCTCTGTGTTAAGTAAGCTAAGAGAGAATAATTGTTGGGCTATGAGGGGTCATGATCATCCATTGCCAAAATTCTGTACTCTCAGATTTACATATATGTTTAAATTTTGTTGGTCTCTAATGTAATTGCAGCAATGGCAAGGTGGTTTAAGGCAGTTAGAAGTAATGAATCTGCCTTCAATACTTACATTGGAGCAGAAAGTCCAAACGAAATCCAAGACATATTGCTGTTTTCTATCTGCCTCTGCTTTGTTCTATGCATGTAGAAATTTAATTTTCTAGGCTGTTGTTATTATTATGGCCCCTAATCACGAACTTAAAATATGCTGAGGGGTAGCTCATTTAAGATTCTACTGTTCACACCGTCCTGAGTCACAATTTCGTCCACGCATTTGAATGGTCTTAAGAGGCATTTGTTATGGCTTTGTGAAGGCAGTTAGAATGAATCATCTCATTTTAGGAGAAGACTTGGGTTGCGTCGCAGCTTCTAGCAATTTGAAACCATGTCCCTTACTGCTCTCTGGTTACCCATAGTCTGGAACTTTTTTTTAAAAAAAAAGTTTACTAAGTAAAGTTATTTAGATGTTTGCTTCATGGCTCCTGCTCCTGCCAATCGATAAACTAAGAGCCATTGTAACAATGACACTATTGTTCTATTTATTGAACCAGTATGTACATATGTCAATGTAAATTTGTTTGGTGTAAAGATGTTTTTAAAAAAATCAACATTGTGTATTTATAGAAGACCACAAATATATTATATATAAATATGTCTATATATAAACATCTGTGTCGCATTTTTCATCTTCCTTTACTTCTCCTACATCATGATACATTCCATCCAACCGTCTAATACGTCTAAATAAGAGCCACAAAGAGCCTCCTTGGCCTTCCTATTTTGAAAATGGCGCGGTGCCTCACCGATCCAGGAAATTTTTCATGACACCTGGGAGTATGAGAAATTATCATTTACTTTCCACCGATCAACCAGATCAGGTTAGGCTGTCATGTTTTGCTCTTGTATAAGCACGTTACGTATGCACTGTCGCTTAATTAGCTACTGTCAGTAAATCGTAATGGATCATCTGAAATTAGTCAAATGTGAGATAAATGTTGTCGAGCTCATGAAGTTGGTGTCTTCCCCGTCTTGTGGAGCTACATCAATGTTTGTGGGCACCACCCGAGACAACTTTGAAGGGAAGACAGTGAAAAAGTTGATCTATGAAGCTTACGAGGGAATGGCCGAAAAGTCGATGAAAAAGCTGTGTGATGACATTCGCAGTCGGTGGAAAGTACACGGGATTGCCATTTGCCACAGACTTGGAGAGGTGGCTATAGAGGAGGCAAGCATAGCCATAGTTATTTCATCGGAACATCGGGCTGAATCTCTTCAAGCAGTTCAGTATGCCATTGATACTTTAAAGGCAGAGGTACCTATTTGGAAGAAAGAAGAATATGAAGGTTCAAATGAGTCAGCATGGAAGGAAAATAAAGAAAGTTCTTGGATCAAGACAGAACCTGCAGAATCAGTGGTATGTGATGACGATTCAGATGGCGATGTTGTAGATATTGTACCTCCAGATTTGATTCAAGTGAAAGCTGATGATGCAGAACTTAAGAGGAGGATGGAAGCATTTATGGACTTCAAAAGAAATCAAGTAAATTTTAGCAATATACGAGACTTTTGCGGTAATGCAAACTCTGAGTTAAGCTGTGCTAGAGTTGATGCTGTCGTTGTTCGTCAAAAGGGTTCTAAGGGTCATTTGCGAGTCCGAAGGGTTTTGAATAAGACTGGTCCTCAAACTCAAGGAATTGAGTTGTGGCCACAAGCTGCTGGTCCCTCTTCCACAACGCCCCTTATGCAGGGCAAAAAACAGAAGTTGGAGGTAGCTGCATCTGTAAATTCCACAAGTGATTGTCCTCCTGCTGTTGAAGAAAGACTGAGAAATGCCGAGTTACATCTAGGCTTGAATCAATGTCAAAACAATAGGCCAGTTCCGAAAGATGTTTATGCTAGACTAAAAGATTTAGAAGATCGAATTCTGTTCTTGGAAGGTGTATCTCCTGAATATTCCCATGTGCTGACTAAAGTTCCTAAAATTGAACCTGAAGATAAAAAGCCGAGGCTCTTTAAAAAGAGAGTTTATTCTGTCGATGATTTAGACAAAAAAATGAGAGATCTTGAAAATGTTATTAAAAATAATTCCCCTCAAAAATCTACCACTTAATTGCCAAGTTACGTTGTTTGTAAAGATTTTTTTGTTTTTCTTTTGTCTCAGGAAGTGCCTCAGTGACTGCATTTTCTTCAAAAGGACTTAACTCTGTCGAGCAAGGCCCAATGAAAGACAATTTGTGTAATGAATTTTCTTCTAGTGAAATGTTTCAAATTTTTTGTTAGTCTTCTAGCTGTTTAAATTTCCTCCAAATTTTATATTTTTTTATGCCCTACCAATTAACTTGTACAAATCGTATCATGCTGTTGAATAAAAAAGATGTACTTCATGTTTTTGTTGTTTTTTCTTGCTTATTTCCCTCAACCGTTATCACCAGAGCGCAACAAAAGAAGAACGTGCCTCTCGCTTCCGGTGTGGCATCGAACAGACGACACTTAAGACAGGTTAGGGTACTCGAGAGGAGGAAGAGAAGCAGGAGACCGCTGTAAGTCATTTTCTGAAACACGTCGCCGCCTTTTAAAACTAACCAACGCCAAGCGCCAAAAAAAAAATTATGGTCACTCTAGCTTGATAAGAAAAAGCTTGGGCCCGATGGGCCAAGATTGATTGTCTGGCGGCTAAACCTGTTACGTGGCCCCCACCGAAAAAAATATTCTTGAGCATAGAGACAGGTACACGTTTGCCTACGCCTTTGGTCGTCTTCCAGTGCCACCAGCACCACCACGCGATGGCCGCCGAGGGCAAGGAGCAGCCGGCAGTGCGACTGGCGCGCCTGCTGAAGGACAAGCTGGTGCCTCGCATGGTGTCGCGGGGCGTGTTTGGCTCCGCTTGGCAGGTGCAGGGTGTGGAGGCCGTGCCCATCGGCGGCCAGGGCGAGGATTACTGGTCCTCCACCACGCTGGCCACCACCTTGAAGCTCGCAGAGAAGAGCGGCAACGACAAGGAACGGTAATCTGGGTGCCATGTTGTGCAATGTTTGTCGCGGCCACTCAAAAACGTCATAAAGGGTCGGCTTAGCGCAACGGATTACCGGTCACTCGTTTTTGCCTCGCTCCGCGGCGCCCCGATAGCCTGCACATTTAGCGCCTGCGAGGTAGGCCGCCGCTAAGTCCCGCAACACACCAGTGTGGAGACGCTGGCCTACCTTGCCCCTGTCGGCAAGGGGCAAGGTAGGCCAGCCTCTGCACTCCGGCGTGTTGCGGAGGGATTGGTGGCCTACCTTGCAGGCGTTCAGAGTGAACGGTGCCTGCGGGTGCATGGCGCCTCTTCACACCGTTCCACTCAGCCGCAGTCTCATCGCAGGTCCGTGGCCCTTGTCGTCAAGTGCATGCTGCCGAGCGCCGAGTTCGACGTGTACTCGCTCTCGGCCGTGCTAGCGGACAATGAGGTAGCCATGTACAACAAGGTCTTCCCGTTCCTGGAGCGGCTCGGGGACGCCACCGACCTGTACCCCAAGTGAGTGTCGTCTCGCGGAGTCACGTCGGTGATGGTGCCACCGCACTGCCAGCCCCACCCTTCCTTTGCCAGGTGCTACTTCGCGGAGAGCGACGTCGAGGGCCTGCTCTCGCTCACCGTCATGCAGGACTTGAGGGCCGACGGCTTCTCCCTAGCCAAGGAGCGCGTCGCGCTGGACAAGAACCACGTGATGCTGGCTCTGCGCGCCGTCGGACGCCTACACGCCTTCTCGTACGCCGCCAAGGTGAGCGCCGAAGTCCCGGAGTCTAAATTCCTTTTGGGACTTTTTAAAGCCCCTGGCCAGAAGGGCGATGGCCATGATCCCTGATCGGACTGCCCCCGTCTCCCTGCAGGCGCGGTGCCGCCGGGAGTTCCTGGAGCACGTGGTGCCCCTGCTGAGCGAACCCACGTACACTCCGGCCTGGCACGCCAGGTGGAGCCCTATCATGGCGGCGACGATGCTGCGCGGCGTGGCCAGGGTGGAGGCGCGCCTCAAGGACCTCAAGGCCGTCAAGGACGAGGGCCAGCACCAGCGCCGCCTGGATGGGCTGGCCCGCATGCGCGCCGTGGCCCAGGACGCGTTCCCCGCCATGCAGGCCGCCGTCACCGCCCAGGAGCCCGCCGGCGTCATCGTGCACGGGGACTTCAGCCGCAACAACATGACGTTCCACTACGGGGAGGACGGCCTGCCCGACCAGGTGCGCTTCTTCGACTTCCAGACCTGCAGGTAGGACGTTGGGTAGGGCAGCGGGCAAAGCTTCAGTGGAACCTCTACCGCACTGTCTGTGTCCAGGTACTGCTCCCCATCCGTTGACCTGGCCTTCTTCATCTTCATGAACACGTCGCCCGCCCTCCGCGCGGAGCACTGGGATGCCCTCTTCGTCGAGTACTTCAGCAGCCTCAAAGCCACGCTGGACGGCCTCCTGGACGGCCACCCCGTCGACGAGGACTTCGGTTCGTTCTTTCGACGCGACCAAACTTTCCTGACCGGCGTGCCTGGCCTGGCCTCTACCTTGCCTCTGCTTGCAGTGATGCCCACGCTGCAGGGCGTGCGCGAGGACTTCCGCCGCCACGCCATCATGTCCTTCATCATCTGCAGCTTCTTCATGCCGCAGATGATGATGCGCAAGGAGGACATCGTCTCCATGCAGGAGGTGATGGAGACCGGCGGCAAGGTGGACAGCATGCTGAGGATGGGCGGCGAGGCCGCGACCGAGGTGATGGCAGGCATTGTCTTGGAGTTCCTGGACAGGGACCTGGTGCCCTGAGGGCCTTGCAGCCTTGCACCTCCCCATGGGCAAATCGGATGAAAATAAAAAGCAAAACCAGACACGCTAGAAGTTACTCGTCATTTGCCACGTTCCTTTTTCCTACTCAAGTGTCATAGAACACGAACTGGAGAATGCTGTATTTTGGCCATTCCAAACAGGCACTTGCCGGTGGGTGGTGTGCCAGAGAAAGGGTAGCAGTCGCGCGTTCCCTGCGCCCAGGGGTTGTTTGGTTGCCATGGCGGCGCGAACGAGGCCTGCACGGCCTGCCGCAGGGTGGTGGTGAGGTTGGCTTTTCAGTCCCTCAGTCTCGATCCTGGTTCGTGCGTCGTTGAATCGGCGAGCCTCGCCATGGCGGCCAAGAAGGGCGGGGCGGTGGCCCTGCAGCAAGACGTGACCACGGACGAGGAGTGGGAAGCGCTGCTGCGGCGCCACGGCCTGCTGCTCGTGGACGTGTACTCGGAGTGGTGCGGGCCGTGCGTCGGCATGCTGGCCAACCTCAAGAAGATCAAGGTGGAGCTGGGCGGCGACCTACTGCTGCTCGCCACGGCCAAGTCGGACACGATCGAGGCGCTGCACCGGCACCGGAACCACTCGGAGCCCGTGTGGATGCTCATCTCGGGCGGCAAGCTCATCAACCTCGTCTTCGGCGCCGACGCCCCGCGCATCGCGCGCCTCATCGCCCACGAGCTGGACAACGAGGTCAAGGTGAAGCACTCGCCGGCACGGCCCTCCCCGATCCACCCAACCGCACCAGCACCGAGGCAAGCACCCCCTACTTGTGAGCAGGTCGGGCGTAGACGAGGACGGCGTCCGGGAGTACGACGGGGAGCTAGCCGCCGAGACGGAGGACTACTTCCGAGTTCGGACCTCATGGTGGCGCGGAGGTAAGCACACCGAAGCGTCGTCGACGCCGCCCTCCACCTGCACGTTTCGCACGAATTGCACGGCACGCGGATCAACACCACGATGGCCACCTTTGCCCGATTCTGGCGGGACATAGTGAACGAAAACTCATTGATTTGGCCGCGTAGATCCAGCGCAACGAGGAGTGTCCGCGCACCTACATGTCGTGGGACCAGCTGACGCCTGAAGAGGAGGCGCGGCTGCAGCGCGCCGAGGAGAAGCGGATGCGCGCGCTGCAGGAGGAGGCCGAGCGCCAGGCACGCGCCCTGCAGCAGCAGCGCGCCGACAACTACGCCAAGCTGGCCGCCAAGCTCAACAGGTGCGCGCCATCGATTCGCGCGGCGGACTTGGCGGCGGGGCTTTGCTGGAGAGACTCCCTGCCGCAGGTACACCCTGGTGCTGCTGCTGCCGCACGCCGTGCCGGCCGAGGACGCGGCCGAGGCCGAGGGCGGCATCCTGGTCACGCTACGCGACGCCTGGACCGCGCACGGGCTGGACGAGCGGCGCCGCCTGTCGCTGACCGTGACGGCGGACATGGCCGACGAGGTGTTCTTCGAGTGCAAGCTGCCCCAGCACGAGGAGCTGCTCAAGGCCCTGGCCACGGGGCCCTGCCTCGCCATCCTGCTGCACAAGGAGCCCACGGTATGTAGCACGCCACGACCCGCACCTGGCTCCAAATCAACATCAATGAACCTCGAGTGGTCCACAGGAGATCGAGGTGTTCCCCGAGGCGGACGAAGGCGAGGCCGAGCCCGAGGACGGCGGCGAGGGCGGCGCGGCGGCCGACGCCGTCCCGGCGGAGCCCGCCGAGGATGCCGCCCCGAGCGACGACCCCAACGCCCCCGGCACGCCGCCGAAGCTGCAGCCCGTGGCGCAGCGAGTGCTGGTGGAGCCGGAGATGGGCGAGATCGAGGCGCTGGCGGCGCAGTCCCTGTACGGCTTCTACCCGGCGCAGGGACCCTCGCAGTGCCCGCTGCCGCAGCAGCAACAACAACAACAACAACCGGAAGAACAACAACAGCAGGACGATGGGCAGCAGGTGAGGAAAAAAATCAACCATTTACACCTACTCCCACTCCCATTCTGGTGGTTCTGACGCTTGCTGCGCAGTGGTCGCGCTTCCAGCCCGCCGCGGACAGTCCTGCCGCCTGCGTGCTCATGGCCTCGAGCGCGGGCCCCGCGCTGCCGGGGCTGTGGACGCCGCTCACGCCCGTCACCAAGGCCGCCGCCATGCAGACCCTGTTCCCGGACGACACTTTGCAGCTGACCAAGCCGCCGCCGCCGCCGTCTCTGCTGCCGCCGTCGCTGGTGTTCGTCTTCGCCGCGACGCGCGGCAAGGACGTGTTGGCCGCCGCGGGGCAGCACAACGGCGCCGTGGTGCGTTTCGAGTCCCGACCGCTTGCCTCGGCCTGCCTCCAATCCGCACCCATAACCATGTTTCATTTCCAGACCGGCTGCGGCTTCTTCACGGAGCAGCGCGAGCTCCTGGCCGCGGACGAGGCGGCGCTGGAGGCCCTGGGCCGCGAGAGGAAGGACAGCGACGTGCTGGCCGTGGCCCTGGCCTTGGAGGCCTCCGCCGCGGCCGAGGCCCTCACCGCCATGCAGCCCCTCTACGCCAGCGCGTCGGCCGAGGACGGCGTGCTGGACTGCGACGCCTACTTCCCCGGGCCGTTGCCCGCCGAGGGGGACGCCGACGACGCCAGCGCCAGCGGACTGCCGTGATTTCATGTGTCGGATCATTTTCGCAATAAAAGACCATATCCCCTAAAGCTGTTTATTTTTCTTTAGTCTCCAGCTCCTCCTCTGAATTATCGCAGCATTTGCTATCAGCGTATTGTGCACTACAGGCATAGTTTGAACGGCATCAGCTCGTGGTAGAAGCTATTAAGTACAACTTTTAAATGCAACTTTCAAATACCACCCGTATGTAGTTATTTTACTCACTGACGCGCTGAACAATTACTACAAACTTGTCCAGCGTATTGGCACTATCTTCTACAGTTGGAAGCAGCGCTAAAATTAATTTTAGGCATGAAAATATCTTGACAGAAAATAAATAATAAACGATTCTCTTTTCATCAACCTGACCGGCAGGCCTGGGAAAAATAGGAATGAGCCACCTCTCCCTCAGTCACTTCGAAACTCAGCATCTAACGCCGACCACCAAACTACTGTTAACATAACAGCTTAACTTCCGAACAGCATTTCGTTTCACTTCTGTCACGGCATCCAAGCCGCTGTCCACAATGTCCAAATCCGACTCTCGCAAGGCATCACCGCGGGAAACCAAAACACTCCAAAATAGTTATCTGCTCACACTACAGCACCGTGCCTTCTAAAACCGAACCAAAATTCTTCTAGTTGAGGCTAACGACAGGGATTCGTTCACACACAGTAAACTACATCAGCTACTAGCGAAAGGGAAATCAACACTGTGCACTTTGAAGACAGCGAATTATGTGATATCGAGCCGCTTGGCCGACAGCCGCCACTCGCAGCGAGTTGGCGTGAAGCGCGGGCAGCTCGTCTAGGCCTCGATCTTGTTCGCGGTCCGCGGCTGGAGCCCCACTCCTTGGGCGTCGCCGTGGCGTCGCCAGGTTCCACCTAGACGAGCGTGGCCCCGTTGGACGCCTTGCACGTCCTGGGCGTCTTGGACGAGGCGGCACCGCACTGCGTCACGCGGCACCTCGGGACGGCGCCGGCCACCTGCACAAAAAGACATTGGTTGAGCGGGATTCGAAGCTAGGCCTCCGGGCATCGATTTGCGCGCGGGGCACCTCCACCACTCACCTCGCACACCGTGTGGGCCCTGGCGATGACATGCCTGCTGGGCTGCTCCCGGACGTCGCGGAGGCTGTTGGAGCCCCGCCGCGCCCCCGCGCCGACCCCCACCAGGGGCCCCGCCCCCGCGCCCACCCCGGCCATCGCACCCGCGCCGCCCGCGCCGCCCGCGCCGAGCCCTCGCTGCTGCCAGCGGAACTCCATGGAGCACTGGTCGTAGTCAAACCTGGGGAAATAGCTTGAGTATGCGCACAGGACTACAGCGGCCAAAAAAAAATAAAAATTAAGCGAGCACCACAAAGTTTGGAAGGGTGAGAAGTGCGAGGGCTTCTCCGGGCGCAGCTGGTAAAGAATGTCGACAGACTCTTCGGGAGTCCCCGCAGTTTTGCGGAAGCGAGAGGCAAACACGCCGAAGCCTTTGTACAGTTTCGTATGGGACCCCGCAGTTTTTTAAACACACAAAATTTTTCGCACAATTTTTAACAAATTTTATACAAAGACGTTTAGGATGAAGCGATTCCGGGTCGACTCTCCGGAATGCTGGCGGTTACACTGTACACACCTGGGTGAGAAGCAGCACGACTGGCTGGACAGGATGGCCATGAAGCCGGCGCGGAACTTGCGGTTGTAGTAGGCGTAGAAGATGGGGTTGATGCACGAGTTGGAGGTGCCGAGCCACTGTGCGAACGGCATGAGCACGCCCACCACGTCCTGCTCCAGCTCGGTGACGGGCGGACCGAAGAACTGCATCCTGGACACCATGACGTACAGCGGCATCCAGGACAGCGCGAACGACACCACCACCACGAGCAGCATCTTGACGGCCTTCATCTTGGAGCGGTGCAGCATCAGCTGGCCGCAGACCTGCAGCAAAGCGGGGCAAAGCACCGCGCCCTTGGTGGATTGTCTGAGGCCTCGTCGCCGTAATGCGTTCGGAGGGCCGCTAATAGGAAAAATGTGCCGAGCCTGGTGGAGGGGCGGGCAAGGCCCCCGCACTGGCAAAGTTACTTCTTACTTATCGCCGGCTCGGCAGGCCAGGGCGACGCTTTGACGCCTCGCCTGCCCGCCTGTCGCGGATAGTAAGGCCAAACTTCCGTGCGTTACGCCAACGACGTCGTGGGGCCTATCCAAGGGACCTGTGCAGCGGGCTTTCTGTCTCTCTCGCACTCGTGGGGCGTACCGCAGGGCCGCGAGAGAGACAGAGCGACCCAGTAGTACGCACTGTTCGGAACCGGCTTGCGGGAAGAGGAGCGGGCCGCGTGTTGGAGTGGGACCATGACCTTAACGCCAAGGGGCGCCAAGGTCCCCGCCCCTGGACAGGACCCCCTGGACAGGACCCCCTGGACAGGACCCCCTGGACAGGACCCCCTGAACAGGACACCCTGGATGAGACACGCGCACAGGTTCCTCGACAAGTATGACCTTCTAAAGTTGCTAATCTGGTTGCGAGCGGAGACGGGGCGACGCTACGCCCGGCTGTCGGCCGGCAGGGAGACGGGGAGGCAGGGAGGCTCCAGAGTGCCACTCCTGCAGTAGCGTCAAAGTTCCGTTTTCTTTCAACACTGAAATAGTTTTATTGTGGTATGACTGTGGAAGACCTGCGCTTGTGAAAAGAGGTTCCGGTTAAGCTGCATGACAGCTGAAACAACTCGTTGTGTCTTATTTCAATTTTTGTCACCCCGTAGTTTGTTTAGTTTCTTGTGTTTTGCCGAGCCCTGCTGAGAAAGAGGGTCCTTTCCGCCGCCGTACCCAAAACGTCGCAGAAGGTCGCAGACGGATGCGGTGCGAGCCTGACCAGGCCTGGCGCAAGCGGCAAGCCCGAGAAGTATTGTGGTACCGTTTTGCCGCGGCTCCTCCAACAACTCTCCGGGGAGATTGATGTGGCTGGGGTCCAACAGGGCCTCGGCCGGGGCGGCCAGCGCGGCCGGCGCGGCCTCCAGGAGTCCTCCCCCGCATCCATCATGTGGGCGGGGAGCTCATGCAAATCAAAGGGTGCAGCGCGAGCGGCGCGGCCAAGTGCTCTGTCTCTCTCGCACACATGGGGCGTCCCGCAGCGTCCCGCAGCGTCCCGCAGGGTCGTGGGGGTGCGAGAGAGACAGCGCGACGAGACACCGTTCGACGTACCTGCGGCTCCCCGGGCAGCCGGCGGCGGCACACACGCCTCCAGATGAGCGCGTAGCACACCGAGATGCAGGCCAGCGGCAGCAGGTAGCACATGGACAGGTGCGCCAGCGCGAAGTACAGCGTCTGGGACAACTGCGACGGCCACACGTCCGTGCACACCTGCAGCACCTGTGGGGAGGCAAGTGAGAGTGAGAGAGTGAGGCGTCCTTGGCGTCGCAGTGCGTCGCACGTAGGGCGTCTTGCCAGCTTGCCACTGATTCTCCCATTCAGGCCGTTCCGGCCGCCCCCGCCCCTCCGCGGCGCGGCGGCCTTGGCCGTGACCTTGACGTCGCCCACGCGCCGAGCTAGGCCTGTGCGATTATTGTTCAAAATCGAAATCGACCGATTATTGAAATAATCGAAAAGCCGACCGATACGATGCTCGGTAATCGGCAATCGAAACAAGGCCGATTAATCGACGAAAACCGATTAATCGAATTATCAATAATCGAACATTTGCGATTAATCGCCCTCAATCAATTATTTCTTGCCCAATAAATTGAATAAAACTGAAAAGAAATAGAATTCGTAAAGCGTAAACATGGTCCACAGTTAAGGCTTTTCAAGTACAGTGCAAAGATTGTCAGGTCTTCTGTTAATAAACAACAATAAATGTAATCGATAACCGTTTCAAAATTATTAATCGGTTGAAAATCGGCCACCGATTTTTAATCGTTAAAAGTTCGATTACCGAGCATCGAATCGGTCCACAAAAATAATCGTCGATTACTAAAATAATCGGAAATCGATTTCGATTATTCGATTAATCGCACAGGCCTACGCCGAGCACCTGGACGCACTGTCTCTCTCGCACTCACGGGGCGCCGCGGAGGGTACCGAAGGGTGCGAGAGAGACAACTGCCGAGGCTACTGACCACGAGGCCCTCCCGGACGGGCGTGAGGTGGAAGACGACGGCCCAGGGCAGCGTGAGGGTGAGCGACGCGGCCCAGACGCAGCCGATGAGCAGGCGACAGGTGTGAGGGCTGAGCTGGCAGCGCATGGGGTAGCAGATGGCCAGGCACCGCTCCACGCTGATGCAGACCAGCGTGTTGATGGAGGCCGACACGGACACGCCCTGGAGGAAGGGCAGCGTCTTGCAGATGGCCGCGCCCAGCACCCACGCTGCAACAAGCAGTGCGTCAGGGAGCTCGAGTCGACCTCATGAGCACAACAACGGCAGTCCATTGGTACCGTCATGTTCTAGTCTCGGCGCCGCCGGGCAGACAGCCCCGTGAAGGCCGCCGTCCTGGAGGAGAAGAGGCGGCAGGGGGTCCCGGTGGTCCCGGCGCGGCCCCGCCACCGCGATGTGGGGCGTTAACCCAGATCGTGTGCGATCAGGCCAAATCGTTGAAGGGCAAATCGAACATCGCAGCCAGCAGTCCGCGGCCGCCGTGCCGCGCCACGCCACGCCGTGCCGTGCAGCGCCATTCCTGGCGCGTTAATGGGTGACAGCCCCCTGCCTGCCCGGCCCCTTCCTCCTTCCTCCCGAAATACTTGACTTCCTCTCCATGCAGCCCGGGGGCCGCCTCGCCGCGCCTCGCCGCGCCACGCCCCCGCCTCAAGTATCGACTGACCCCTTTACTTTGCAAACTCCAAACTTTGTTTGACAACATTCTCGATTCCGTGGACAGCGCGCAGCGGCGAGCAGCGCAGCAGGCCGAGGACAAGCAGCCCGGCGCAGCCCGGCGCAGCCCGGCGCAGCCCGGCGTGTGCTGACGATGCCGATGTACAATCACCATTCCCGTCCCGTCCCGACCGCCCCGTCCGAGTCCGAGGCGCGAAGCCTTGGAGGCTGCGAGGCTGCGAGGCTGCGAGGCTGCGAGGGCTGCGAGGCTGCGAGGCTGCGAGGCTGCGAGGCTGCGAGGCTGCGAGGCTGCGAGGCTGCGAGGCTGCGAGGCTGCGAGGGCTGCGAGGCTGCGAGGCTGCGAGGCTGCGAGGCTGCGAGGCTGCGAGGGCTGCGAGGCTGCGAGGCTGCGAGGCTGCGAGGCTGCGAGGCTGCGAGGCTGCGAGGCTGCGAGGCTGCGAGGCTGCGAGGGCTGCGAGGGCTGCGAGGGCTGCGAGGGCTGCGAGGGCTGCGAGGGCTGCGAGGGCTGCGAGGGCTGCGAGGGCTGCGAGGCGGCCGGACCCGCGGCCGGGCCAGCGCGCTCATTAGTCTCCGTGCACGAGTGACGTAACGCCGGGCCAATTGAAACCGAACGGCCACATCGCGTGCGTGCCGTCTGGAAATACGACCAAGACTCTAGGCGGCCAGTGTCGCCACATTACGAGGCGGCGGTGCACCGGTGTTGAAAGGGTTGCCAACCTCAGCCTGCCTTGTCTGCCTACCAGGCAGTATCGGTATTTTATCTCGAGAAGTTGCCGAGTACTCAGGCTGAGGTTGGCAACCCTTTCGACACTGGCGCATCGTGGGGCGTGTTTCGCCTACTTATGTGGCATCACTGGATCAGGGCTGGGTTCCTCCGAGTGTAGTGGCGCGTGGCGCGTGGCGACCGGCCTCGCGGTGCAGGGCTGGCAGTACAGTGCCGCAGCTCGCAGCTCGCAGCCAGCGGCAGTATAGTTGTTGCGGGAAAAGTAGTGCGAATAATGTCCGGACATCTCTTCCGCCCCAGTGGTCATCCGGACCACGCCGCCCCCGCCGCCCCCGCCGCCGCGCCGCCCTCGCCATCTTGGGGCTGCCATGACCCAGAGACCTTGGCGGCCTTGGCCGGGCGTGACGGACTGTCCGTCGCAGCGCCGGCAGCGCGCGGCTCCAAGGCGCGACCCAGACCCAGAAGGGAAGAGCCGCCTGCCCCGCGGAGCAGCGGAGCAGATGTTTCAAAGTAATACAATGTCTTGCCCGCGCCGCGCCGCCACGCCGCCACGCCGCCGCCTCGGACCGGGCCAAGGCCTTGCACCGGCCCCACCGCGATCGGGTCCTTGCATTCGGACTGCGCTTCGGGAAGCAGGAGGGGACACCTGGATGCCTCCGGCCAAGGTCCGCGCGTGCGTGGGAGTGGAACAGGTCTCTCGGCAACGAGATGGGCGACCCCCTTCTTCCGTCTTTGGGGGAAGAAGTTGGTGTCGGGTGGTGTGGCGATGCCAGGGCGATGCCAGGGCGATGCCGAGCGCCAACACAAGGGCGGCCGGATTTGCGGCAATCCGATTGGCGCGAGTTTTGGATGGGGTCCGTGTTTGCCGCCGCGATGCATGCGGCCTCTCGAGGCAGCGGCCCGGAAGCTGCAACCCGTCCGTCCACCAGGAACAACCAAACACAATTTTTGCAAAGTTTGCGACGATACTCACCCTGCAGCACGTTGCTGACCAGCGTGAAGGGGAGGCACAGGACGTTGACCAGCAGGTCCGCGATGGCCAGGTTGGCGATGAACAGGTTGGTGGTGGAGCGCATGCGCGGGAAGGACGCGACCACCATGACGACGCACACGTTGCCCAGGACGCCGATGATGAACACGGCCAGGTACGCGATGCAGATGACGACGGTGAGGCCGACGCTGTACTTGAGCTCGCCGACGATGTACACCTCCTCCTCGTCGTCAGCGTCTGTCGCGTTGAAGGACACGTTGAGGGCGGCCACCACATCCTCCACGGTCAGCACCGAGGCTGCCGCTATGGCCTCGGCGGCCATGGCCTCCACTTAGCCGCAGCGACCCGCGGCGGCCACGGCCACGACGGACGCGCGCCGCGGGCACGTCCCCGTCAGAGGCACCCTGTAAACAGCAGCGACTTAGAACACAGGTCTGCCCTTAGGAGTGGGGCCGGCACGCGGCACGGCCTGCTACCGGCTCCTCCCGGAAACTCGCAAACCGGGACGTGAGGTGACTGGCGGGTACCAACGCCCTCTCGCCTCGCCTGGCCTGCTGGGGCGCCGGGGTCGCCAGGACAGGGGTCGAAAAACCGGGCGGGGCCTGGCGGCCTGGCGGCCTGGCTCTGGAGTCTCCGGGGCTGAAAAGGGGTGCGCCGGATGTGACAAGCTCGGCAAGCTCGTCCCCCCCATCCCCGCGGCCCGCGTGTGGGTCTTGCCCGTCATGCCCGCGTTGCCACACGTTTCCGCCAGAGTGCGCTCGCAGACGAGTCCTTGTTATAAGACCCAACCGCTCGAGGAAAAGCGGCGCCCCGCCCCGCACCACCCCGCGCCACTCCGAGGAGTCCGTCTGCGCGCACGGCGGCCGGGATGTGGCGGGGTGTGGCGGCGCGGGGGCGTCCCGCCACGAAACCACTCGACAAGCGGATTCACTGACCTGATCGCCCGCTCGGCTCGTGAGCCCCAGCAACCCCGGCAGCGTGCCAGGGCCGTGCGGTGCCTCAAGGCTGCTCAAGGCTCAAGGCCAGCGCCCCGTTAACCGACCGTCAACAACTGGAGCAAAACGCTGCCGCTCACCGCGGCAGCCGCGCGAAGATAACTCCGCCGATGTGACGTGATTTCCGGACTCGCTCCCGAAGGCGCGCGAGGCGGGCGAGGCGGGCCTGGCCGAGTGAGCTGATGGCTCTTCGGCGTTCGGCCGTTCGGCGAGCGCGTCGAGTCGCACCTGGAGATTGTCATGCAGATTCATGATAATGCGCCCCCGTCCCGGCCCGCCCCGTCCCAGCCCCGGGGAGGCTTCATTTGCTCACTGTTACAACCTCTCATGTCGAACGGTGCTCAGGGGGAGGGGGTGAAAGTGAGCGTATTTGGGGAGGAGGTGGGGGCGGGGGGCGCGATGAACGCTTCACTGCGCGCTTAATATCCCATTCGGTTGTTGAGGACTGTCGCCGGGTTTACGAATGCACGCGACGAGGGGCGGGGCGCGGCACGGCAAAGCGTGGCAACGCGTGGCAGAGCGAGGGGGCGCGGCGTGACCGGCACGTTCCGAAGACCTAACCTAACCTAACCTACTAACCTAACCTTACCTTACCTAACCTAACCTAATGTTCCGAAGGAGCGTGTCGCCGCCCTGTCTCTCTCGCACTCGTAGGGCGTCCCATAGGGGTGCGAGAGAGACAGAGCGGCGGGATCGGTCGGCAGATCACTATCGTCCGCTGCGCTGCGCTGCGTCGCGCGGCGGGCGGGAACGGCGAGAACGTGGTAGCGCTGTTTACATCGCCTCATCCACGGCCGACTCGCGGGCCGACTACTTAGCGGCTCCCTCATTGTGCGGGGCCGGAAGAGAGACGCCAGCCGGGTATTTATACCTCTGCAAACAACACCGGCCTCGACTCGAATTCCTGAGTCCCTCTCGCGGAAACACGGAGACATTTTATTTCCTTTCGGTGAAATTTTAACAGAGACAAACGAACTCCGTGCGTGACAACAGGAGGCCGGCAAACGGTGGGAGGACCCACACACAGGCACTGTATTGAGATGGATTACCAAGCGACGGAATGGTTGAGGATGGCTGGCCGGCTGGCCAAAGTGCAACCGAAACAACAACAACAAGAAAAACAAACAACAATCACTCGCAGCACGTCTTTGAACCGAGCGTATGACGGGGCCCGGTTGCCTGCGCCACTGTTGGAAGCCGGCTTGGGACTGAACGAAGCGCCACCTGGCGTCTGCTCGGTCAAACAAACACAGTGACGAACGAGGGGGGGGGGAGATATTTCGGTAACGCGAGCGTCCTGCCTCCAACACTTTTCGGCTTATCAGCATTCGTTGTCTATGGCCCTTGTGCATTTTTGGCTGCAGAGCGAGAAGTTTCACTTTGAGATCCGTGAACCCCAGGGCATCGCGCTAAATCCCCTTTCACCGCCCCCTACTGTACTGACCAGATTATCGCAGATCACAGAAGGGGGGGGGGTAGATATAAAAAAAAGGTGCACTTTACCGCGCGGGCTCTTGCACATCGTGACGAGACAACGCCCAGCCAATGAGCACGCTGGCTGGGGGAGGGGCAGAAATGCCCACCACGTGGCAGGCATGGGGTCGCATCACCCCCCCCCCCCCCCCTTTCCATCCCCCCCCCTTCCCGTCTCGCGGACCGCATCATCTCCATTTTCGCTGTCATTTTTGCTCCGGAGAGCGAGCGGAGGCAGCAGGCAGCGCTTGAACCGAAACGAAGCAAATTGAAAAAGTCCCGTAGTGTGGCAGACAGCCAGCCAGCCAGGGGAGGTGAGCGAGCCGACAGGGATAAAAAGGAACAACGAACAAATACTCTTTCTTTAAAAAGGAATATCCCGAAATTCCGGTTTGAAAAACATGAAAATTGGATCAACAATATGGAGCAACACAGAAGAAACAAGGTTCTCGTCAAAAATGATTGGAGAACGTGCCTGCGGAGCCCCTGCGAACTGTGGGGTAGGCACCCCGCCGAACGCGGGTGCGCGCGCGCTGCCTGCCTGCCGGGCGCTCCGCGCTGCACAGCAGGTCGCCTGCCACGCCACTGCTTTGCGGTCGCCCCGGCAGCCAGCAGCACCAGCAGCGCGTCGGCAGTGCCAGTGGCGCGGCTGCGCGGCTGGGCGGCAGCGCCGAGCTCTTTATCGGAAATGATGTGAGTGTCGTGTCGGTCGTGTCGTCTCGCCGCCGCACAAACACCAGCCTGTCCCGCCATCGCTTGTCCAAACATCCAGCGGGGCGGTCCAGCGGGGATGCCGGAGCTGTCAGCATGCCCGATGTAACGAGCTTCTGGGCCCCGCCGCCCTCCCTCGCCGCCCCCAAGTTCAAGGCCACGGCCAGGCGGGCCGACCCGCTTCCCGCCACACTGCCTACCGGATTCCGGCTGGATTCCGGAGTCGGCCGTCCGATCGGTCACCAGCAGCAACACGGGGAGGATCGCCGGGGTGGGGAGGCGGGCCGCCACCGGGACAGCTGCTACGCCGAATAGCAGTGTCACCGTCGCCCCGCCACCGCGGCCTTCCACTTGTTTTTCTTGACCGCCTTTCCATTTATACGATTGGCGTGGAGGAACGACGTGCAGTTTCACTCACGGTCATGGCGACACTTATCGTCCCAGTTATTACAATAAGTCTCGCTCCCTCCTCCCCCTCGAGGCCCTGCCGGCCCTGCCGGCCCTGCCCCTGCACTGCCAAGAGCCCCGCCCGCTCCTGCGCCGCTGCACCAAAATGGATCCGGAATGGATTGAAATGGGATGCCTTGCATGGCATGCCCCGGCCCCGATGCTCCACTACGTCCATGACCCCCTGAGCGTCTGTCTGCCCGTCCGTCAGTCCGTCCGTCAGTCCGTGTGGCTGCGAGGGGGCCGGGCTGCCAGTAAAATCCAGGACAGGAATTGAAAGGGAGTTGGAAAACCAGACGAGAGTCACAAGGAATCATTTTCCAACGTTACAAAACTGAATAAAAATTAGAAACTGTGCATGGATTTGAACCCGCTGTCTCGATCCCAACAATCGACTACCTAGCGACCACGGCTGCAGAGACACTTGTTCCCGACCCCACACGCGTCGGCGCGCCGCACTGTACAACGCTGCTGCACTGCTATCTGATCTGGACCACACTAACAGACCGAAAGCCGATGGCCGGCCAAAGCGGATTACCTCGCCTGTCCGTCCGTCCGTCCGTCCGTCCGTCTGGCCGTGGCCTGCTCGTCGAGCTGCTCGTCGTGTCGTCGAGTCCGAGGCCCGGCGGCGCCGGCGGCCAAGGCCGGCCCAGCGCTCCTGCGGCCAAGGCCAGCCTAGCCCGGGCCAAGGCCAGCCGCGAGGTCAAGTTGGAAGTGGAGCGCGGACCGCGGACCGCGCCTCCCCCGGGGGCGATCACTGTGCACAACGACAACCGCGAAAAGCACCTCGACAGGAACACCGCCAGTGTGGTGCCCGTGATGACGCCGATGACACGCGCGGCGGCGCGACAGCGCGACACGGCCTGGACCGACACGTGCTGTAGGCAAGGGCACGGGGATGACGGCGGGCACGGCGGGCACGGCGGGGCCGAGGGCCGGCCGAGGGGATAGCCACCATCGGACGCGCGCAAACAGACAGGGCTGCCAGTGTGCCTGCCTGTCCAGTCCGGTCGAATCCGGCAGCCCGGCGAGCGGCCCCGTGCAGCTTGATTCGATATTCATGCCTGTCTTCCCCTGTCCGGCAGGGCATGGCCAGGCACGGCAGGCGACTGGATGCAACCACCGTCATGCCCTGGCCGATATGATGATGGATGGAAGCTAATATGTCACCACTAGATGACCCCCCCCCCCCACACACACACACACAGCCGTGTGGTTCGATCTGGCGGCATCTTGTGGCGTCTGCTTATCTTGCGCTCAAAGACGGCGGCCACGCTGGTGGCTGCATAGGCTGGCATAGGCCGCGGTAACGCAGATCCGATACTGCATGCGGGGCTTCATTAAAAGTCACTTAGACACGGCCTCGGCCCTGCGCGACGCGACGCGGGCGAGGGCGGCACGGCGCGGCACGGCACGGCGTCACCCCCGAAACACGATGGTGGGGCTCGGGGCAAGGCGGGGGCAAGGCGGGGGCAAGGCGGGGCAAGGCGGGGGCAAGGCGGGGGCAAGGCGGGGGCAAGGTGGGGGCAAGGCGGGGGCGGGCGGGCGTCCTTGTTTTTTCGTCCCACGTTGTCCGTGCAGCGTGCAGCATTTACGATGCTGCTGTGCTGTGGTATTGATGGGGCCGCGGCCGGGGCGCGGCGTTGTGTGGCAGCGCGGGGCGCGGCAGGACGGCGCGGGGCGGGGGCGGCGGGGGCGCCGGGCCTCCACTCAGGTTGATATTACAGTCCTCCAATCAAATGTCTCAGGGGGGACATTATTAGACAGGCAGGCGACGCTGCCCTGGTTTTGATGTTGTTGTTTGTTTTCGTGTCCCTTCGGCGGGGATCGAAGTTGTTGGAATCGTCGTAGGGACCGGCGCGGCGCGCGGCAGGACCCCCAGCGAGCGCGCGCGGCCTGCCCACCCGATAGCGCGGGCCACAAGGATCTGTCTTGTGTATTCGCGAAATACCCGCAGCGCTTCGCCGCTTCGCGTTCCGCGCAGCCCGTTGCCGGAGTATCTTGCCGCAAGTTTGCCACGACACGATGTGTGGTGGTGGGCCCGGGCCTGGCGGGCCTGGCGGCGCATCGAGGCTCGTCCTGCCGCCCTTCCTGGCTTCCGCGGCTCCGCGTGCAGGTCTTGCAGGCTGTCGTCGTTATAGCAAGCCTTGTGAAGCTCGTGCAACAACGTTCCGTGCCGGGAGCGGGCGCGGCGCGGGGCGCGACGACGCGAGGTGGCGATGTGAGCCAGCCTTTGCCCCTTTGCTGATTTCGCGTTGCCTCCAATTACAAGTTGATGAAGGCGGTGTTGGTGGCGGCGCCACTCCGCTCAAAGTAGTGCCTCGCCGCCGCCGCCGCCACCACCACCAACGCCACGCCGCACGGGGGGGACGGCGGCGACACGGCGGCGGCGACACGGCGCCAGACACGAGCGCGTTTTACAAGCTAGACTAGTGCGACAGGCACCCCACTTCATACCGCCGCTCTGGCCGCCCGTCGCCCCCACCGGTGCAGCGCGGGGGCGCGGCAGTGCGGGGAGAGAGGACGCGGGGGCGCGGGGACGACGGGCGGGGGCGCGGGGCGGGGATGCGACCCACCGCGTCTCCGCGTTCTCAGTATGAGATTATTGCGCAGCGGCAATCCAAACAAGTCGCCCCTCTCCCTCCCCCTGCGCGTGTTTGTCTGTCTTTCTCCTGCAGGACTCGGCCGGGACCTATGGCGGGCTGGATTTTCGCGGAGGGCGTCGAACCCTACCGTCGAGTGGAGGGAATCTATAACCTGTCCCCCTTCCCCTCGTCTTACCCCTTGTCTTACCCCGTCGCACTGGCAGTGGACGCGCTCGCTGGGATTGGTCTCAAGTGGCTAGCGAGGAGTAAAAACGATATGAGCTCGGGTTCGACTCCCCGTGGCGGCGTCGTCGCGACGGCCGGCCACGCCGTGTTACACGTTAGTTGCCTCCAAAGGTGCGTAAGAAGCGCTGTCCTCAACAGCGACGGCGACGGGGAGGAGCTTGAAGTGGGTGTGCATCACCATCAGGGTGTATAATAATTACCGCTAGCTCCTGCCAAGGGAGCGTCCGCTGAAACGTTGGACTCTTTCTATGCATTTTACACGAAAGCGCGAGGGGCGCGCCGGAAGACTAAACTGAACAGTGCAGCGGAAGGCGTGGGAGAGGACCAGGATCCCCGGAGGACCTCGACGTCCGGCTCCAAGTCCGGCTCCTGTTCGCTTCGGCCCAGCGCGCCGTGGCTCTAGCTGACCCCGGCCTGCCCTGGCCTGGCCCGGCCCATCATCACAGCGCAGTGGGAGTCGCCTTGGACTTCGACTCCCCCAAACGCGAGACTGTCGCGCACCTGGTGGGGAGGGCGTCGTCGGTTTCGGATCGGGCCGATCTATTAGCATGGCCGGGGGGCTGTCTCAGCCGGGAGCGGGGAAAGGGTTTAAGTGGCGCAGGGCCTCCTGGACGGCCCCCTGCAAGGCCTCCTGGAAGGGACCCTGGAAGGGACCCTGGAAGGCGTCCTGGCCGACCCCCGCCGCGAGGCTCCGAGGGCCTTGATCGCCAACCGTGCCCTTGGCAGCCAAGTCATCAAAGTGGGAATGATACTGGCCATGACCGCGGGGGGCGTCCAGCCCAGCACTGGCCCCGCAACCTGCCCGCAACCACAGCGCCACAGCGAACCTCCACGGCCGCCGCCGCCGACAGGCCGTGGCCAGAGCGCCCCCGCAGTGCAAGCGCGTGCAAGTAAAGTATTATGCAAACGTGCGGCGAATCAAACCCGAGGAAAATAAATGATATGACTTCCTATCAGCTGACCGGAGCGCAGCAACGTCACGAATTCCTCACAGCGGGAAAGGGTTTTGTTGAAGTTGGAGTAGAACTGAGAGTTTTAGATTGTAGGACTACTCAGTCCGCACACTTTGCGAATTCGTTGGCGACGCGACGAGACGACAGCAACCGCCGAACCGTCCACGCTAGTGGCAGTGTGGGCCTGGCGCGGCCCTTGGCCAGGCCTGGCACTTTCGTCTCACGCACGGCGCAGCGCCCCGCACCGCGCCCCTGGGGCACCACGGCGCCGAGCAACAGGCGGGCTGCCCCCCGACGTGCCCCGCCTGGACGTGGTCGAGACCGTGGTCCACGTGCCCCACGCGGCGAGGTGCCAACGCCAACATGCTCAAGTCCATCACCAGGACTTACCTGCATCCCGGCAGCGCGGTCGTGCCGCCCCCTACAGGCCGCGGCCGCCGCCTGCACCGCCGCATGTCCGCCGCCGGCGCCTCGGTCCTCGGCCAGCCGACTCCACCAGCGCGCCCAGCTAATTGTGGTGGTGTTGGTGGAGGGCGCCCCGCGGCTGGGGAGGAGACTCCGGCCGCTGCTGCTGCCGGCTCCGCGCGCTGCCAACGACTGTCGCGTGGCGGCCTGGCGGCGCGGCGTGGCGGCCGCAGGGCGGGCTGGGCCGGGCGTGCCGCGCCATCAACCCCCTGGAGCAGCCCGAGCGGCGAGCCGCCCCCACCACGCGGCGCCGGGCCGGCCGGGCCGGGCGGGCCGCCTCAGACATGACATGTACCGCGGACTGTGGGGGACAAGGGGGACGGGGGGGACTGCACGTCCTGGTGGATGGCATGGCACAGACTAAATGGCTCGGCCGGGCTAAGGACTGCCCGGCTCGCTGCCTCTGCTTCTCATTCTTCTGGCGGCTGGCGATGCACCCAGCGTGTGTGTGGGGGTGCCACCCCGCGATGCACCCCTCACGTTCACCACGGCTCACCTTGGTTCACATTGTAGGCTCGCTTACCCCCTCCGCCACCACCATGATCTTTTCCTCCAGCATCACCTGCTGACCTTGCCCCAGCCTGTCCGGCTGTTCCCCACCCCTTGTGCTGGGAAAATCCCGGCTCCATCTTGTGACCCTTCGTCTGAGGTGTGCGGGGATGCGCATGGATGATTAACCACGTTTCGACGGGCTTGGCCTTCTTGCTCCTCACATTCACCTTTCAGCACGTGCAGCGTTCTCCGGGGGAGGGGGGGATCAGTGTTTTGAAACGATAGCGTCGGACTCGTTCCTGTAAATAGAGTAGAATTCAGGCATATCTAGGCCAGATTTGACTGGAGAGACATGTTTTGTCACCTTTTTTGCCTACTTGCGACGGGAAGTACTGGATTGCCTTCCTACCGGGCGATTTTTGAGGGCGGGGCCATGGTGGGGCGCAGGTATAGCGGATCATAAACCTAGCCGAAAAGTAAGTCCCGTCCAAATCAAGTCATCCGGGCCCCAATTCCGACTCTGTGGCAAGACGCTCCGCGTCCTTGAGGCGCTGGCCGGCGTGTCGGCGAAGTCGCCTTGACGGCCAGGACGGCCAGGACGCGGCTCCTCGCGACACTGTACTCCGATCCGCGGCCAGCGCACTGCTGTTCAATTTTGTAACTGACGAGTGCCAACAGGGCTGCGAAGCTCTGGAAGCTCTGGAAGCTCTGGTCGCCCTGGCAGCCCGGACGGCCCTGACCCTGTCGGCAGTGTCTGCATGTGGCAGTGTGGCAGTCGCCAAGCCACGCCGCTGCCCCATGGTGCCCCATGGTGCCCCACGGCTGCCCCGTGGCTGCCTTGCCCCGCCCCCCATCAGCGGAAGCCGATCTCCAAGGGCAGGACGGGGGCAGGCGGACAGGCAGGAGGGGGAGATAGGCTGACCGCGCGGCGCGCTGGACATGAAAGGGAGAGCTGGACGACACTTCTTAATAAGCTCGCCCGCTTCGAAAATGGTCACTCCTTCATTTTGCGATGAGCAAAAATTTCAGGCATAACCGGGTATCGAACTCGGGTCGCCAAGGTGCGAAAGCGACACCTCTGACCGCGCGGCTACCACACCGCGGCAATGGCCTTGACCTCCCGAGCCCCATTTAGCGCAGCCTAATCGGCCCTTTGTTCGCACTCATTCCAGTGCCGTGGCCGGCTGGCCGCCAGAGCCGCAGCAGGCAGAGCCAGGCAGAGCTAGGCAGGGCCTCATTCGGCCATGGCGACCCGCGTCGTGCTCACCGCGTTCACCCTCGTCGTGGCGGTGCCCGTGCTCCTGGTGCGCGTCCGCGCGGAGGACCTCCCGCCCGACCGCACCGAGGAGCTGGCCACCGACCTCGTCATGCTGGAGAGGCGGGTGCGCGCCCTGGAGCAGCCAGGTACGTGAGTGGCGCTTCGCAAACACGCCAACGCGGCGAGGACAGCGTGGCAGCGGTGCAAGGTTTCTGCCTCTTTGTCGCGCCAAACTGCGAGCGAAAGTCCGCGGCTCTGGCATGCTTGCGGTGCGGGGGCAGTGTTGGACGGGTGGCCGATCCCCGCAAAAACGAGACGGGACCTCGCCTCGCGCCTCGCGCCCTCAGCGTCGGCGCCCGGCCCCGCGGCCCTACGGCCCTACGGTGGCGCGGTGGTGGGGCCGCTGGGGCCGCTGGGGCCGCTGGGGCCCAACAGCTGTTCGGCTGTGACCCACTTTGCATTGCTTTCAATTCGCGCGTCAAGGTAATCACTTTTCCGCGGGCTTCTTGACTACCTTCTCGGGCACGAGGGGAAAAAAGCAGTTTAAAGTGGATTCGAGTAAGGCCCTTTCGGGCCCTTTCGGGCCACCTTACCTTGGCTTCGCGCTTCACGCCGCGCCTCGCCTCGCCCCTGACGCGCGCCACGTGGCGAGGCTGGCCAATCAGAGAGCCCCTTTCGGCGATGGCGAGTTTCCGTTCGAAGCGGATCAGTCAAAATACCTCTCAGTTGACCTTCCACATTTCTACTCTCTGGAAATATTGATAGAAATATTGTATTCACGGGCAGGGTTGTTAACGTTAATTTCAAATTTAACGCGTTAACGTTAATGCGTTAGTCCGGGTGCATTAACTTAACGCGTTAACGTTAACTCGAATTTGAGAATTTAACGCGTTAACGTTAAATTAACGCAAGTAACGCCGTTATCGTTAAAAAATATTTAAAACCCAACCAGAGAGGGTTGAGATAATGCCACCAAAACGTTATAACAAATGTTCATCACCCATAAAAGAATTAAAGAAACCATAACAGAAATATTAAACTAGGTAAAACAGCTTTTGCTGTCTCTAGCACATACATTTTTTTGGATATTTACCTGGGCCGATCGTGCATTAATCCCTTCGTTAATGCATTAACGGCGTTACGCGTTAAGCGAGTCCATTAACTTAACGCGTTAACGTTAATGGCCCAGACATATTTTAACGAGTTAACGTTAACGTTAATTAACGATTAACGCCGTTACCGTAACGCCGTTAATCGTTAAATTAACGTTAACAACCCTGTTCACGGGTACAGGGAATGGTAGCAATGGCGCCAGCTGCTATTCAGAGTGTGCCCCGTTAAAGTCGCCGTTTCTACCCCTCGCTGAGGCGGAGTGCGCCACGTTGACTTCTATTCACTTGGTATCCGGCTGACACAACATTTTAAAGGCGTATTTCCACGTTCTCTGTGTTCAATATTACCACTCTGCCGGAAGACCGGCGCATGCGGCCGAAACTCTAGACGCGTTCTGAGCTCCAGAGTCCCTAAACAGGACTCGAACCGAACGTGTGTAACCCCACCAGTTGATTCCTCGCTCGGAGAGCAATCGATTGGTGGGGTCACACGTTCGGTTCGAGTCCTGTTTAGGGACTCTGGAGCTCAGAACGCGTCCGGGATTTGGACCGGCTGGTGCGTCATCGGCGTGCGTGCTGGCAGTGTGGCAGGTGTCGTTGGGCGAGGCGCGCTGGCTGCAGTGCTGCGAGGGCCCCTGCCGCTGCCGCCCCGAGATGCGCGCCCTCAGCTGCTGGCGCCACTCCCTCACCCAGCTGCCCCAGGGGCAGGGGCTGCCCGAGGACGTGCGCAGTATGTACGTCCCTCTCGCTCGCTCTGTCTCTCTCGCACTCATGGGGCGCTCCGTACCGGTGCGAGAGAGACAGACCGACGGCCGCACTGCACTGGGCGGAATCAGTCCTACCTACAGTGCACCGCAGCCGACCGTGGCCGTGGCCCGCCGTGGCGGGGCGGCAGCAAGTCAACAGGGCTTCATTTGCTTTTCCAGCGACCTCAGCGTGAACCGGCTGACGACTCTTCACAAGGACGCCTTCAGAGGCCTGGTCCACCTCACGGAGCTGTGAGTCCAGCAGTGCGCTGCACCCCCGCCTGCACTGGAAAATCGACATCCCGCTTCAACCGCGCGCCTTTCTGTCTAACGCAGGGATCTGTACGACAACGAACTGGACTTCCTGCCGGAGTCGTTGTTCGAGTCGCTGGACAGTCTGCAGCACTTGTGAGTACACATGTGACTTACACACACTCACACACGCACACGCGGTCGCGTGGCCGCCGGCGGTAGTAAATAGCTCCCGTCCGCCGGGAGGGAAGATGCTTCCATCAATCTGTGAAGACGCCGCCGAGAGCGTCTGAGAGCCTGGGCCGCCTTGGCTGCCTGGTCGTTCATTCGTCTTTGCTCTGCGAATACCAAGTACCGTAGCAGCAGCAGCAGCAGCAGTGGCACGCCCGTGGTGTGTGTGTGTGTGTGTGTGAATGTATGTGTGTGTATGTGTGTGTTCGAACAGCGCCGCCGCGGGGCCCGATGGGTTGCCTACCCTCCAGGCGCGCCGCGTACCACACTACAAGGGCAGCGGCGTGTCTCGCGAGAACCAATATCGGCTCTGCGGCAAATTGTGTGAAGCTGGGTGGTGCGGCGCGCGGTGTTGTCCCCCCCCCTCCTCTCCCCTTTCCCCAATGCCGCCCCCAGACCGCCGCCGCCGCCGCTCGGCTGCTGCTCGCTCAACCCCCGAGGACAGTCGTGGTTGATGGGTGACTGGGTGAGGGAGAGGGCTAAAGGGTTAACGGGTTGGGTAGATGAGGCGAGGCGGCACGTGGGCGCCACGTGTTGGTGGGAGTCGCAGCCCTCAGCAGCCCTTTGGCCACCGCACTGCCAGTGCGCCCCGGCGGCCCTACGTCACCGAGGTCCCAGTTGGCGCGCTGGCCGCTTCATAAGGGCTTCTTTATGGCGGTGGCCCGGTGGCGACCGCGCGCCGCAGCAGGCGCGCCACTTCCACTTCCGTCGTTTGGCGGTGTGTTGCCAGGAAGCTGCACAAGAACCGCCTGGAGGACCTGTCTGAACGCATCTTCCTGCGGCTGTCCAACGTCCGCACCATGTAAGTACTGGACTGTCTGAGGAGGCCACAAGGCGCTGAGCTATTTTTCAAAAATTTCTTCTTCTCTGTTTGCCATTTCAGCGACATGTCCTGGAACGGGCTTCGCCGCCTGCCCGTGGGGCTGTTCCGCGGGGCGCCGCGCCTCACGCTGCTGCGCCTGTCGCACAACGCGCTGGGCTCGCTGCCCGACACACTGCTGCAAGGCCTGCCGCGCCTCGAGGAGCTGGACCTGGCCGGCAACCGCCTGGACGGCCTGCCGCCCAAGCTCTTCCTGGGGCTCGGGGCGCTGCGCCGCCTCCGCCTCGACGACAACAGGATCAAGGTCCTGCCGCAAGGTAGCTGCCAAAGTTCTATCCGCGTTTTGAGATCCAGGGTCGCTGAACAGGACTCGAGCCGAGCGTGTGACCCCACCAATGGACTCCTCGTTCGGAGAGCAATCCATTGGTGGGGTCACACGTTCAGTTCGAGTCTCATTTAGCGACTCTGGAGCTCAAAACGCGTTCGGAATTTTGACAGCGTTCACCGGTCTTCTGGCCAACTGTGGTGCAGTCTGGTACAGCTAGCAAGCCTAACCTAGCCTAACCTTACCTAACCTAACCAGCCGGACATAGAACCGTGATCATGAAACGAGGCTGAGAGTGGAGGTGGTGATGTCGGTGGCTCGTCTGCTCTCCTTCCAGGCGTCTTCGGCGACCTGCAGCAGCTGGACTTCCTCAGCCTGCGCAAGAACAAGCTGTCCACGCTTCGGCCCGGCGTGTTCGACAGCCAGGCGCACCTCACCGTGCTCGAGCTGTCCGCCAACAAGATCGCCTCGGTACGCTTGACGACGACACTGTCAATTTTGTCACATTCGTTGGAACGCGACACGCCCGTTTACTCAGGATGTCCCATTCGTTTGAACGTGCATCACTATTCAAACGAACGTGACACCATTCACATTCGTTGCATAACAGATAGTGGGTGGCGCGCGATTGCGATTGCAGTCCTCCAAAAAGGAATGACGCTCCACTCCGCGCGAGGGACACGCTGAGTGCACGCGCCATCGGCATTGGTCGCAGCCAAAGGCCCAGCCAGGCCAGCCAGGCCCGGAGGGGGAAGGGTCATTTCCTTTGTGACTGATAGTACGGCCGGCACATGAGCCGTGTTGTGACTGGTGACGCCGTGCTCGACTTGAGAATCACGAACACACACACACACACACACGTTCACAAGGGCCCCGAGGAACTTTGGCATGCTTCGATTCAAGTTTGTGGAACTAGCCCAAGGAGCCCCGAGCCATGTCGGCCTGTCGGGAGGTCCGCCCCACTGTACCAGCGTACCAGTGTACCGGGCCATGACGGCTTTGTTGTGCTTGGCCCGGCTTGGCCAGGGAGGGCTTCGTCTCCAGCCATTCCGAATGAGCTTCCCAAAAGAAACGTCTCGAAAATGACTGTAACTGAAGGGAGTGCCGGGCGGCCCAGCTGGAGGGCGGTGAGTTCCAGTGGCTGCGGTCGCTGCTGGAGCTGCACCTGGGCCAGAACGCGCTGGAGGAGATCCCCAGCGGCGTGCTGGCGGGCATGCCGCGCCTCAGGAAGCTCTTCCTGTACAACAACAACCTGGCGGGGCTGGACCGCGAGGCGCTGCGCGGCCCGGAGAACCTCACCGCCCTGCTGCTCAACAACAACCTGCTGCGGCGGCTGGCCCCCGACACCTTCGCCGCCGTGCCGCGCCTCAAAAAGCTGTAAGAGGAAAGCAAGGCCGTTAGCAGAGTGCCTCACAACCATTTCTGGCTGCTGACGTTGTTTTGCAGGCAGGTGGATAGCAACAAGTTCCAGTTTCTGCCCGACGGCTCGCTGGACTACCTGCAGGAGCTGGAGTCCCTCAAGCTGGCCAAGAACCCCTGGCACTGCGACTGCGCCGTGCTGTACCTCGCCTCGTAAGCGCCACTCTGTTTGCGCACTATCAGCTTGACGCTTCGGCACCAGGATGAGTAATCTTCAAGGCTTCCGCCAAACAATTGGATTGGATTGCAGGTGGCTCCGCGCGCACCGCCGCCTGGTGTGGGACTCGAACCCCAAGTGCCGCGGCCCGGGGGACCTCGGCGGCCGCCTGCTGGAGAGCATGACGTTCGACGACCTCTGCGAGGGGCAGTGGGCGTCCATGGTGCGCCTCTCGCCCCGCGTGCCCGTCAAGGCCGCGGCCATGGCGGCGGCGGCGGCCATGGCTGCGGCGGCGGCCGCGGCGGGGAAGGACGCCCAGGCCGCCGCGGAGGCCGCCCTGGCCGGCGCGGGGGTCGGCGCGGGGGCGGACTTGGAGACGGCGGTGGCGGCGGCGGCTCTGGAAGGCGCCCTGCCCCCGGAGCACTGGCCTCAGGGCCAGCAGGGGCGCGCGACGAGGACGGCAGAGCCTGCGTTTGCGACGAACTTCGGCCCCTCTCGCGACAACTACTTCACCTGATACCTGCGTTGTACGCGAACCATCAAACTCAAGATGTCCTCAGTGGTATTGAATTAAACAGAAAAAGACACGCTGACTTGCTCAATTGCCTCGTGATTTCACCGTAATCTCCCACACACGCACATTTTACTTGCGCAACAGTATCAGACGTGGCAGCACACTCGCTTCAATTTTTTGTCGACGCGGCCAGAGCAACTCTTGCAGGAGTCGTCGCCCCCACTGGATGTCCGTTGGGCCACCCCAGCCTGCCGCGGCCGGACCGGAAGGTGCTTGGGCGGCAGCACTCGGCTAAACGATCCACTCGTGTACACGAACCACCACGAACGCACGGCCCTCTGGCTCGCAGGGACCGGCCCAGTCTCTGTTCCAAGCAAACACTCCGGGACTGCGATACCCTATTCTTTATCTGACGTAATCCGCGGGCACACACCGGTAGCTTCGGCAGTGCACTATTCCGCCTTTCCCCTTTCCCATCCCCTTCCCACTGACCGCCCCGACTTCCATTTCGCAATGGAGCTGGGGAAGTTGTTGGCGGGTAAGTTTCGCTTGATTCCAAACAGTGCTTCGTCGCTCTGTCTCTCTCGCACCCCCTACGGAACGCCCCAACGAGTGCGAGAGAGACAGGGCGACCATTCGAAAGCAGCTTTAGGACAAAGACCCCTCGCTAGGTTGGGACACTTTTGAATGCTGCCGGTGGACAAGGAGTGGCACCCCGTAGACGAAGGAAGCGACGCGCACGGATCCAAATTCGTGAAATCCTCCCGAACCACTTCTAACTTGCCTTCGCACAGTTCCCTGCACATTCATTTTCGGGAGCGATCGGAACAACTCGGTCCGCCCGCCGTCTCTAGCCCGCCTGTCTGCCTAAAATTGTTCTGGCGCTCTCTCCCTATCATGCACTATCTCGTTATCTTCGGCGCCTTGCGAGGACGGCGACGACGCTGGGGGGCGTCGCTGCGCCGCGGCATCGGTGTCGCCCCCTGGCGGCGGATCTGGCAATGGCGAAGGTGTGGGTCTTTTGGCTGGCATGGCGGGCCAGGCCGAGGGCCCACAGGCAGGCCGCCAGGCATGGCCATCATTGCGTCGCGTCGGCCCGCGCGCTCGGCAGCAGCAGTACTCCACGGCCCGCACCATCACCTCGGCTCGCAGTGACATGGCTTCGCCCGCTTCGCCGCCAGGACCGCCAGGCTGAGACCGAACCCTCCCACCGTCCGCGCCAACCGCGCCGTCCGCACCTCGGACTCGAAACTAACCTAGCTGCGGCGCCTAATTTGCGGACTGCACTTTGCTGCCGTTTTGGCAGTTGTGTTGTTGTTGTTGTTGTTTACGCACGTCAAGACAGCCATGGCCGGCGTCCAGCACAACGCGTCCTTGCCGCACCGCGCCGCGCCCGGTAAGCATACTGATGAGCGGGGAGCGGGACCCGACAAAAAAAAGAAAAGAAAAATATTTTGGATAGTTTTTGAATTGTGTGTTCGTGTTTTGTTCTGATGAATGTCAAGCTTCTGAACGCCCCAATCGCGGTGAAACATAACTGCTTCGGCTCAAAGTCGAAGGTCCTTCTAGGCTCCGTGCATCCCGTCGTTCTCGGTCGAAATTTTGTCGTCGTGGCTCTCCCTCTTTCTCTCTCGTTTTTGTCACGATGCAATGGGGCTCTGCAGCCACCGGTTTGACGTCAGAGAAAGATGGATTATTGCCACCGCGTCTAGCGCGTCTAGGACTTCCCCCTTCGATCGCCACGCCCAGAGCCTGCGCCAGCCTGCGCCTCTCGCGCGCCGCCTCCGCCTCAAATTCGCTGCACATTCACAAACAGATAAGTCTCCGATCTTATCTGTCGCTAAATGGAGTTGACGGGCGGGGCGCGGGGCGCGGAACGGAGGGCGGGCAGGTGGGCGGCGAGGGAGCTGAATGGGGCTTTTAGAGCGTTGATTGTATAATCTCGGATCTCGCTGCCGCCGTGCAGCCGCTTGGCCGCTTTCAGTAATTTGCGTGCATTATACACGCCGCGGTGTTCGAAATGATTCCCGCGAGTGGTCCGGGTTCGAAACCCGAGGCTGTGCGTCACCTTTCCGCAGAGATTTAAATGCTGGTGATTTGGAGGTCGCGCCCTCGGCAGTGACCTCCCTGTCCCCGGCCTGGCCTTGGCCTCGGCCACGGCCTTGGCAGTGCACCCGATGCTGTCAGCGCGTCACAGCAGGGGTTGCACGCAACCCGTGTCCGTTTGACCGTTTGGGTTTTGACCGCAGAGGTTGCGCGCAGGCGGGGGTGCGGACTCCTCGGACTCCAGCGGCACTGCGGGCGGCGCGTCTCCAGCGGGGGCCTCTGGCACCTCCTCCAGGGTGCCGGAGCACCTCACGTACTCGGCGACGGAAGACCCGGCCGACTACATCGACGATAACGTGGTCGCCTCGTCCCGGTGGATGGACACGGAGATAGCCGTGGGCTCGATCGTCGCCATCCTGGTGGTGGCAGCCCTGGTGGCCGTCTGGCTCTCCTGCAGAAGGTGAGCTAAGCGTGCTTTTGCAGCATGTCAATACTTTTTTGGTACAGCTCCTCTCACTCGAACAACTAACCTCATTTCCGGGTTTACTAAAAACCCGTCGTGCTACACAGTTCACAAAATGTTTGTTCATTAGGTCTGCTCCAAAGAACAGTTTCAAAGAGAACGAAGCCAATTTTCTTCCCGAGCCATTCGACTGCAGTAACTGACTTTGTAGCCCCGCCTAAGCCCTTCCGCTATCAGCCTGACGGTGATCTAGCTCATTTTTTTGTTCGATGGACCGTCGGATAATTATTTTATTGGCCCTGTCGGCCGTAATCTGTCCACACTCGGCCGTCGAGGTGTTTGGGTCCACGGCAGTGCGGCATGCCCGCGGCGGCACTTAACTTCTTCCCTCGCCCTAAGCCGCCACCGGACTGCCCATGCCAAGGCCCATGGTCTGCCAGTCCGTCCTGCACTGTAAATGTCTTACGGTGAAAGGCTGCACCAACACATTATGGTGGAGATTTTCTCCATAATACCACCGAAATTCGTCAAAATATCTATAAGTTACAGTGAATTCTGAATGGTATGTTATGGAGGCAGCTGCACCACCATAATATGGAACATTTTCACCACAATATGGAGAATCTTCACTGTACGACATTTAGAGTGTGTCCGCCGCCGCGACCAGACGCAAAAACAACAACAAGACCGCGTGGGGCATGCGGGTCTACCAGGGTCTACGGTCGCGGAGGCCGGGTCGGGTCATTCATACTCGCCTAATCCGCCAATTGGCGGCGCCGTGCTTATTCCGATGCTAACTACCCGGGCCGGCCGGGCCACCGCGTCACGCCGCCACGCCGCCGTCAAAGATCAGAGGGATCGTTAACCGCGGAGTAAAGGTTTACGCCGTCCGCGCCTTCGTGCCGCATCCGCAATTTTTTCCTCCGCTTATTTTCATGAAATGATGGAACAAGCGGCGGCGCTGATTGATAGAAAGTTTACTGTGTTTTGGGAAATTTAATTTAAGATGAAAGTGAATTGGCACTCTAGCACAGCATAAATTTACCAACTGATCCTGACCGCGACTGTGCGTTTTCGTCCTGGCCGAGCCGCCGTCGGCACTCACTTGCCTTTCCAAAACCACGCGCTTCACGCCACCAGTAAAAGAATCAATGGATTGTTGTTGTCGTGCCAAGTACCTGCCAGTGTGCCGGCCGTGCCGGGGAGGAGGGGGCGCCGTGGGATGGGTTGGACGGGGCGTGTTTGCAATGCAGATGTTGCCTTGTGTTGCAGAAGGAGGAGACGGGCCTCGCCGACGCCCGAGGCGACCGAGACTACGAGCACGGCAGAGCGCATGTGAGTACCAAGTACCACTCGGTACCACTCGGTACCCTTCAGTACCATTGCGGGGCCCATTCCATTGAGCAATTGGTATCGGGCGCCCTGGATGGGTGAGTTGTTGCGGTGAAGTGGGGGGGGGGGGGGGGGGGAAGGGAGGGAGGGACTACTTTCGTTGTCCTTTCTATCATGCCCCTCCACCCCTACGCGACTCCAGATACGGTCTCCGTACCTTCACCAGTGAACCTCAGCTCGGGTCGGCAAAATTATGTTTGCTGGAGCCATTTCTCCAGCCAATACTCCAGGGTTTTCGGAGTGGGGAGGGGTACCAATTTTTCAAGGTGCAAACATAGCTGCTTTTTGCATTGAGGGCGTTACCTTTTCCAGGAGATCGACCCTGCAGGATGTGACCGAGATCCAGAGGAAGATCTCCTCCATGAAGCCCCTGCCCCTCCAGCTGTCCAACGGCAAGGACAGCAAGGACAGCAAGAACGGCAACGGGGTGTCCAACGGCAGCCCCAACAGCCCCAACAGCCCCGTGCTGCCGGTGCCGGTGGCCACCATCGTGCTGCCGCCCTCCACGCCGAGCCCCCTGCCGAGCCCCCTGCCGGACCCCACGGTGGCCCAGGTGAGTCTGCCGGCCGATGCAGTGTGGCCAACACACTGGAAAACAAAAACAACAAAATTGGCGTTGCCGCTTTGCCGCGTTGCAGGTGACGCCCTGGGAGCCGTACTTCTTGAGCGCGCCGGGGAAGCACGGCAAGCCCGGCAAGCCGGTGCGCGCGCGGCGCCGCTCCGTGTCGCTGCGCTCCGCGGACGACGACGTGGTCTCGGACGACGCCAACAGCGTGTCGTCGCGGGGGCCATCGCCGTCGCCGTCGCTGAACCCCAACGCCACCGAGGACGGCGAGGCGACCCGCAAGCGCTCCGTCACCTTCAACGCCATGGTGGAGGAGGTGCAGATCCTCGTGCGCTAGGAGGTCGCGGGCGGAGCGCGTGGCGCGTAGCGCACGCAAAAACCCAAAGGGTCTCATTCCTCTTTCATTACTCTTTTTCTTGTAATTATAGATCCGCGCTGTCGTTGCGAGCAGAGGGTGATCGACTTTGTTTTGTCGTTCTTGGGGGGATTGATTACAAAATACGATGTACATTTTCTTCGGGGCAAGTTTTCCTTGTACAGAGATTTACACGTTCCCGTTGTAAGTTTAAACGCTACTTTATTCATAAGTGTATTTGTATTTTTCAAATTTTTAATACTGGTTTACGCTAACAAACAATGATGTGCTGTAATGATTAGTACCTCGGTTGTATTTTATAAGCGCTAGTGTGAATTTACTGTCGTTTTTAGCTTTTAAGTACGTGTATACGCCATAGATTAAGAAAAAAAAATACATTGAATACAACTCTAATTATTTTTGTCAACCCTGCGTTTCCATTCATGTATTTTGCACACAGTGCCAAAAATTCCTGCCAAACTAAATTCATCCCCGCAAAATAAAACAACTTTCTAGTTTCGAGTGTCGTCCCGGTGGCCCCGTCGTGGGTCGTCGGTCGTGCCGTCGTGCCCCCACCGTCCGCGTCTCTGGCTGGCCTAGTCCGCGGCCCGCCAGCCCGCCGGCCCGGACCCCTCTAATCCACGCGCCACTCTATGGCACTACATGATGATGGCAGGGTCGCGCCTTCCCCTCCCAGGTGAGCGTGGTAATGACACCCTGGACCTTCCCCCCACGCCTTCCCCTGCGTCTTTCTCCGGCTGGCCATGCCGGCCATCTGGGCCTCTCCGAGGACCGCGTCTTCGCCTCCAGTCAGCTTGAGTCCGCTGCGCCGGTTGCGCGCCGCGCCGCGTAGATCAGCATGCCTCAGTGCAGCCCGTGAAGGCCATGGCCCTCGTCGTGGCGGTGCTCGTCGCGGTGCTCGTCCTGGCCGGCGCGCCGCGCCCCGCCTCCTCCCTGCAGCAGCCTCACAGCGCTCCCACGCTCAGCAGTCACACCCTGGCCTCAGGTAGAATGTGATGTGCAGCACGGCGTGGACCGACTTGGGCTTCGGTTCCGAGTTCGGTTCCCTTCTCGCCCTGACCGCCCTTGCCGCGTTGCAGGCTCGGACCCCGCGACGCAGGGCGAGTACGACCTGGACGTGCTGGTCAAGTTCAGCCACCGCGCCATGGAGGCGCTGCGCCAGGCGCCCGAACACGCGCAGCACGTGCAGCAGGCCTCCCCGGCCCCGGAGCAGCACGGCCTGCGCCACTACCGGAAGGGGCGCGTGCGCATCGTCACTCCGGACCAGGTGAGAGTGAGCGGCGCGCGTGCCGCCCCCGGCCGCCCCCGCCGCGCCCTCCCAGACCGCCTCCCCTTTCCGCTCGGATGCCGGCGTCTCAAAGTCAAGGCGACGCCCCGCCCTGCCGCCCTGCGCCTCGCGGGGGCGCGGAAGGAAATTCCAGCACGTCCAACTTCCCTCGGAAGCAGAAGCAGCGCGATGTTGAAAAGCCGTGACCTTCCGGGATGGCGCCTCGCAGTGATTCAAGGACTCCAAGGCCGCGGCCAGGCGGCGAGGCCTGCGCGTGGGGCGTGGCGGCGTGGCGACGCCCGTTCGGGGCGTTGGGGTACGCGGCCGCCGCGCGTGGGCCGCGTCACCACGTCTCTCACCGCGTCGCAAGGCGAAAAAACGGCGATCGGGCCGCCCAAGTGGCGGGGCGCGTCTCGTTGAGTGGTTTGTGTTTGTGTGCAAACTGTTCTGCTTGCCCGGCGACCCTCTGACTCACTGCTCGCTGCCCCCAGCTCAACCTGACGCTGGGCAGGGTCGAGGAGGCCCCCCTTGTCCGAGCGCTGCCCCCCGAGCCCGAGACGGCCCCGACGGTGGCTGCCGCCTCCAGCCCGCTGGTGCCCGCCGCCGCCGCCGCCCCCGGCCGCCCCCGCGCCTGGCGGGACTGGGGGCCGTGGAGCCGCTGCAGCCGGTCGTGCACGGTGAGGCGCTACAGGGCCTGCGCCGAGGAGGCGCTGTGTGGCAGGGACGTCCTTCGAGACCAGGCGTACTGCTTCGTGGACGGCGGCTTCTGCCACAGCTGGCTGCAGAAAAAGGCCCTTCTGCAGCAGCAGGAGGAGCATGCACAGCAGGGCCCGCAGGAGCACCACAAGCACCAGCACCAAGGTAGAGGTGACGGTGAACGCTGTATACAGCGTCCGTCGAAGTTGGCGTTCGAATCACAGCAATGAAGTGTCGCTATTTTTCGGCAGGCGTGGAGGAGGTGGCGAGCAACGCGCTGCCGCCCCACGTCCCCGACGACGAGGACGGCGAGGACGGCGACGACCGGGAGGACGTGGCGGAGGGCTGCGGCCTGCACAACGCGTCCTTCCTGCACACCAACATGCTGCGCATCGTGGGCGGCACGGCGGCGGCGCCCGGCGCCTGGCCGTGGCAGGTGGCCGTGCTCAACAGGTTCAAGGTGGTGTTCTGCGGCGGCACGCTGCTCTCCGCGCACTGGGTGCTCACGGCCGCGCACTGCCTTCGGCGCCGCCTCTACGTCCGCGTGGGCGAGCACGACCTCTCGCGGCGCGAGGGCGACGAGTACGACGTGAAGGTGGCGCTGCAGGTGCCGCACCCGCGCTACGACGCGGACACCGTGGACAACGACATCGCGCTGGTGCGGCTGTGGCGCTGGCCCGCGCCCTACCCCGCCGTGCCCGCGTGCCTGCCGCGGCCCCGCCAGGCGCTGCACCCCGGCACGCCCTGCACCATCCTGGGCTGGGGCAAGCGCCGCCACGGCGCGCTGTCCGGCGCGCACCAGCTGCAGCAGGCCCAGGTGAGCGCGCCGAGGGCCGAGGGCCAGGGTGCAACAGGTACGAGGGGTGAATCACTGGTGTACTCATGTGTACAAATTAGCCCGTACTCAGTGTACTCACAAGTTAAAATTTAGCAAAATTCGCTAGTTTTAAGAAAGATTTGGTGTTGCGTATTGTCTGAAACACTAAATAAAGCCATTAAACGTATAAGAATGTGAAATGTATGAGTTTTCTAAGTTGTACTCATCCGCATGTACTCACGTGTACACCAGAACGCCGAGTGATTCACCCCTCGAACAGGCATGTGATCGCCAATACGCCGCCGAAACGTCTCGAAATCTCGAGCGGTACGAGCGGCGCGGCACGGAGCAATGGCTATCTCCCACGTCATCTCCCACGCTGTCTCTCTCGCGCCGCTTGGGAACGCCCCGTGAGTGCGACGGAGACGGAGCGATGCCGCAGACAAGCGGAGGCAATCAGGGGCGCGGCCGGCGCGGCGTGGGGCTGCAGATTGCTGCGGACCCGAGTCAAGCCGTCCCGCTGGGCGCCGGCCCGGCCGGCCACGTCGCAAGCAGAGCGGACAACATTTTTATTGACATTTTGGGTGGCCGTCGTAAGCCTGTAGAGACAAGATAGTCAAACACAGGATAACTTTAATTTGAAATTTGCATTTAGGTTGAGCAGGGCCAGGTGACAGTCGGAGACAAAGATGAGTGGAAGGCTTGTCCAGCTTGCCGGCCATTGATTGGCGCCCAAGTCAAATTGGAGCCCGGCCACCCCACCTGGCCGACGCGGTGCCGACGCGGTGCCGATGCTGGTCATTACGGCAAGCACACTATAAGCAGGGGAGCGCCGCGGGCGAATCCCACGGCAGTCAAGGCGTCAAACCCCGCCACCTCCGCGGCTCTGGGGTGCGACGCTCTGTCTCTCTCGCTCTCCAACGGGCCGGCCCGCGAGTGCGAGAGAGACAGAGCGACGGAATCGGCCAGCGGGCACACCTCGCGAACCTTCGAACTGCACCGTCCGCTGCACCGCTAGGCCGCCATCATGGCGAGTGCGAATCGTGAGAAGACCTAATGGCCCGGCAGACTGATTCCGAGCTGTGGTTGTCTCTCTCGCACTCACGGCCCGCCGCGCCGTGCCGCCACTCCCCCGTCTCCCTCTCCCACACCGCGGCTCTATTGCTCTATATTGCTCTATTGGCGCGGCATTCGGCATTTGCAATCAGCATCGCGACATCGGAATCTACTCGCGCGGATGAGCGGAGAGAGATTATTGCTGCGGTGCGGCGCGTCCCTCTGAACTTGGAATCTGTGCCGCCATGCCGCCATGCCGCGCGGCGAGCGGCCAGCGGGCCGGGCAACTGTCGTTATTTTGAAGCACTCCGTGGCGTGTCCGCGCAGGGCGAGCCCCTCCGCGGTCCAGGACACGGGGTCCTTCCAGTCGGACCGAAGCCCGGCTAGACAAGGACCACCATACATGGCAGTGCAGCAGCGCACACGCTTATTATTTCCCGGGGCGTGGCGCCGAGAGAAAGAGAGAGATGGAGAGAGAGAGGGAGAAAAGGGGTGGGGGGCCCAACAAGCCTGGCTTATAACAAGCTTGCAGCAGAAACGGCTTGAGTTATCGGGGACGGGTGTGTAAAATGGATGACGCCTGCTTCCCACGACTACGTATTTGCTTCAGGTTTTCTTACACCGGCTTGCTGGCTTCACCCCATGGTTACCTGATTGGCATTGTACTGGACACCGTTCGCAAATAAACCCCATCCAAGTTTCATTTTATTTTCCGCTTGCAGTATCAGGCATTATGTGCGTTTCGATAATTCGAGGCTTCCTCAATGCTCTCTCTGCCTGTCTCTCTCGCTCCTTCGATAAAAGGCTGCAATCAGAAAAGCCGCGTCGCGTTGACCCCTCTGCGCGATACGTTACGCAACGACATCGAGTACCGCGGTCAGTGCGGGGCGCGGCGTACTCGGCAGTGGTACTCGCGGGGGAGCTCATCCACGGGTATTTCTTTCTCCGTTCTAATTTCCCCCTCTCTCTCTTTCAGGTCCCCGTGGTGAGCCAGGCGCGGTGCCGGGCGGCCTACCGCCACGTCCCGCTCACGCTCACGAGGAGCATGGTGTGCGCGGGCGACTGGCGCGACGCGTGCGCGGGGGACAGCGGCGGGCCCCTGCTGTGCCAGGAGCGGCCGTCGACGCCGTCCTCGCGGTGGCAGGTGCACGCCGTCACGTCCTTCGGCGACGGCTGCGGCGCCAGGCACCGCTACGGCATCTACGCGCGGGTGGCCGGCCACGTGCGCTGGATCCGCAGCGTGATGCGCCACGACGGAGCTGGAGCTGGACGGACACGTTGAGGCGGAGCACAGTGGGCCAGAAGACCGATGGCGGCGGCCAAAACTCTGTACGCGTTTTGAGCTCCAGAGTCGCTAAACAGGACTCGAACCGAACGCGTGACCCCACCAAACCTCCATGACGTCTCACCAGCAGGCAGCGGGCAGGAGGCTGAAGCGCGAGGAGTAGCCAGGAGCATGGGGCATTCCCGTTCCCGGCCGCCGGCTGTCGTTAGTCGCTAGTCGCTTCGTGCTGCCATCTACCGGGCGACACCGGTACCACGACCACCAGCAAAGCGGAGCCTTCTCCAAAATCACGGCGAGTTGGCGTTGATTGACTGTGAAAACCACTGCCAACATGAGAAAGCCAATAAATCAATCTGTGAAACATTGTCAATGGCATTGAAGGTTGCTTGCATGCCTAATCAACACCTGAAGAAATATTTTGTTATGTCTTTTCGATGTGTGAAGTGCATTCTTCGAAATTTTCTTCCTGGTAGAAGCAGTAAAACGTTATCAAGGTTTGCGATAAGCATCGGCACACCCCCTCCCACCCCTTTCATTTCTCCTGCCCCTCCCGCCCCCACCCCACCCCACCCCACCTCAGCCCGCTCCCCGCTGCACCCCCTGGTGAAAGTGGATGAGCTGTCTGTCCGAGTCGCATTTAATGGTGTTTAACTTGCCACCGCTCTGACTCCACGCCGCATGATACAAGTTCTTTCCTCCGCGAGTTTCTTTGGACTTTAATTGCACCCCATACGACAGCAAGGTAAGATCAACATAATAATTCTTCGTCAATCTGAGTACCGGTTGACAGGAATGTAAGGTTAGAGGCGGTCCGTTTACATTCGTCGCATTTTCTTCATTCCCGGTTTTCCAGCACGCTCCCTCTGTCGTTTGCGATAAAGTTTGCTGTCGTCGCAGTTTTCGAAGGCTGTTGATATTTGTACTACCTTTCTTGACTGTTAGCTGCTGCGGTTTCTTGCGCGATAGACCTTCTAGTTTCATCATATACATTCTCAGGCAAATACCATAGACAACTGATGCAATTCGTCAAAACTTTGCTCAAGTATGAATGAAAAGGTGGCTTACCCTTTCAAGCTACCCGAACATTCTGTGATGTTTGAAATAAGTTTGATGCTATCCCTGTTTTCCCTTTTCTCTTGCTATCATAGTTAAGTTTATCATTGCATTTGTTACTGACGCACTTCTGGTTTAAAGAAAAAAGAAGTAAATGTACTGTATCACTTCTGGGAGGTCTTGTTGATTGTATACTTCCATTTGCCTCTTTATCAGAGTTATGTCATGGCATGTATTGTGTTATCTTGAGTCTTCACGTAATATAAGCAATTGAGCAGTTATGGTTTTTTTTTAACTTAGTTTATTGCTCATATCTGGTGATAGTACATACATCGGATACAAGATTTTTTTTGTTCAAAACAATTCATAGAGATTTCAATTTCTCATCTGATCGTTTCATGCTTTTGTTGTACAGTTGATGCAAACCATTCAAAATCTTAAATAAATTTAACAGTAATATTAAAACACATCAATAAATATACTTAACATCCATTTTGCCCACTAAAAGTTGATCTCCTTGCATTTGCCCTATCAATCTTGTAGGATTTTTGATCTTGTCAATATATACATTCCATTAGATTGGGTGTTTCTAATTACTTTTCTTGTTTTGGAGGTGTCCTTGGACTGTGTATTGATGGTAACAGCAATTTCCTTGATCTTTCTAATGTCATTACTAATGCAAGGTCAACGCGATATCTATTTGGGAAAAATCTTCGATATCTTGTAGCGCTGCTCTTTTTCTCTTTGGGGCGAGCTTTAGGCTCTGCTCTTTCCTGCTGCTTTTCTGTATTCTTTTCTTTGACGGCACCCAATCTTGTCCTGACCATCTCAGCAACTGTATGAAGGGGCCCCTTAGTGTTATGGCTATCCTGATTAATTTTGTCATCATCGTGTGCTCTTGATTCTGAAGTATTCATGGCACTATTGGTTTCTGAGTCTGTGGGCTTGCTGGTGGATTTCCCTCTCTGTGATGAGTTTCCTCGAGTCTGAATGGCATTGGATGTAATATGTGTTGCAAGTGCGTCCTCCTCTCCACTTTCTTCCTGGTGTGCAGGCAGCATTGTAGAATGGGTTGGTCCTGTGGGCAGCACTGCTGCACCACTCAGCCCCCGCTTGCCTGTTATATTCACTAGGTGTTCTTGACTGTCAAGGAGGTAAGCAACAGATAGCTTTGACTGACTCTTCATTCTTTGGTAAACTAGTCTTGGGGAGCGGAAAGGCCACCTGCGACCTTCGTATATATTCTTTTTGGGTTCAGGGCTTACTTTACGTGAAAGGGGAACAGTATTGAAAAATTTTGCTGCATTAGCTTTGTTGTCAAATTTTATGTCTTGCTTTGATGGTTTAGAGCACTGGTCAACGACCTCTGTCATCTCCTTGAGAGTTTGCGAATTCCCTCTGCAGACATCACTCTCTGGCAAACTTGTACCATCAGCCAAGTCGGAATTCCCTTCACAATTTTGTGGTGTGCTGCTTTGCACGACGACAGGCTCTCCAGTCTGAACATCTTTACTTGGCCTCTGCTGCAGCAACTCTGCGTCTGAAGTCTGAATGTCAGGCTGCGGCAGTGTGCCGGCACCGGCAGTGGCCGACACTGTGTGCCTGTAGGGGTTGCCGAGGTTGGCCTGCACCCCGGTCTCCCTGCGCTGCTCCAACACCACCGAGTCTGCGGACTGCGCCGTCGTGATGATGGAGAAAGACACCGCCTTCCGGGTCTTGGCGGACAGCCCGGTCTGTGAGGCTAGTGCCGACTTGATGGGCAGGGCGCCGGCCGGGGCCGTGCTGTTGGTGCCCACAGTGGCCGTGCAGGCCTCCTTCAGCTTGGCCGAGGCCGGGGCCGTGGCCGTGGCGGCGTGGATGTTGTCCAGGATGGTCTCGGTGTAGAACATGACCCGCGTCTCGGGGAGCGGTTGCAGCTGCTCCTGGCCGTCCGCGTCGTCCAGCAGGCAGCCCACGATGTATGCGTCTATCTTCGCCATGCCCGTGTCTCGACCCTTGGCGTCGCTGCCCGCCGTGTCCGCCGCCTTGCTGTCCTCTACCGTGTCCTCCGCCTCGACCGCAGCCTGCGTGGCCTGCACCGTCTCGGCCGTCGGCGTCGTACCCTCGAGCTCCTCTCCGCCCTCCAGCGTGGCCTCCACGACCGTGGCGCTCCCTGCCGAACTGTCGTCGTCGCTGTCCTCGCCGTCGTCGCCGTGCTCGTCGAGGTCCTCGTCGTCGTGCTCTAGCGGCGCGTGCAGCAGTGCCAGAGGGCGGGGCGGTGGCGGAAGCGCGTTGGCGAGCTCGCTGCACAGGGACGTGACGGAGGTGGCGCTGACCTGGCGGTCATCCTCGCCGCCCTCGTAGGCGCTGCTGGGCGGCTGGTCCACGAGCGCCTCGTTGTCGTCCGCCTCCGACGACGGCCCTGCACGGCAAGCGAGAGGCTGGCGATCGGCCTGCTTGGCGCGCTGCATGGCGGGGCGTGGGGCTTACCGGGGTGCTGCTGCTGCGGGGCTGCTGCCGCTCGGTGTCCGGGGGGCCCTTTCGGCCCGTAGGGCACGTAGGGCTGGCTCGCGGCGCCCGCCGCCCCCATGAGCCCCGGTCTCTTGGGGCTGACGGGGCGCAGCGCCCAGGCCGCGTGGTACGCGGACAGCTGCTTGTGCGCCAGGATGTTGCACATGGCGGCCACCTGGGCTGGGACGAGGAGATGAGAAGGGGGCGGCGCCACGCGACCACGGATTGACTCCCTGACGCGCACCTCGCCCAGCCGGTTCTGGCGCCACTGCGCCTCGATGGACTGCACCGTGCTCTTCATGAGGATGGCCACCTTGGCGAGCACCAGGGCGCGCTCCTGGCTGGACAGCCTGTAGGTGATGTTGAGCAGCTGGCGCGCGCGCAGGCGGTTGGCCACCCAGGGGTGCTGGATGGCCTGCTGCAGCGTCATGCGCCGGGGCACGCTGGCCGTCAGCAGACCCTGCAACGGGTGACGGGGCTTGCTGCTCGATTGGGCGCTGGCAAGGCCTTATCGGCGTTATGCCATTCTTGACGTCGCGGCCCTCGCGGTTCGGTGCGGCGCAGATCGGCCCGAAAACAAGCTCGACATCGTGCCCCGCCGCCCCGGCCGCCCCGCGAACACCGGCATGGCGGGCGAGGGTGAGTCCGCTAATCTGGCGGCGGCGCACCATGACGCAAACGGGGATCAAGATGACCCGGCCGCGCAAGAGGTCCCTCGCCGCCCCCAGCCCCGCCCTCACCTGCACCAGGTCGCGGAACTCGGGCGAGAAGTGGCCCATGAGCTTGACGTGGTGGTCGGTGGCGCCCTTGCTGATCATGGCGACCAGGCGGCGGCGGCGCTCCTCGGCGGTGCGGCCCTTGTCGCGGCACGGCGGGAACGGCATCCTGCCCACGGCCATGTAGTACAGCACCACGCCCAGGCTCCACAGGTCCACCTCGGGCCCGTACGGCCTGCGGGTAAGGCTAGCGGGCTTGACTTACAGTGTCGGCGCCACTTATCGCTCCACGCTGCATCGGCGTGTCCGCGGCAGAGCAAGGCAGAGCAAGGCGGCCTGACCTGTCGCGCTGGTAGATCTCGGGCGCCGCGTACCCGGGCGAGCCGCAGTGGGTGAGCAGCGGCCGCGTCCGGGACCACGTCCTGCCCAGCCCGAAGTCGACGATCTTGACGTGGTCGCCGCGCTTGCTCAGCATGATGTTCTTGGTCTTGAGGTCGCGGTGCACCACCTGCAGCGCGTGCATGTGCGCCACGGCCGAGATGAGCTGCGCGCCGAACACGAGCGTGGTGGCCTCGTCCAGGTGGCCGCGCGGCTGCCGGTTGACCTGGTGAAGACATGCAGTGCGTCAGCACCCTGCCCCTGGCTGGGGAAATCTGGTGCTATTGTGTGAAAAAGTAAATACAATCCGTTCCGTTTATGCGGTGGTTGCTGGGAACGCGTGCACTCGTTGCGTCATGCATTGCACATCGGGGGGTGAGGAGGGGGGTGTCTGGGCGACGCGACGACAAAAGAAAGTGGCGGGGTGGGTCAGACACGTCTGGGTGAAAGTAAAACGTGGAGTGCGTTTGGGTCGCTCATTCCCCCCACCGGGAAGGCAAGGAGAGGACAGTGTGCCGCGCTGCGCCTGCCGCCTGCCGGCCCTGCCGCGCTCGGACGAACGCACGGTGCGTCCTTCCGGTTCTCGATTTTCTCGTTCCGCCGGCATTCCGAAGCCCCCCGGCTTGGCCCGGCTTACGTGGGTACACAGCTCCCCGCCGTAGAGGGGCTCGGTGACCATGCAGTAGAAGCTGCCCGTCCGGAGCACCTCGAAGATGGCCATGATGTTGGGGTGCTTGAGCTGCTGCAGCACCTTGGCCTCGCGCTCCAGGTGACGCAGCACGTACGGGTCTTTGACGGTGTGCGTGTCGATCATCTGGAACGTGGCGACGTTGGCTTGTCAGCGAGTCAGCGCCGCGAGGCCGACGCCCCCGTCAGGCGCAGGCAGAGACAACTAGCTCGGACTCGGCTAGCCCTTTTCCGCATGTTTTGTTCGACTTGGTCGCGGGAGTCCAACCTTGACGGCGACGTGCGCGTTGTCCACGTCCAGGTGCACGGCCTCCTCCACGCGGGCGTAGTTGCCCTTGCCCATGAGGCGGCCCAGCAGGCGGTAGCGGCCCAAGATGCAGGGCGGCCCGTCCGAGTGATACATGTACATGCTGCTTCCATTCTGTCCCCCTAACCTAGACGCGCCCCCGCCGCCCGGCCACCGCCTGCCAAAAATGAAGCACAAACGAGCCGCGCTGTTGCGGCGCCGCCCTGCGCGCCCTGCGCGGCCGGCACGCTTTGCACTTCGGCGTGGTTTTTGGCGCGCTCAACCCCGGGGCTTGCCCCCAAGGCCGCGCCCCGCTTGCCCTGCACGCGGCGGGTGCCTACGGTCAGCTGGAAAGGGAGCAGGGCCTCTTTGTCAGGGAGTCCATGACCTTGAGGGGGGGGGGGCAGGACCACGTGGGCGCAAGATCGATAGGTCGCGAGGCAAGGGGCCGCGCGGGGCTGGAACGGCTGGAGCCTCCAGTCATCGCTGCATCGCGTCGCTTGCGGTGTGGCGCGTTTGGCGGTTTGCGGCGACGTCGCAGCGCGCAGCAGGGGGTCGACATCGACCGCGTCGTCGCTCAGGTACGACGCCGTCGACCTGGCCGTCTTGTCGGACTGGGGCGCGAACGTGGCTGCCACCGGTAGCGCACGTGCGGGCCCACGTGGGGGCCGCGGCCTTCGGTTTGCACCGACGGGCTGCTTCGTGGCGGTGCCGCGGTGCCGGTACACTGGGCAGTGGAGTTTGCCGACAGCTGAACGGGTCATGTCATGTCATTGCCCACACGGCCGGGACGGCCAGGACTCTGATCGGATGGCGGTCGCGGACTGTCGCGGACTGTCGCTGCGCGCAGGTCCACCACCGCCAACGCGCCGCAGTGTGTGACGCTCGCTTGGCGGTTTGCTTTTCACTTTTGGCGGGGCGGCGCGCATCGCGATGAAAAACGGCGTCCCCCCCCCCCCTCCACCACTCCACCAGCCGCGAGAGGCGCGAGAGGCTCGCAGCCGCGCCACCTCGGACGATAGCCCACCTCGCGCGGATTGGCTGGGCTGGCGGCTCTGGCGGCCGGGCTCGCCGACAGGCCGACGCGGCCCGACGGCTCCAGGGCGCGCGGCGAGGCGCGCGGCGGCGGCGATGTAGGCTCCGAACAGTGCTTTCGTCGGTCTGCCTCTCTCGCGCCCTGACGGAGCGGCCCACGAGTGCGAGAGAGACTTCCCACTCGGAATGCGTCTGCCGGGAGGATGAGGCAGGACCGCCTCGTTGTATCACGCCACTCGGCGGGGGGCCGCCAGCCCGCGCCAGCCCGCCGGCCGGCCGGCTGGATGACCCAGCACCATCACGCCGCGGATCGGGAGCTCCTTGCGCGCCAACCACGCCCCCAGCCGCCCCGGCCGGCGTGAGGCGAAGGTGCCACGGTCCTTTTAAAAATGACACTCGCGTGTTAGCTGGGTGCTGTTGTTGTTTGGCTACACCGCGAGGGGCGTGGCCCACGGCCGCCGACGGCCCAGTGATGGAACGACAGCGGAAAGCCACCCACTTGATAGCACGGCAATTTCGGCCGCCGCAGTCGCGGTGCATAACGGCGGTGTTGAGGGGGCGGGGCAGCGCCAGGCCGTGCCGTGGAAGCGCCGTGACGTTAGGCAACCCGCGGTGGGACTGCACGCGCGTGCCGCGGGGTGCCTACCCTCCGGGCGGCTGCCCATTGCCATTGCCATTGCTGGCTGGACCACGGCTCCACTTGAACCGGAGAGGCCAGACTGACACGGCTGGATAGACTCCACCGACTGCCCTGCTCTCTGCTGCCCCGCTCCGGTGAATGTTGGCTCAAGACCAGGAGCTGACGCGCGCGCGCGCAACCAGTTTTTACACCGCGGGCCGCGTAGACTGTACTCGTTTTGTTTTTAACGTGCGGCGTAGTTGTGCGGGAAATCGGACGCCTGTCCGCTTTTCGGCTCGGTGGAATGAATTTTGAAATGAATTTTGAGCCTGGGAAGGGCTGGCGTGGCGTCGGACGGCGTGGGAATGGGGTGCTCGCCGACGGGGCGCCGCTGGGCGGGCTGGCCGGGCCGGGGCGGCGGGGCGCGCGTGCGACATCGGCCGGCGACCCTTTCCTTGCCTTTCAGGCTTGCACGCGTACTCGTCCTCCCTCAAATTGCAGTGGCCTTGGCGCCTGGGTGTCGCTGCATCCGGCCCGTGCGGCCCGCGGCCCGCGGCCCAGCCCGTGCTCGGCCTTTTGCGGGCCTCGCTCTGCGCCGCTCTGCGCTCTGCGTCGTTCGCCCCGGTCGCTGCTGTTTAGCATGTCAACGTTCGGCTTGCCTATGCTTGGCCGGCTCGGCTCGCCTGCCAGTGCCGCGGCATGCCGGTGACGCGATGCAAAGTGGTGCTGGGCCTCGTTCCGTGGTCTTCTTTCTGCCCCGCGGCCGCCGCCACTCCAAGTCGGGGACGGTCTTGACGAGCACGACGCACAGCTGTACGCTCCCCGGAGCTCGAGGGATTTTGCGGCCGGGGGTCAGCGGGGTGGTGCGCCAGCGTGGACGCCGACCCTTGACCTGCTAGGTGGGGTCCATGTCCGTGCCGCCGTGCCGCCGGCGTGGCGGTTGGGCGCGTTGTCACGGCCCCGCCGCACCGCCAGCCCTGCCAGTCGCGGGCCGCGTGATCTGGCCCCGCCGCACCGCCGTCGTAGGGCCTCGCCGTAGCCGTGGCTGCCGTGGCTATAGCCGCCGCGCCATGTGCTGCGTAAGGTCCGTGCCGCCCCGCCCCGCCCCGCCCCGCTCTTGGCCGCGCCTAACTCATTTTAATTGCAATGTGTGCCGCCGTGGTTCCCGCGGCGTGACGTCACACGTCGCTTCCTTATCCTCGCCAGAGGCAGCCAGCAGGCCGATTCCGGACAGTCCTTTCGTCGCTCTGTCTGTGTCGCACTCTAACGGGGCAGCCCATGAGTGCGACAGAGACAGTCGGACTTCAGAGGCCGACGGCAGCGCGGGCAGCGCGCGGGCCGGCCTGGCCTTTTTGGTGGGGCGACGCGGCGACGGCGACGGCATTGAATGAATCAGTGCAAGAGTGCGCTGCAGGCGCTGCAGCGTCATGACACGTTGGCGGCGGCACGGCGGCGGCACGGCGGCGGCCGAGTAGCGAGTGCCACACCATGCCGCACTCCACCGAGCACCAGGGCCGCACCAGGCCCCACGCGGTGCCCACCCGGGGCCGGCGGCCGTCAGACTGCCGTCAGCGTGTCACCGCCTGGGCCGCCTCGTTGGCGGCGAGATTAGGCGAAGAAGCGCCAGGCAGGATCACGCCCGCCGCACCTAAACAGAAATTGAAAAAAAAGTTTAAAAAGTTTGTTGATACGGGGCGCTACGTCGGTGCTGTAATACGCCGGGTCCCAGGCGTGGCGGGGCGGGCGGGGGGCGTATCATTCGGTTAGCACGTTGGCAGTGGCGTGGGGGGAGAGTGCTGCGCCGGGCTGTGCTGCTTGCGCTGCTGTGCCGGACGAGTTTTGTCTCTTTCCCTTGATCGATCCCGGGGCGGCTGAATCGAGTCGGGGAAGCTCCGATTGCGAGATAACGCCCTTGGAGGGCCTTGAGCAGGCTGAGGGCGCGGGGCGGCGCGGGGCGGCGGCCGGAATCCCCTCTAGTGCAACTGGGCCTCGAGTGCCGCGCCGCCACCGCCTGGTGACAGTGGCCGCTGTGCGGGTGGCCGCAAGTCCCGTGACCTGTCTTCCTCTACTGCAACTTACGGCGTTCGATTTTTCAGTGGGCGCACCTCCAGGCTGGGATTTGGGAGGGGGGGCCACGTCGTCTGTCCTTGGGGCCAATTGGTGGGGCAGGGCCCTGCAGGGGGCGAACGTGGCGCAGACGTCCGCGACGCTCGATCCCCCTGATCCTTTGATGAAAATGATGCGAACGGCCCGGAACGGCCTGACTGGCAAGTTGAGCCCCGCGCCTCTGCCTCTCCAAGGCCGCCAAGGTCGCCTCCCGCCCCCAGACCGGGGTACCTGGGCCGCGCGGCGACGCTAGAGCGATGTGGCCGTGTGGTCGCGGACGTGGACGTATCTGTGGGCTCGAGGCACGCAGGCACGCTGGGTTCACGCGGTTCACGCGCTGGTCCACGCGGGTGCAGGGCGGCGGCGCGGCGTCGCCTGGCGGGCGTGGGTCATCGCCGCGGCCCTGCCTTGCCTGCCCCGGCCCTGCCTGCCCCGGGTGGGGGCGCAGCGTCACGCGCGCAGTGTACACACCAAAAACCAGCCGTGGGGGGTCGCCTCGCCTTCGGCCTTCGCCCCGTGGGCGTCTCCGGTGGGCCAAGTTAGATTTTGACGGCACACCTTTTAATTTTGGGCCCTCCGAAACTTCGGGGCTGGCCAGCCGGTCTCCTTGGCTTCCCCTTGACTCTGGCGGGGCGCGCTGAAGGCCTTGAGATATGGCCGTCAATAGGCATAGGCCCCAACAGGCATAGGTCTCTGGTGTGGGTTATCGCGACGTCATTACTGACCTGCCCTTACACGCCGCGGTGCCCCCCCCCCCCACACACGCCACGCCACGCCACGCCACGCCACGCCCCGCCACGCCCCGCCGGAACCATCATGTTCCCCGAGCGGACGTTCGGGAGTCTCACTCCCAGATCGACCGCGGTCCAGCCAGGACACTCTGTCATCTCGGCCCGTGCACTGGTGTGTGTCGTGTGTTTGCGTTAAGTGTGTGTGTGTGCGCCTGGATTACTTGCATTTGCCGTGTTCGTGAGTCCACTCATCTCCTCGTCAAAAAGTGCAAAATTTTGAATAAAATTTTGGAGCGGCTTTCTTTTTAAATTTTTACCTTTCTTTAGTCTTATTTTACGTTTAGTGTTTTTCTAATCCGACTTTTTCGTGGTTTAAAGTTTTTGTCACGAAGGGAAATGGTGGAATACTTGGATTTTGGTGTCGTTTGGACCCTTCCGTGTGATGAATGTGACTATCTTCGTAGTTTCTTCTCGGGCTGCGCTGCGCCGGCCCGGGCTGGGCGTGTGTGACGATAACGCGGCGACCTCTTGTTTGGCAGAGTGTTTTTGTTTTTTCGAAAAGTATCGCGCGATGGGGCTTACGTTACGTAAGGGTGCTGCCCTAATCGAACGGGGGTCAAAGTGGGGAGAATAACTCGCTGCCCGAGATGACACGCATGGCAGCCGAGGTGATGTTTTCCCGTTTTCCGCTTCCTACCGCGAACAGTTAGACCATTTTTCTGAATCGTTGGTCCTTCGGTAGCCGCGTGCCCTGTGGCACTGCGTATCTTTTCTTCCTGGTGGTTGTACCGGGCGTTTCCACTGTGGCTATGAAAACCGTGCGAACTGGCTCGAATCTAAAGCGGCGGGCTTGAGGCGGGCTTGAGGCGGGCTTGAGGCTCACCTTGAGAGCGGCGCTGCGCCAGCGCTGCGACCGCCTCGCCGTCGAGCCGTCTCTAAGTGAAACCGTTTCGCGGCGCGGCCCGCCTGCCTGCCGCCGTGGGCGTGTTCGTCCCCGGATCACCCGCGTGGTGCCGCGTGCCGCGCCACTGATAGCTCGCGGTTTGTCGTGCTGTGTCTCTCGCACCCGCATGGGGAGCCCCCTGAGCGCGACAGAGACGGAGCGACCAAACTACTCCTTTGCATCGCCCGGCCGGCTCGCGATAGCGACAGGCTTGCGTCTTCCACGAGATGAAGACGCGCTCGCCGAGTGCGGTGGGACCGGCTGATGAGCTGGTTTGAAAATTAAATTTGTATCAGCAACTTTCTAAAATTGGGTGTTTGGGGAGCGATGTGCTAGAGCGTATCTAGATTTGCCGCTCGGTTCTAGACTCGCGTCCTTCAAGTGGCACTTTTCATGCCGAGGACTGTGGCGTCGTCGAGAAGGATCCAAGGATCACGATCCACGGTGTGTACCACACCGCGGCGCGGCGCGGTGCGTGTGTGTGTTTAGCATGGAGTCGGTCGGGACGCCTCTTGGACCCGGTGGTACGGGTTCCCGGGTTCCCGAGCTTTGTACCGGGCAGGGCGGTACGGCGGGGGGGGGGGGGGGGGGGGGGGAAGAGGGGGGAGGGGGCTGAGCGAGTGGCCTTGCCCTTGCCTTGCGTCACTCCCCCCCCCCTCCCCCTTCTCCTCTCTCTCCTTTCTCCCTCCCGATCTTGGAGATCCGAATTTTCCTAAAGCCACCTTCGCTGTCGACTTTTGCTTATCGTTGACGCTCCTCCAAATTTCTTCCCAAACGATGACCCTTCTTTTCCACTGCGGTGAGCCGTGAGTGTCCAGGCGACTGTCCGCTTTGTTTGTCACTTTCTCCGCCATGCCGGGGCGTGCCGGGGCGTGCTGGGGTGCGGCGGGGTGCGGCGGGGGCCGGTCCGACTGGGTCCAGTTGCGCCGCTCCCCATCTCCCCGCCCCGCCCCGCCCTCCGGCCGGCGGCCCAAACGGCGGCCCGAAAAGGTGGGCCTAGGCCCCGGGGCCCCGGCCCAGTCGCGTCCCAGCCTTCGCGAGTGCCGGCCGTGTGAGTGTGTGTGTGACACTGTGTGACACTGTGTGAGTGCCCGCCGCCGCTGCCGCCGCGTCGCCGAGCCCCGACACGCCGCGCACCGTGGCGCACCGTGGCGCACACACCGGGTACGCCGTCCGCCCCGTTCCCGCAGGCCGCCGAGTAGCGCCAGGACTCTTGTGGCAGCGAGAGCCCCCAATCGTTGTGCCGCGGTGTAGTGTTTTTGCCTCGTCTTGACGTTCTGCCGGGTCCCGGCGCGGAGGTTCATCGGGGGCCTCGCGGGCGCGCGCGCGCGTGTGTATGTATGTGTGTGTACATGTGTGTGTGTGTGTCGGTGTTGGGTCTACGTTTTCGAAAGGAATTAGCAAGTCTGACTGGGTTGTGGCGTCAGTGCTAGTTTCCTGTTTGCTCGGCTATCCCGCGGCTTCGCGGCCTCCCCCTCGGCTTCCTTGCGACTTCCCCGCGCCCTGACGCCGTGCCCGTGCCCCGATCAGCTGGCGGCCGAGGGGGCCGAAGGCAGCCGAAGGCCGAAGGAGCGGAGGGCGGAGGATAGGATTGAGGCGGCTTCGTCTTTTTGTTGTCCCGAAGCGGTCCCGAAGCGGTCGCGTCAGTGGCGCTCATGTGGCAATAGGTTTGGATTCGACTTGTCATCATGTAGGGGCGTCTTCGCCTGCGTCTCCACCCCGGGTTGTGGAGTTGACCTGGCAACGCGTTCAACTGCGTGTTTTCTCAGGCAAAGGATTGCCCAAACGCCGAGCCCTACGCGGTTCGGCCTTTACAACGGGGGGACGGGAGAGGGGGGGGGGGGATTTTATAGTGTACTGTACGGCGGGGCATGGCGCGGTTTTGCGTTCCACTCGCCTTCGGTACGATGGGCTCAAATTCTAGCCCGAAATAAACGTCGTTCACCGCCCCGTTCTAACATGATATCACACCAAAAGGGCTGCAGTTTGATGTTTTGAACGTGAAACTGTCAATTGAGCACCGTCACCGGCCTATCTCCCGGCGTTGCCGGCTATATTTTATCGTCACCCGATTGATCTATTTTTGCACTCTCACATACCTTTTTTTTTTTGTTGTGTGCTGTCAGTTGAGCGTGCGCGAATTTTTGTTTTGTGACTTGAATGGAAACGTTTTGTGTGCCCGCAGAGTAAAGAACCATGTCAGCCAAAGCCATCCGGGAAGCAACGGGGAAGGACCTGATCAACAAGCACCTTCCCGCCGGAACCGCAGCCGTCAAGAGCAGCTTCGCCTCTGTCGATGAGGGAACCAACTGGGATGAACTCCTCCTGAAAGAGCCATGGCTGAAGACTCAGGTAAAGTCACCGCATTTGAAAAAAATAAAAAAAATAATTTGAATAGTGTTTGGTTGATTGTTTATTGTTTCGATGTCTTCCTTTTTACCTAACAGAAACTCGTGGCCAAGCCTGACCAGCTGATCAAGCGCCGTGGAAAGCTGGGACTCATCAACGTTAACACAGATTTTGCTGGGGCCAAGCAATGGATTTCTCAGCGCATGGGGAAAGACCAACTGGTTGGAAAGGCTACCGGCAAGCTGCGCAGCTTCATCATCGAACCATTCCTGCCGCACAAGGCTGTGAGTTGAATCATGAATCTTTGGAGATACTGCAGTGTGTCTCTTGTCTCAATCAATAGGCTCATACAATCCCCCCCCCTCTCTTTCTCCTTCTCTTTGTAGGATGAAGAAGCTTACGTTTGCATCTATTCTCATCGCCATGCCGACACAATTCTTTTCCACCATGAAGGTGGTGTTGATATTGGTGATGTTGATGCTAAAGCAAGCCGCCTTGACATCCCTGTCGGCGAACCCAGTGCTGCCACTGCCGCAAATATCACCACCAAGCTTCTGACAAAGCTCCCTGCTGCCAAACAGCCGTAAGTCTTCTTTGAAATTGTAGTAAATTATGTGGAAGAAGCTCCTTTCAATACTAAGAAATTGTTTTCTTATTTCAGAATGGTGGCCAAATTCATTGAATCTCTCTACCTTATGTACACGGATCTGTACTTCACTTACTTAGAAATTAATCCTTTAGTTGTCACTGCTGACAAAATTTACATTCTTGATCTCGCCGCCAAGCTTGACGCCACAGCTGATTTCATTTGCCGATCCAAGTGGGGAGAGATTGACTACCCACCTCCATTTGGACGTGATGCTCTCCCTGAGGAGGCTTACATTGCTGACCTTGACGCCAAGAGTGGAGCATCTTTGAAGGTACCTTGTGATTTTTTAAAATTTCTTGAAACAATGTGATGATGATAAGAATGATAAATGACTAACACTTGCTCAAAACTTGATTCCAGCTTACAATTTTGAACAAGAAGGGTCGTATCTGGACCATGGTTGCAGGAGGTGGAGCATCTGTGATTTACAGTGACACAATTTGTGATTTTGGTGGGGCATCTGAACTTGCTAACTACGGAGAGTACAGTGGAGCTCCATCTGAGCAGCAGACTTACGAGTATGCCAAGACCATCCTGTCCCTCATGACCCAGGAGAAACATCCCCAGGGCAAGGTATGTTTGTATGGTGTGCTGTGAACTTTATTTGTCTAGAAGTTGAGTTTCTCTATAACTATTGTCTTTTTGTCTGTAGGTCTTGATCATGGGTGGAGGAATCGCAAACTTCACCAATGTAGCTGCTACATTCAAGGGAATTGTGACAGCTCTTCTTGAGTTCCAACCAAAACTTGTTGAGCACAACATTTCTCTGTTTGTGCGACGTGCTGGTCCTAACTACCAGGAGGGTTTGAGGTACGAAGTCTTGTGATTTCAATTTTAAATTGGTTATCATGAATCATATTCAGCACTTTAACTTGAGACCTATTTAATGTGATGCAGGCGTCTGCGTGAGGTTGGTCAGAGCCTTGGCATCCCTCTCCACGTGTTCGGCCCCGAGACTCACATGACAGCCATCGTTGGTATGGCTCTGGGCAAGACACCCGTTCCTAGGCACTCTGAGGTTGAATTCACCACAGCCAACTTCCTGCTCCCCGGTGGCCAAGAGGTAAATGACATACCACCGACACTTCAATGCAGTATGCATGATCAACTTCAATTTGTGGTGATTTTCACCGTCTTTTCTGCTCTTTAGGAATCCCCTCTTCCCTCCAGAAGAGAATCATCCGCCTCTGCCCCCCAATTGGGCCGAGTCCCATCAAGGGATACCACCATGTCTGCCAGTGCTGCTGCTGCCTTCAAGCCCATGGTCCACAACAAGACCAAGTCTATTGTTTGGGGTATGCAGACCCGTGCTGTCCAGGTATTTAACCACTTAAAGCATATCTTACATTATTTTTTCCCCGTACGCTGAGGACTGTCCCATGCTAATTTTTTGCCTTTCCCTGACTTTTAGAGTGTTCTGGACTTCGACTTTGTCTGCAGTAGGCCAGAACCCAGTGTTGTTGCTATGGTGTACCCATTCACTGGTGATCACAAGCAGAAGTTCTACTGGGGTCACAAAGAAATTCTCATCCCTGGTAAGTCGAATTTCCTCCTTCCTCTCTCTCCCCCCGCCCTTCCTCTTTTGGTTTGTTGTGGGCATGGGAGTGTGTTGTTCCATCAACTGTACTAATGATTCATTTTCTCTAGTGTACAAGAAAATGGGAGATGCTGTTGCAAAGCACCCAGCTGCTGACGTTCTTGTCAACTTTGCATCCCTGCGTTCTGCCTATGAAAGCACTGTTGAAGCCATGAGCTTCCCTCAGGTAATTTTTCTGGTTCTTATTTTGAGTTGTTTCAATACAGCACATGGCTGGTTGCTGACTGTTGTTTATTTTTGTTGCAGTTCAAAACTATTGCGATCATTGCGGAAGGTATTCCTGAAAACCAGACTCGTCAGCTTATCAAGATGGCCAATGAGAAGAAGGTTTCAATTATCGGCCCAGCTACTGTTGGTGGTATCAAACCAGGCTGCTTCAAAATTGGTAACACTGGTGGTATGATGGACAACATTCTTCATTCAAAACTGTACCGTCCTGGCAGGTGTGTATTGGTGCAACATGTCTTGCTTTTCTTCTGTCAAAACCATTGACAATTTCTTTAACAGTTTCTTTATCTTTTCTCCAGTGTTGCATATGTTTCTCGTTCTGGCGGTATGTCCAACGAGCTGAACAACATCATTTCAAAGGCAACCAATGGTGTATTTGAAGGTGTTGCTATTGGTGGTGACCGTTACCCAGGCACTACTTTCATGGACCACATTATGAGGTATCAAGCTGACCCCGCTGTCAAAATGATCGTTCTTTTGGGTGAAGTTGGTGGCATTGAAGAATATGAAGTGTGCGAAGCTTTGAAATCTGGTCGTATTTCCAAGCCTCTTGTTGCTTGGTGCATTGGTACTTGCGCTGGTGCGTATCATCATCCCTTGTAGTCTTGTCATGAATTTTGCACAAACCTTTCTTAAATTACACAATTAATTTTTCAGGAATGTTCACCTCTGAAGTGCAGTTTGGTCATGCTGGTTCATGTGCAAACTCTGATCGTGAAACTGCAACAGCCAAGAATGCTGCTCTGAAGGCGGCTGGAGCTTTCGTTCCCAGCTCCTTTGACTCCCTTGGAGTGGAGATTCATGGGGTTTATGCTCAGCTTGTTGCTGATGGTAGCATTGTCCCTGAACCAGAAAGGCCCGCACCAACTGTTCCCATGGACTACTCTTGGGCACGAGTAAGTGGTTTTAACTTTAAGGAAACTTTCATCATAATGTGACTGCTTGAAACTTTTTCATTAAATTTGTACAGAATATTTTTGAGCTGGAACTGAAATGTAATAATTTACTTGTTACAGGAACTCGGACTTATCCGTAAGCCAGCCTCGTTCATGACTAGCATTTGCGATGAAAGAGGACAGGAGCTGTTATATGCTGGCATGCCAATCAGTGATGTAAGTGTTGGCTAGTTGCATATTTTTGTTTCGGTTTTCAATGTTATTCTGCTCACTAATGTTTTTATTCTCATCCCAATTAGGTTTTGAAGCAGAACATGGGAATTGGTGGAGTGGTCTCCCTGTTGTGGTTCCAGCGCAGCCTCCCTCCCTATGTGTGCAAGTTCTTTGAAATGTGTCTCATGGTTACTGCTGATCATGGACCTGCTGTTTCTGGTGCCCACAACACAATTGTCTGTGCACGAGCTGGCAAGGATCTTGTATCTTCTTTAGTTTCTGGACTTCTGACCATTGTGAGCCATAGCCGTTTGTTGCACTGCAATTTATTTATTTTTCTCTTTTATGCTCTTGAGTTAATAATGGTTTTTCTCTTTTAGGGTGATAGATTTGGTGGTGCTTTGGATGGTGCTGCCAAGCAGTTCAGTGAAGCTTATGACTCTGGTGCTATTCCCATGGAATTTGTCAATGACATGAGGAAGAAGGGCAAGCTGATTATGGGCATTGGCCACAGAGTGAAATCAGTGAGTAGCCTCATCACTTTATTAATTTTACACTATTGAAATGCTTTTGAACATTTTCAATATTTCATTCATGTTGTTTTTCTCTTCTAGGTCAACAACCCTGACAAGCGTGTGCAGATCATCAAGGAGTTTGTTCTGGAGCACTTCCCTGCAACACCCCTTCTTCATTACGCCCTGGAGGTTGAGAAGCTTACCACATCCAAAAAGCCAAACCTCATCCTCAATGTTGATGGTGTTATTGCTGTTTCTTTCGTTGATCTTCTTCGTCATTCAGGCTGCTTCACAAGGTATGAAGGGCATTGAAGCGTTTCTCCTACTTTTCATCTGGGATACAACTTCAACACAACCATCTTGAAACTAAATGTGGTCTGGTCTGTTTTTCAGGGAGGAAGCTCAGGAATATGTTGAAATGGGTTCAATCAACAGTTTGTTTGTCCTTGGGCGCAGCATTGGTTTCATTGGTGAGCACTTAAAACTTGTTCTTGCTCAAAATTGTTTTGGTTAAAATTTTGAGATGACATGACAATCTAAAATTTGATCTTAATTTACAGGTCACTACATGGATCAGAAGAGATTGAAACAGGGGCTGTACCGTCACCCATGGGATGACATTTCCTACATTCTACCTGAACAGTACAATTGAGTCTATAATTCTTGTTGTTGAGTTTCAGTACAAAAATCTTGAGTGCATAGCTACAACTTTTTTTAAAAAAATCAAAGAAACATTGGCTTTAAAATTTTATCTTGAACTCTGTATTATCATGATTGACAGCCAATCCTATTGACACATTGTTGTAATTACTGTTGTAGCTCTTCCATTTATTTTGCACTTTGAATATGCATTAGTGCACTTGCATAAGTGTAAGTGTACCGTACCAAATGCATTTATGTTTACTCCATGTTGGAGTGGTGTGGCGTCTCATTCTTTTATCGCTTGTTCCCTCCAAGCTGCAAGATTCGTGGAACAGAAGCATGGGCACATCATGCCATTGTTTTGTACATATGCACTACAGTGTTTTATGTGTAGTGTAGTGATACTATTTAAAAGAGCTAATGTAGGGAAAGTGACTCTGGAGGAGTTGACTTCCACTCTCTCAGCGAGTCTAATGAAATGGCTTGCTGTGATCTGTTTTTACATGTGTACATAGGTACTTTAGTATGTAATAGTGGGAGTGGACTCAATTTTATAATTTTTTTTTTTAAACATGTTGGTGTAAGGCTGTTGATAGCACATGTCTGTGAATGAGTGACAAGTGTGGAGTAGCTCCCCTAGCCCTTTCATCTGCTCTCTTCCACACTTTCACACAATAAAGTAACTTATTAAAGTATATTTTATTTTTATTTTAGTTACTTTTTTTTCCTCTCCATGGCATGCTGCTTGTATACTCCTTTTGTGGAATAATCGTCATGAGCTTCATAGTCAGTAGCATTGATTTCTAGATTTAGATTGTTATGAGGAAATCATAGACACTTGAGATGAAACAGGTATACTAGTTTTAACACTGCTAAACTTTAAAGTTGCAAGATCAAGTGAGAACTCTTCATGAGTTGAGTACTGTAAATGTCTCAAAGACCGATATTTTATGATCAGTGATTGATCTAGGTCCAGCTGTACAAATGTATACAATATCTGATTTGGAAAATGAAACCATACATATCAGAGAAAGCCTGAAAGAAACATATCATGTATTTTTAGATTTTAGATGTAATGTTATTAAAAAGAAGTGAATAAAAATATCTGGGTTAGTATCTGCGGGTCCCTAGATTGCAGTTTCAATTATGTTCCTGATGCTTCAGAGCAGCAACTTTGAAAACTAATGCAATATGCACTCTCACACTACACAGCTTTCAGAAACCACAATTTCAGTGACTTCACTATGCACAGCTACGTCATCTGTGATAATTGAAGAAGGGGAAGGGGGGAGTTTAGGAGTGGTTATTTGCTGGTGGTTTCAAGAAAAGTTCCTGAAGAGTACAGCAGTGTGTTGGATGGGCATTATGGTGTAAAAGAAATAACAAATCAAAGGCTTTTTATTCTTCAAAGAATTTTAATTGTAGTCAAATCTGTTTTTTTTTTAAATTGGATTTTTTTTTCAGCTCTGTAATTTACAGGGTTATACAGAAATTGATTTCCATTAAGAACACCTGCATATTGGATGGTACAGCCTACACAGACTGAGATGGCAACTTTGACTAAAATCAATTTACTACCGATGGAATGGATTGACTTTATCACATAAAGCAAGTTACCAAAAAGCAAAAACCTACACATTGTCTGTGCTCAACATTTAACAACATGGAAAAGACCAAGGAAATAAGTGCATCTGTTGCTCAAAGCTGCTCCTCTTATTTCTGAACACAATAAAGATTAATACTGACTCAGATATTATTCCTATTATATGTATTACACTATAGTCCACACACACTCCAGTTAAGCAGTTTAAATGAAAAAAATTAATGGTATGACCACTAAAAAATTGACACACCAAGCTATTGTTGCAGCATAAGCTTAGAACTAAGGTTGATACAGGGTCAACCTACACATTTGAAATGATTTATTACTAAAGATTTCACTTAAGTTGGTTTGGGAAAAACTATCAAATAAATAAATTCTAACATTATTACAAAGTACCCATGAATCACGTCTTCAAATACAAGGTATTGATTTGCAATATTATTTTATCTTCATCAAACCATAATATAAAAGAAGAGTCATCAGTTTTTTTCTTTTATGCATCTTCACACTGAGATTGGACCACACATGAATCATGTTGAGCAAACAAGTTAACATGGAATGTGCAATTCTCCCACATTGGCAATGGTATCTCATGCCAGTTTTTGGAAGGTGAAAAGAAGTCTTAATACAAATGGGGGAAAAAAGGGAAAAGATAGAATGCTACATGAGTTGATGTGTGATGAGTATTGCCATGCATTTTTGTCAGGATGTAGTTCCGCCAAAGGTACTCGCAACATTCCTCCAAGTCTCCTCTGTTCTCCAAGGAGCAGGGACTCTATGCTAACAGAAATGCATGGCTGAACTTCATCTGATCTAGGTTCAAAAGGAACAAAAAAAAATAAAAAAATTGAGAACACAAAGAACAACATACCCACTGCTAAAAGTAGAAATTACTGTAATGACTGCACACAACCATTTTTAATGTTGCACACACCTCAAACCCTACCACACAATGCTTAAGCTCTTAAAAGACACATGTTGAATATGAACAAATGTCAGTGTTGGCCATTGCTCCCACCATATCAAATTTCAAACACAGAGGAGCATAAAAGTTCATAATAAAACCTGCTCCACATTATTGCTAAGAAGCAAACAGCACTTATTATCCCCAACCCATGCTTGCTTTATGATTAGTACATAATGTACAAGTGTTCTTAGGTCATACTATTTTCAAGCTCTTATGACACATACTTATAAAAATAATAAAATGGCACTACAATTGATCACAGAAACTTACACATGTTTCACAGGCATATATAAAATTCAAAACAGCTTTAGAATACATGTAAGTAAAGCAAGTTACAACAAGTGTACAAGTTAAAAAATTCAGTTTAGTCCCTAAAACGTCTCTCATGCCTACACATCACTTTCACTCTAAAGAATGATGCTGTTTTATCACATCCTAGCTTAAGTAATTGTACTAAAACTTAAGACAGATTTCAAATCCTTTTCTCGTGAGGATAAGAGGAAAGGGAATGATGTCGTAGGGAAATATGTTTACATGGAATTTACCAATAAGTCAAGCCATCACACTGAGAAATTGTTAACACATTTGATAACCTATCAATGCTAATGAAGATGACGAACATTATGGGAAGATCCTGAAGATACTATATTCATATAAAACAACACAATACACAGGAGCATTGAAATAGAAAATATTTCTTTCTGACAAATTAAGAACAGAAGCAAAACCTCACCATACCGCAATTAATTTTTACAGTTGGTTTCAGGAAGAACAAATTAAAACCATTTGCTTTCTCATGGTAACTCTGGAATATGAAACTACAAGGAGTTTCAAAAGACAATAAAATTACATAATAGAATATCTAAAAAGAAAGAAGAGCAATAAACAGTAGAAAAGTAATAAAATGTACAAAGCAATAATAACAGTACCCAATAATGGAATGGTAAAAAAGGTGACCAGAGTGTTTCATACATAAGAAATAAAAGCATTGATTAAAACATGTTATAAATATAAACTATTTGGTTCCTAAATGACAAGAACAATATCACTGGGAATATTGAAATTTCTGTTTGTTACAGAACAGTCACTAGCCTCCCCACATTATGAGTCAAACTAAAGCATTGAGTATGTTTAAAAAAACATCATTATATCTAGCCAAGGCAGGCGTGAAAGCACACACACACAAATGGAAAAAAGAAAAGCTAATTACAAGATTAGAAGGATCCAAATCTCACAATGGCCTTTATTTTTCATAAATGTAAAAAGAAGGGAGATGCTATTAGTCATAGAAATAATACAACCAAAATACAACCTCAAAGTGTTTGCCAATTGTAAGGACCCATATTTATTATGACTGGAAGCTCAACTGAGCCTCTACAAAAATTCTACTCAGAAGTTCTCCACTGTTATGTCAACAGCTGTTTGGTCCCTACTCAGTAATTTTGTGAATAACCAGCATCCTTCAACCTCTCAGTCATAACTAACCACATAAGGCCAAATATGAGTGCTGCAGACAGCCTCAGTAGCAAAAGATGCAATAGTTATCAGGAAAGAAAGTTCCTTTCAGATTCACTCATGGGTTGTCGAGGCAATGATGACTCTTGATTGAGTCTAGAAAATGATCTAGGAAATTCCTGAAAGAAATTTGGAATATTGAATTAGTGAAAACATGTTTTTACATGTTTGGACCCACATGTGTGGTGGCAGTTATAGAGATCCCTTACCTGAGCAGACAGACATTTTTCCTGAGCTGGCTGTATTTTGGCATCAGGAGTGTCTTCAGCAAGGCTACTGATAGTTCCGAGTCTCGAACTTGAAACAGGGGAAAAGCGAACTCGTGAAGGAAAAGACCCACTAACTTCTTCAGTAGCCAGTGCTTCGTTTGCTCCAAGGCCAGAAATGTGGTCGACTAATCCTTCTTTAAAACCTGTGAAAAAATTCAGAAAATGTTTTACATTTATTTTAATGATGTGTCATATCTACTTTTCTGTGATAAGCACAGCAAGGGAAAAATAGCGTTGCATTACTTGAACGAGCAGACATTGGTGAATAGGATGAGCGCTTGAGGCTTGATCGAAGACAAGATGAGGCCAGCTCGCTCATTAATTCTTTGTCACTTGACAGATTGCCATGTTGAGACTCAGAGCTATTGGGAATATTGCTGAAGGATGAAATGTCATACAGGCCAGATTCTGTGCCACCACTCCACACACCAGAGCTACTGGCCATCAAAGAAGAAATAGGAGAAAAGCGAACACGTGATACAGATGATGAAGAGTAAGAACCTTCCTTGGCTGAAACATAACTACTATCTTCACTAGTCAAACTATCAGTCGTTGGTGGGCGGTGGAAAAGTGACGAGTCTCGATCCAGCAAGTCTCTAGAGGTCTGTTGATAATATTTCTGAGCTGGCATGTATTCACTGGACCAGTCACTATAAAAACAAATGAAAAATGAATAAACAAAAGATTTCAATAAGAGGTTTCATTAAACAATATAGTTGTCATACTTACGAATGAGAAGTAGGAGTGGAATGTATTGGGTGTCTATACAAATCATCATCCATGCCCAGGTTTAAACTAGCATTCGAGGTATTTGATATATTTGAGCCACAAGATAAATTCTGCCGATGCATGTAACCACTTGTTATTCTTGAAGGTGTCCTTGGTAAAGGTGGCGTATATGAAATATTACGAAGTGCACTAAAAGAGCTCCCAATATTACTACGAGAGTTATCCAATGATGGCTGGCGAGCATGAATAAAGTCACCACCTGGTACACTACAGGCTGGCAGTGGCTGCCCATCAAACTCATGTCTTGATCTATAACTCAAAGGAGAACCTCGAAAGTCACTAACTGGTTGCCGTTGCAAAAAATTTAGTGGAGGAAGTTCTGGTTCTAATACATCACAGCCAGAACTAAATGGAACCACAACATAGCTTGGTTTACCAGCATTGCTCAATACACGGTTTTTCAAATATGGAGAATTCAATGCAGAATGAGGCAAGGCCTGAATAAAAACAGAAGAAATTGATAAACCCATATCAATGGAGACAGTCAAAGTTATACCATTAAAAATGTTTTTAGGAAATACATACTTCTGAAGGTTCCACATTAACACTGTTCTTTCTGCGAGGAGATCCTGCTCTGGAACTTGCACATGAAACAGTGCGGGAGCTTGTTAGAGAACTTCCTTGCGATCCTGAATGAGAAAGTTTCAGAGCAGAGAGCTGGGAATGTAGAGGTCTCATATCCTCTTCATTAACCGGAGTACCATAGCCCAACTCAATCGGCTTCTGAGCTACGAGGTCGTTGAGAAGCGGACGATAGTGCCATACAGGTCCATGATATGTGTTGTGTTGGAATCCTATACCAAAATGAAAAAAAATAAACTAGGTGTAAAAAAAAATAAACAAATGAAGTATAGAAAGCCCAGCACAAATAGGGACCAGAAATGACAAACCTGAGGCTGCACCAAATTCATGTTCAGGAGCCATGTATTTATTCCGAAGAAATCCGCTGTCAGGACCACTGTGCCACCATTTGTGTTCTGAAGACACATCTTCACCCCTTTGTCCAAAACAAAAGCAAATTTGTGAACAACTTAATTTTAAATTTACATATAGTTACAAAACACACACAAAATTTTACTGAAACTTTAAGTTACCTCTCTGGATGTAAACAAGGATGAAAGGGAGTGACATTTGACAGTCTCACGTCATAGCCAGCAGCAAAACTTGCAAGCATGGCAGCCATGTTATATAAAACCATTTCAATGATAGATGGCTTTGGACGAGGCCGCGTAGGGTCAGAATTGGTGCCATTATAAAGCGTGGGCATTGGTATTTGCAGTGGAGATAGTATTTGAGAATGCTTAGGGCTGACAGCAGCTGATTCTCCAGCCCAATCCACTTCAGATGGAAGCACAGCATTTCCATAATCTATTCAAAGTCAAGGAGAAACAAGTTAGTACATGTGTGATGGAAGATTTGTCTTTCAGAGCAGATGTACTCAAAGATTAAATGAAGCATGCAAAATTTAGTCCTTACGTAGGAATATTAACATGCTGATTAAGAAAAATAAAACATGTCCATACCTTTGCAAGTCTACTGTGTGGCAAGAATGACGAAAACTATGATTGCATTCCCTTCTGATAGCAAAGTAAAAGTGTGCAATAAAATATAAAAAGCACAAAACTTCCGAAATGAAAAAAAAACAAAAAAAAACAGCTACAGATATCAAGCAAAAATTTAAAAAAGTATTTTGGTATAGAGGAAAGGGTTTTTTTTTCTATCCATAAGGTGTTTGTTTGAAAAGTATTGATTGGAAAACTAATTTGAAGACTAGAAGACTGCATAATGCGATCACACAGTCTAAAAGGAGTAAAATTTTAGGATCAAAATACTTCTAGCAATTCAAGACAAGAATTTAGAAAAAAAGATATTAAGTGGTGTGGGTTTTCTAATAATAAAAGAAAGAATCAGGGGTCTTGCATACATTGTACAAGAAATGCAAATGCTCCAGAGTAGCAAAAGCAAAATCAGAATGTCTGAAAATTGTGTGATACAATATGTGCAGGACTCCTTACTGAGATTAATTGAAGCCCTTATTTAATACTGCCACCATTAGAGCTCACAGTAAGTCAAGCAGCACTTTTAGATGGGCGTTGTTAGAGACTTCTTAAAGAGGGTTGAAGTTAAATTAGTGCAAGATACTTCCAAAAACTTGGTACATTATGGGTTTTCAAATTTATTGAAACTTTGAGATACATTTACAGTGTTAGCCAGTAACCTATCTAAATATGCTCTCTGATAATGAGCAAGTTTTCATCTTAATTCACACCCTGTACCAATTTGATGATAGGTTCATGTTCAGAGAAAATTTAATCATTATCAAACAAAATGAAATGAAAAAAAAAATAAGAACAACATCCTGGCAAATAAAGAAGCAACAACAGAAATAAAAACTTGGCATAAGTACTTTACTCACACATAGCAATCACATTAAATACAAAATTTAAGCAAACTACCTTCCAACTACAAATAATAAGTAATAATCATGGAATGAACTCAAAAGCAAATCAGATTACTCTATTCAGATAGCTCGTTTGAGGTAAAATTTAGCGATACCCTTTATCATTAAGTTTTTGAAAAGTGAACTTCCTTCCATCAATTAATAAAAAAAGGAAACAAGATAAAAAGTTGATTGAATGTTTCAGTCAGTTTAAAAAGAATATGACATTATAAAAAACAAAAAATCAAGATAATGGAGAGGTGTAAGCGTTGATCAAACTATACAATAAATCATAGAAGACATTATGTTTGCCATCCTTCCAAAAGGATAAGCACAGCATTAGACATTTAGCAAAACTTGAGTGTACCTCTTAGCAGACATTTTTAAAATTTCATTCTCAAAAGTTCTATTTGGCATGCAAAGGAAATAAGTTCTTAACATTGGGGTAAGTATTTACAAATAAATTTTAACAACTTAATAATAATTCAATCATGCAGCAAAATACATGACTACTTAGCGGTTCCTATGGAGATATGAAGTAACTTTCATTGAAAATGAATCCAGAGGAATGCTTGTTTGTATATAGAAACAAGTTAAACTAAGTGGCATTGAAATAATGTTTTAGCAGCTAACTAGGAAGATAGCGGGAAGCATCCAATAGAAAGTATACCAGTAAGTATAACTTAACAATGAGAGCTGTTGAAGCTCTTGTGCCAACGGTTTTCTGAATCCACAGATATGTTACTCTCCGAACATGCTCGGCTTGTGCGTCCCTTCCCCCTCCCCTCCTCCTCTTCCTCGTCCATCCTACCTATTTCTTGGAGAACCCCATAGGGTGACAGGCCTGTGGAAGCTGAGCGGCCAGCAGGGTGCTTCTCCAAGTTGGGTGCACTCTTGCTCCATAGCTTGTGGCTAGTTGTGTCGGACACGCGTGCGATGATTTGCCCACGTTCTCGCTGATGGCAAGTGCTTGGGCCCCAGGTCTTGCCTTTGATGCCTTCACCAGACACTAAGGGATCTACAGGAAGGGGGTTTGACATTCAAAGACATGGAAACGGCCAAAAACACAAGGGATGAAATTGTCATTGAACATTTTCAAAGACCAAACTTAAGAATAACTAGAAGATAGCTGTCACATAAGTCAGCAATATCCTAATTTCACCCGATTTGAAAGAGAGACCGTCTTTAAGGTTAGAGTCAACATGACTATAGCCTTGCCTTAAAATTAATTAACTGCGGGGTTCAGCTTTGTGAACAAAGCCAAAAAGAACCTAATAAGGGATGTTAATTTAAGTTTTAAAAAAATCTGTGGTACTTCGAATTAATTTTTGCAAATTGTGGTGTTTCCCAACTGTGTACTATTTATAAATATATATAATAAATGGGAGCATATTTAAAGCTTGCAAGCTTTTGTCAAATTGAAAAGAAATTTCTTCTCGGTAAACAAAAAAGCACCACACATGAGGGGAAAAAAATCAAATCCTACAGAATGCACAATTTACAATCACACGCCAATTCATCAGAACACTTACATGCAAAAAAATTTCTAATATAGTATAAAAACAAAACTTACCCTCAAAGTGGTAAGAATTTAAATTAGAAATTTTGTAAAAGAAAGCAAGAGCTACTTAGGTGAAAGGAAAATATTTAATTAACTGATATGATAAGCAATCTTTGCAAAAATTTGAAAAATGCAGTGAAAAAGATGTATCAAGTAAAAGAAGTATAAGTGCTCTTGATGAAGGCAAAAGTCACCTAACTACTTTCAATCATCACACAGTGCATATGAGCTATTCATTGCAACTTACTGGCAATAACATGCAGACGAGGACCTATGCTTGGTGATCCAGGTGGGCTGTTAGGGTTGCCCAGGCGATCTTCATGCTTCACAGTAATTGTATGCCGAAAACCTGAAAAGTTATTGATAAAAAAGTGAGTAGATGTCCAAATTTAATTTGTGAGGTAGATAAGCAAATAGGACACAATCTTACCAGAAGGAGCACTAATGTTTTGACCCGGCTCTTTCTTCAGAAGTTTGAGATAGGCCTTTTTCCCTTTACGTTTAGTGGGTTGAGGAGTAGAGGCAGGCTGGCTTTGTTGCTGCTGCATTGTCAAGTGAAGCTCTCGTTCAATTAATTGGATTTCTCTGGCAAATAATTCTTTTTCTCTCTGTCTTAAATTTTCTTCTACTTGTTTCTGTTGCAACTGAACTTTAGACAACTCTTCTTCTCGACAACGCAACTCCTGGTAAGGCAATCATGGCATTAAATATAAAAACTAAGACCAACGAAACCACCACAACAAAGGCAGTTTTTAGCTTCAATTAAGCACTTACTATTTCTTTTTGACGTAAATCTCTAAGAACTTCTTCGATTTCTTCCTTCCAATTAGCTTGCATTGTGTGGAAACTGTCATGAGTAGTTTGCATAAATTCTGAGTGCTTTATTGTCTCCAATGCTACTAAGATTGCTTCAAAAGATGGCCTTTCATGTGGATCTGCATTCCAGCAAGCTGCAAATAAAACGAAGAAACGAGCAGAGTGAGCTCAAAGTTCTTTTTTTGGGGTTGTTTAATTTTTTTAAAGTTTTGCCAGCTGAGACAAGGCTGCCTCAAAACGAGATAAAATATTCACAATAGTCATGGTATCTACCTTCCATTAGATCTCTCCATGACTTTGGGCATGTTTTGGGAATTGGGAGAGTAAGTTTGTTGATAGCAACACCATAAACAATAGCCAATGTATCAATACCCTTGTAAGGGGTTTCACCAGTTAGAAGTTCCCACAATAAAACACCATAACTAAACAAAACAGCAATATTAACACAGTATGACGAAATGCACACACAAACATATTTTAAAATCATACAAAGCAGAGACTGAAATGTTTGTTATTACCTCCACACATCACTGGATCTGCTGAAACACGAGTCACGCATTACCTCTGGAGCCATCCAGGCATAAGTTCCCACAGCTGACATTTGCTCAGTCTTGTAAACCTCACGGGCTAAACCAAAATCTGTTATTTTTAATGTTTTGTTGCGCAAGTCATCAGCTTCAGTTATGCGCTCTGTTAAAAGTACTGTGAAAGCAGAAAAACAACACAATGCCATGTTAAAAGGCATGCAGAAAAATAAGGTCAGAAACTAATTGGCAGCTTCACTACATTTAAAAGTGTAATCTTGTTACATCTTGTTACAAGTATAATACAACACAAAAGCACAAAATTTGGTTTACTAGACTCACCATTTGAAGACTTTAAATCTCGGTGAATTATGGAGATGGGTGCCCCATTGTGTAGATAATTCATTCCCTTTGCGATTTGAATGGCCCAGTCAACCAAAACATCAGGGGCTATTTTAGCTCCAGCTAAAACTCTATTAAGAGACCCTCCTCGGGCATATTCCATTACCAAACATAGATTAGGTTTTTCCAAACACACTCCTATTACATTAACAATATTCTCATGATCTAATAACCAGGACAAATTAGCTTCTTGCCGCATCTTCTCCAAAGTGTCGTTGACATCTTCATCAGGTTCTTGTCGTGCTTCTTTGACAGCCACCTCTTGCTGTAGCCAGTAGGCACGAAAAACTTTTCCAAATCCACCAACCCCTATGACTTCACACAGGTGGAGTTCACTGTAGCTTATCTCCACCGGTTTGATATCTCCTTCTACAAAATTTGATGGGAAAATTCCCACCTTGTCTCCAATTTTACCCGTCCACCAACCCTCATCGCCTGAGATCTTCGAGTCGTATGAGAGCACTTCAACAATGCGGCCCCGGCGGAGGGTGAGTTCATCTTCTCCTTGTGCATCATAGTCATAGATAGCAGTCCAGAGGTGATTGGCATCGTGCCTCCTGGTTGGGTAGCCACTGGAGTGTTGCGGTGTCTGTGGAGGGCTTCGCAAGCGGCTGTGGGAAGGAGCTGGGGATACAGAGCGGCTTCCATGGCTCCGAAGATTCCCAGAGAAGCCAATTCGAGAGGAGCTAGACTTACTGGTACTGCTGATGGGAGATTGCGAACAGGTGCTGAGGCTTTGTGCACTGTATAAACCCTCTCTGCCATTGTTGATACCCAGCACAGGTCTCTTGTGTTCCATGGAAGTCAGATGGGGAGGCATTCGTTCCTAGAACGGAATCTTGCTCTCCCAGCAGAGGTTAGATTAACGCAGCTGCTATTTGCTTGAGGAAATAAACACAGGTGGTTGGTGCTTTGAAATTGCTTGCACTGGATCTCCATCCAAGTCCAAGAACATAGGGCTGTTCCACTTTTCATGGCATATAGCCTGTGAAGAGTCGCTAGCGCATATTGAAGCGATACAGGACACAGTTCAAAGAAGAGTCGATTGCTGGACCACAATACCTTCACTGTGACCCAAATAGTGTTTACAAACTTCAGCAAAAACAAGGCATCATCGTAACCTGCTGCTACTGCACAACTTCGCCATGATTGAAACGTAGAGGTTTGTTCAGGAAGGTTGCTTGTCGTCCATTTGCATTTGCGAACTCCAAGGCCTTCCAGCAAGGCGCTGAAGTTCATGAAGTATGAAAAATTTCTCGAACTCCATGAACGTTGGTTAGATGAGAATTTTAGCGGGAACTAAAATTATTTTCTCGTTTTCTTCTGTTAAGTTTATTTTAATTTTAGGTTTGTGTTCTATAACTTGTAATGCATCTATGTGAGTTCGCTCTCTCTCAACCATTTTCTCCGATCAGTTTTTTTCTCGTGAATTTGTTTCAGAAACAGCGTCCACCAGCGTGTACCGGTTGTCATGGCAGCACAGATGGCAGCCTCCTAGCAGACTAATTTCAAATTTCCTAGAGAGGCAAAAGAGGTTCATTTTCAGTTTTACACTTGATTTGAATAGGATAGGTACGATAAGTGTTGCGCATGCTCTGTTTTACATGCCCACAAGTTTCGTTTTGATTCAACGTAAATTGTGATTTGACCTGTCATGATGTAAACTTCTCTAGTTTGCTGTGTAGGTCTCAAAGCCACTCCATTTGATCAGTTTCAATGACTCTGAATTGCTCTGCTTCTGCTCCGTCTTTCTCCGTGTTGTGACTGATCAAGAATGATCTTTTTCTCCAGGTTTCAACGTAGATTAAGCCATCATTAAACTTTTGTGGCTATTTAACCTTCAAAGGTAGTCTCTGGTGCCCTACAATGGAGTCCCAGTTTGGAATTGTTGATTATGTGGTCCTCGCGGCGATGCTCACCATCTCATCAAGTATAGGCCTGTACTTCCGATTCAGTGGTGGACGCCAGAAAACTAATTCTGTGAGTAACATTCTCTCAAGCCATTGAATCAGTTACTCGATCACAAATTTTACTCATGTGATGTTTCAGGAATTCATGTATGCTGACGGAAGACTTAGTGCCTTTCCTTTAGCGTGCTCCTTGATGTCAAGCTTCATATCAGCTGTCACCATATTAGGTGTCAGTGCTGAGAATTACTCATATGGAACCATGTTTGTTGTTAATAATGTAGCCTATGCAATTGGCGTACTTATTTCGACATTTTTGTTTGTACCTGTGTATTTTAATGCTGGTGTTAATGGAGCCTATCAGGTTTGCAAACTTTAGCACCTTTTACTTTCAGAGTTCCTTGTGGTTCGTGTCGCCTTCTTACACTCAAAATATGTTTTTTATTTATGTCTTCTGTGCAGTATCTTGACAAAAGATTTGGGAAAGCAACAAGACTAACAGGGTCAGTAGCGTATTCCTTCCAAATGGTTTTGTACATGGGTATGGCTCTTTATGCTCCTGCGTTGGCACTGGAGACAGTTACAGGAATGTCAAAGTTTTATGCCATTTTGGGGGTGGGTCTCATTTGCACATTCTACTCTACAATGGGTGGTTTAAAAGCTGTTGTATTTACAGATGTCTTTCAGGTAATAGACATTTCAAGATGAATCAAAGTATATTAAAATGATTCATTTGTTTTTCTCATTATGATCATATCTCAATTTTCAGTCTTTAATAATGTATGCTGCTGTTATGAGTGTTATAGTAGTGGCATGGATAGAGAAGGGAAGTTTATCAGAAATTTGGCGCATTGCTGAGTCTCATGGTCGCATTGAGTTCAACAAGTAAGTAAACCACCATGTGCCTTTCTGTACAGCTCAGAATAAGACCTCAACTAAATCAAGTGTGTAAAAGTGTTTTTTTATAACCCTCTTTCTTTCTGCCTTGGTATAGTTTCAGTTTGGATCCTACTGTCAGGCACACATGGTGGGGCATTATTCTTGGTGGCACAATCACTAATCTTGCAGTTTATTCAGTTAACCAAGGACAAATCCAACGTTATATATCTGCAGGGTATGTTTGTTTCTAAAAAAACAGTGGTGTCTTGAGACTTGTGCAATATTATAACCCTTACACATTTTTTTAAAATTTCTAGAACGCTGAAAACAGCTCAAAACTCTCTGTTGTTAAACTGGCCGATGTTATCCTGTCTCAGTTTACTTACAAGCTTTGCTGGTCTAGCTATATTCTCTAAGTATGCGAGGTGCGATCCTTTCATGACCTGCAAGATAGATCGATCTGACCAGGTATTGTTTTCCTGAAAAGTTTAGGAAGCTGAGTTAAGTAACCAAACTCTATCCTGTTGTTATTTTTATAGCTCATGCCTTATTTTGTGGTGAACTCCATGCAACATATTCCTGGCTTATCTGGACTGTTTGTTTCTGGGATCTTTAGTGCAGCCTTGAGCACTATATCTGCTGCAATGAACTCAATGGCTGTGGTTACTTTAGAAGATTATATCAAGGTAAATTTTATCATTTGACCCTCCAATATTTTTTTCCTCTGAAATATTTCTTAACTTTGTTTTCAACTTTCAGCCTCTTTACAAAAAAATGAGAGGAAAGAGCTTCCCTGAACATACTAGTTTGTATGCAAAGCTTGTATCTGTCATGTACGGCTTTGTGTGTGTATTTTTTGCATTTATCGCAGACGGCTTAGGAAGTGTTTTACAAGTATCGCTCACAATTTTGGGAGTAGTTGGCGGGCCAACAGTTGGCTTGTTTACTCTTGGGATGGTTTTTCCTACAGCAAACCAGCCTGTAAGTACATGAGTATTTTTTCTTTTCATTATTACAGTGTGGGTTTTGTGAGTGCCAATTACGATTTTATATTTGTTTATAGGGGGCTCTGAGTGGTTTCATCACTTCCCTTTTAATCACATTTTGGCTTGGTTTTGCTGATAAACCTGCTCCCATCAAACTGCCAACTTTTTCTGATGGCTGCCCCGAAACAACATTTGGAAACATGACATTACCTCAGCTGGATTGCTCATCAGCACTTAACACAAAGAGGTAATTAATGACAATGTGCCAATTGAAGAATTCAACGTCATGAGTATCCAATTATTTTGTTTCAGGTCGCCGGATGAATACTTTTACCTGTATCGACTCTCCTATATGTGGCTGAGTGTTTTTGGATTTGTGAGTTGTGTGGTGGTAGGCCTGGTTGTGAGTTGGGTCAGAAACATTTTTGGCAAGAAATCTCTCAAGAGACCTGACCCATCCCTTTTCATACCCCCGGTGGCATTCTACCTGAAAAGGAAATACCAAATAAATGAAAGATTTCTGGAAGAAACAGTAAGTGGCAGTAAGTGGCATACCTTGAGAAACTTTTAATATTTTTTGTCACAGTGTTAGATGATATACTATCAGTTTTGTTTCTTTTTCTTCTCATAGAAAGCTGCCTTTGAAATGAAGGACAAAATAGCAGAAGACAAAACTGACACTGAAGAGTTAAAACCGTGCCTCTCTGTCTCTGCTTGAACTCTGAACTTAATAAGGCACATATTTAGATTGCCTTATTGTTACCTTTTGAGTTTTTATAATTTATTTCTTTTACATTATTTTGTTTGAATGGTTTGTTGGAAAACGTTTGGTAGACTGAGTGTAATTGTTGGTTTTGGAAATTTATTTTATAAGAGGGCTGGTTCCCTATTTCTCTCTTGTTAAGTGTTATTTCTCTCAGCTTCCACCCCTTAAAATGTTTATTGGAGTAAAGAGGCTTCTTTGTTTGGACCCTTTATGAAGTTAAGTCATCTCATTGTATTTGTGATAAATCTACTCATCAGTATTTTTAAATACGTGTGTTCATAACTTTTTACTATTTTTCTATCACTTGAATTCTACTGCAATACAGTACTAGTTTCTCATGATCAAATATTTTCTTAAATAAGCTCTCTGACATTTTTATAGAAATGTGTGTTACTGGTAAGAGGTTGTTGCTCAAAGTTTTTGAAATATTTATTTTTTTGTGGTGCAATAAATACCTATTGATTGTTATACTGCGTATCAATTTTTCCTCTCATTGTGGGACGTGGAAAACGGGGCACAGATCGAACAGTGGCTCCACTCAGCGCGGTAACGGTGCACGTTGCGTCCGAGTGGCCCGAACCGCCCGAACCTTCCCTAACGCGAGACGGGCAAGACCATCCCCATCCCTCTAGGGGCTGGTGCGCGGTGCGCGGGCAGGCCGCGGTGGGGCGGTGGGGGTGGCCGGGCCCCCACCCTCGCTGCTTCCATCCCCGTCCTCGCCCTGCTTGGAGTGGCGTGGCGGTGCGTGGCGGGTGGCGCCCTCAGTCTCTCGAACGCGCTCCCTGCTGCAGGACGGCGCCACGCTGCCGGTCTGAGTCCTTGTCCGCCCGGCGATCGCCACCACGTCAGAGGGAAGTCCCAGCCGGTCCGTTGCCATGCGGGGCGCGCGGGGTCCGCGGCGTAGCCCAGCCTGCCCGTGATCCGAGGATGTACAGGACGGTCCGAGAGGGCGACGCTAGCCTGCAGTACACGATCCTCCCGCAGCGAGACGACGTGCCCCACGTGCTTGTCGACACCATGACCCTCCGGCACGCGGTCAAGCGGCGCGGCCTCCGCTCGTCGTGCTGCGCGTGCGGCCCGTGGGGCCTGCGCTCGCGCCCGCTGCTGTTGCTCGGCGCCGTGCTCGCCCTGGGCTGCTGCGCCGTGCTCGTGGCCGCGCTGCTGCCGGCGCTCGCGTCCGCCTCGGACTTGGAGGCCGCGCTGCAGAACGCCTTCACCCTGGGCGGCGCGGGGCAGACGGCCAGCATCAACCCCAACGTGCACCACCCGGCCGGCAGGCACCACGGCGAGGACGCCGACGAACGCCGCCCGCACCGGCCGCCGCGTCCCGCACGACCCTTCAGCGAGGAGGACGAGGACGACGCCGGCGACGACTACCCGTCCGGCGGCCAGGAAGTGGCCATGGTGTCCGCCCCCGAGCTGCCGCCTCTGCCGCCGGCGGATATTGCCTACAACGCTCCCGTCGCCGCGCGCACCGTGCCCACCGAGCCGCCCTTCAAGTCCTTCAAGGGTACCGCCAAGGCTCGCGACGACCACGATGACGACGAGAACGACGACGATGACGACGACCTGTCCTTCGAGTCGAGGAGCATCGAGGTGGCGGCCAGGCGCATGCACGACGTGAGGCAGAGCGCGGTGCAGCCGAACCCGCCCGGATTGCCGCCGTCGCTCCTGCCGCAGCGGCAGCCCCCCGCCGCCCCCGCCGGGCTCATGCTGGACCCCATGATGCTGGGCGACGCGCCGATGCCGCCGGTGCGCAGCCACCACAAGACCAACAACGGGCTGTACACCAACGAGGACGACCTGGACCACAACATCCTGGACATCCAGCCCCAGCGCTCTGCCCACGCCCGTGCCAGCACGCGGATCTTCGTCGAGGCCCTGCTACCCAGCCTGCCCGGACAAGGAGAGCCGGAGCCGCCGCAGAGGAGGTCCTGGACGCCCTCAGCCAGCTTCTTCCACTGGACGGTAAGGCTTCCCCAGCCTGATGGATTCTCCCCTGCTGAAGCTGTCTCACAGCCACAGATTCGACGTTTCCTTGTCGCTGCTCGGGCGGCCCGCCAGCGAACCGGGCCTGGGCGTCACTCTCACTTTCCCGGTTCGTTAATCAGTAAAAGCTTATTAAACGCCAAGCAAGTTGCCGAAGTGTCGCCGCGCGCACGCCCCGCCGGCCGACGGGCCGAGAAAATGTATGAAGGCAATGGGCCGGTGCCCCCCTTGGTGGCCCACTGTGCCCCCCGCACGGCTGCCATTGCCCGGCATGGACTTACGGCCCTGGAAAAGTAAAAGTTTTAATTGGGCGAGCCAAATTATTGTTTACAAAGTAAACGCCAGTCGTCCTGCTTTCAAAGCCGATGACGGCCCGAGTCAGAGCAGCCGTCGTCTAGAATTTTATCAACGCCCGCGCTCAAAAAATAAAAATATCAAGGTAACACCTCTTAAGTCTGAATTACGGGGGATATTTTGACAAACTCGGGTCCAGGCGGGGAAACTTTTTGCGAGACACAGGAGGGAAGGACTCCACACCGAGGGCCCGGGGAATACCCTGGCCGCGGGAGGAGACATACAGAAACCTGAAGGTTGCGCGTTCAGGGTTAGCAAGCCGCGCTGGGTTCAAAGACTATTTTTCAAATACCGCATAACTGCACTGGAACGCATCCCAACCCTCTCCGCCAGGATGATAAATCCGCGCAGAGTTCTCCAACGCCATGAAAGTCTAAGAGAAACGTTGGCACGCGGCGCCGCGACGCGCGCGACTCCCCCAGCGTCTGGCTTTGGCTTTGACAGAAGTGGCATCCTCACAGTGGCGCCGCTGCCGACGACGATGTCGCTTGCACACAGCGCAGCGACGCCGCCTGCGAGGCAGGCAACGTGTTAGGCAACCACCGCCCTCCATTGTCGCCGTCGTCGTCTGCCTCAAGGAGGCCGTATCAATCTATTATGAGCCCTCCTAGACACCCTCCCCTTCCTTTCTCGTCAGCTCTCTTGATTTCCGCCGTTCTTCCGCCCTCGCTCCCCCCAGGACGTCATGTCGTATTTCATGCAGACGCTCTTCTTCTTTCGCAAATCCTTCATCAGTTTTTTTTCCACCTGGCTCCCTTTTTAGGTCAAGCGTATCAAAGCTTGAGCTATTACTCGCAAAATGTGCGAGGCTGTGTGTACAGTTTGGTCAGAGGCCTAGGTTTGGGAACTGTGGAGGCTGGGGAGGCCCGGGCTGAGGCAATGTACACTGCTCAGAAACATACTAAAACGGAATATATATATAGGGGGGGCCTGAGCGTCGCCGTGGCCGTGGCCGTGGCCGTTTTTCGACTTCAGGCCTACCAGGGTAACAAGAAAGCTGAGGAGGTCGACAGTTCCTTTTGATGCAGCCTGCACCATATATGCCCTCCTTCGGACCGCGGCCTGCGTGACCCCTCCGGCCCCTCCCGCGCACAGCGGCGCGCGGCGCGACAGGCCCGACGCCCCCCTCCCCCTCCCCCTCGGCCGCGCCGCCGCGGCCCCTGTTCGAGCCGTCATAAACGGCGCTCAGCGGGTCCCCAATTTTTACGGCCGTCAATATGGAAGGCTTCAGTCTTCGCGATGCATTTTGTACGCAACCACACCAATTGTTTTTAGAGTGTGACAGGCCAATAGCTCATGATGAGACGGCAATTTTGATACCAAGCAACACAAAAATGTGACGGTAGGGAAGATTCAGCCTGCGTTCTGCGCGCAATCACGGGCATCAGTTCGCAAGTGAAACAAAACCGCGGCCACAGCTAGGCCGAAACAGAGCCCGGCGCCTCCCGGCCAACGCCACCAGGACCGCGGCCGCGCACACCTAAGCTTGACCTGGCCCTGAGCTGAAGCAAAGCTCTCAGCAGAGGTTTTTTTTGTCACTTACCGTCGCTCCAGGCTCGGGCTCCACCAGCCGTAAGCTGTGAAATAAATTCTTTTTCGGAGGGAAGGGCATCTCCAAATCTGCTATGAACACCTGGCCGGTAAAGGCTATGCGCCTGGCATCGTCTTAGGCGGAGGGTTGCTCTGAACCGCGGTTGTAAAAGCAGGTTTCGGTTTGTGAACCAGTGGGCTGTGCGACCGTGGTGCAGTCACTGCCGCGAGTCGGGGTGCGGGGGAGGGGGAGGGAAAGGTCGTTGTCGATAGTTTAAGCCGTTCTCCTCGCGAGTTGGCGGTTTAGGCCGGCAGGTCCGAGTCAGGAGCAGCAGTTAGGAGCAGTTGCAACCACCAGCCTGGAGCGGGTCGGGTCTGGCCGGGGCTGGGTGGCTGGGCCAGAGCGGCCAGAGCCCACCGTGTTCTCGCAGACATCAACGGAAGAAGCAGGGCCGGGAGGGGAAGGGGGAGGGGCCGGGGGTCGGACCGGGGCTACGCCTTGCTACGCCCTGCTGGGGCCTCGGGCAGCCTCGGGCAGCCTCGGGCGGACCGCGTTGTCCGCGACAGAGGCAGGTGTCGGAAACGGGAAACACGATTCGGATGGCCCCAGATCCCATCCCAGGCTTGGGGCCGGGGCCGAGGCCAGCGGGGCCGGCAGTGAGGCCGAGGCCGTGTCGGCGAGTTGGAAGGCGCGGCCTGGGATTACGAGCCGGTTTAGCTACAATGTGGTCGCCGCGGAGCACGCGGAGCTGCGGCGGTGAGTTACCTTATCGGTCTCGGCCCGGTGACGGCCCTGGCCGGGACGGTCACGGCCTCCGGGACACTCTAGAGGCCGCGTGTGGGCCTCGGGGACGGCCTCGGAGACGGCCTCGGCGACGGCCGGAGACGGCCTCGGCGACGGCCTCGGAGACGGCCTCGGCGACGGCCTCGGAGACGGCCTCGGCCAGCGCGTTATGAGGGTAGCGGCCTGTGGTGGTGCCTGTGGCCGTCCAGAATGCACCACCACGGTGTGGCACCTCCTCGACTCGGCCAACCCTCATCCCTTCCGCCCCGCCCACCCCGCCCCGCCGCAGAGTGGAGGAGGCTCTCGGGGTGGACGGCGTGCGCGCCGGGGTGTGTCCTAACAGCAATTAAGGAACCGAGAGCTTGGGGTGCAGCACGGCCTGGCCGGGTGCCAGCAAGGGGATGCAGGGCGGGGCGGGGCGGGGCAGGGCGTATCCGGGATTGAGTGAAGTGTGAACACGGCCATCGATGGCTATTTATATCCGGCTGCAGCGCGGTGTTCCTCGCAACCCTGTGTGGACCGCCCGGCTGCGCGGAGGGGTGCATACAAAGGACGCGGAGAAGGGCGGGCGGTATCGAACCCGGGGACGTCGGCTCCGGAGGCAGCAGTGCGTTCGGCCACGGACGCGCTCCTCGGTACCAACAGCGGTGCCGGCCACGGTCCATTGTGGAACCCGCGATGAAAAATGTCAAGGGCAAAGTCGGCTAACTCAACTCTTCGAAACCGGGAAAAAAATCTCATTCAACGAAACTTCAACGAACGCGACCCACTTAGATTAGGCCGAGCTCCTGCAGGCCACGCAGCTGCACACCGCAGGCAAGGCAGCCCATCGTGCTCGCTCACTGACTGCCCTCCCCGGACACAAAGTAGCAACAGCGCCTTGCGCTTTGTTTGGACTTTTGCTTTTTCGCGCCAGATCGGTCGCGCTGTCCGTCCGCACTTTCCCCGCGTCCGTCCGTCTGCCCAATACCGTCTCAAGGTCAGGGCAGGGCCCGTTTTGGCCAAGCCGTCGGACGGCGGCCAGTGGCCAGTCAGTCGGGTCACGCGGCGAGAGTGCGTGTGTCACTTCGAGTTGTCACTCCTAGTGTTGATAGGCCACTAGGCCGTTGGCATTGCCACCGCGGGTCATACCGAAATCCATCCCACCACTGTTTGGTCAAACCTGAACAGCAAGGAAATCAACTTAGCAAACTGCACGATCTCGCGAAATCCTTGGTTTCCTACCCTTTCCTCGTTTCGTTGTTTTTGTTTTTGGGGGTGGAGCACAAATACCCCACGACATCTCGCAAGTGCCCGCGCCCGCGTACAAGCTCAGTGGGGCTGGCTAGGAGGGTCATCGAGACGGTGCTCGGAAGCGGCCCTCTGGCATTGCGAGAGACTCTGAAGAGGCAACTCGCTCGCTTGCCCTCGCTAGACTTAACCTCATTGGGGAACTCGCTAGGCGCAGACGAGCAAGTACGACTTAGTCGACAAGAAGCTGGCTAGAGGCCCACTGGAAGTTTGGAGGCTCAACTGGAGCCAGGCACGCCTGACCTTTACACCCGAGGAGTCGCCACAGTCCCTAAAGGCTTGCCAGAGCAAGCGCCGACCCAGGCAAGGTGCACCAGGGATGAGTGAGCCACCCTCAGAAACAGAAACAAAGGAACGAGAAGAGGGCAGGAAAACAGGGATTCCGCAAGATCGTGCAGTTTGCGAAGTTGATTTCCTTACTGTTCAGGTTTGACCAAACAGTGGTGGGGTGGATTTCGGTATGACCCGCGGTGGCAATGCCAACGGCCTAGTGGCCTATCAACACTAGGAGTGTCAACTCGAAGTGACACACGCACTCTCGCCGCGTGACCCGACTGACTGGCCACTGGCCGCCGTCCGACGGCTTGGCCAGAACGGGCCGGCCCTGACCTTGAGACGGTATTGGGCAGACGGACGACGCACTGCAGTCCGTCACTGCGCCCTACCGAGCCGAGGTTCGATCCCCGTCGACCAACGAAAAATTTCCCGATTAACGGGACGCGGCGTGTGAGGAGGGGACAGCTGCGCGACGGACGCTGCGCGGATCAGCGTTGCAGCCAACAACGGCACACTCACGCTGACGCCCCTCAGAAACTATGCAGTCAAATAAACGTGGGACGGGGGGCGATGTGAGGATACGTCCCCGCCGTGCAAGGCCTAACTGGCGCCCGGGACTGGCCCCGCGAGCGGACGGCAGCGCAACGCGCGCAGCGCACTCTTGCGGCAGCTGGCGGAACCACGTCGGGTCGGGCGGTGACAAAGGCGCCAAAGTCTTTTCTGTGGAGACCATCTAATTCAGGCTTATTTCCTGTCGTTTTCAGTAAGGAATCGTCACAGAGTCTGCCATTTCAATTACTGTGAGGGCAAGACCTAGCGGGTGATGGTATTTAAGGGCTTAACGGGCTTAACGACTGGAATACACCGCATGCTCTATATTCCAGTCAACCATAGCCTTGGCTGCTTCAAGTCAAATTTCTTGAAACAAGCCAAAACGGAACAATGCCATTTTAGACTACTCATGGACTTGTTTTAAGTCCGAAATGACTTGACCCACGACAAGACGAAACAAGGCTATATCTGACCGCGCTCGGGGCGCCGCGGCGGAGCAAGCCACAGCCCAGCTCGCGCCTACACTGCCCAGCTCGCTTAGGTCTATGTATTTTATTGGGCTATCTATTTCATTTCATACACAATTATAAATAATCCCGAACTACTACCTAGAAGAAAACCAAACAAGTATCATCTGCAATCATTAACGTTCGTTGAATGAGACTTTCGGACTGATTCCGAGAGTTAACGTTCGTTGAATGAGACTTTCGGACTGGTTCCGAGAGTCGTTTTCGACGCTGTGTCTCTCTCGCACCGACGCTGGACGCCCCATGAGTGCGACAGAGACAGAGCGACGAAAACGACTCTCGGAATCAGTCCATGAGTCCATACTTTACCGGCGGCAGACGAAGAGGAGGACGAAGACAAGGGCACGCCAACTTTGGCGGGCGGTCCCGGTGCTGCTGCCGGCTGCCGCTGCTGCTCCTTGCATCTGATGCCGAGCGGGCCGGCGGTAGAGGCCTCCAGAGTGGGAGAAACGCGGGGACCAGAAATGCTACGTGTAATCCCTCATACTAGTCGTTTCCGGCCCCGGGCCAAGGCCCCCACCCTTCCTCCCCCTCTTCCACAGGGCCCCCTCTACCCCGCGACTTAAAGCTATCATATTATTTGAAATCAGAATTGATTATGCACCACTTTTGTACGATATGATTCGGCCGACTTATCAAAGCTCTAAAACACTCATAAGCATGCGAAATTAGGTTTAGAATGCTAAAGTGCGACAAAACCGACGGAAAGTGAGGTTAGGGAGGACAGCGTCTGCTGCTCCCCCTTCTCCCCCCGCTTCCCCGCGGGGCCGGAAGTCACGAGTATGAGAGGACCTCTCGGTCAGATGAAGGCGACAGAGTCCGCGTTTCTCCCCCACTGGAGGCCTCTAGCCGGCGGTAGTGAATCCGAGATTGCATGGAAGAGCCTCACGCAGACACACCCACGCACGCACACACACACACACACACACACACACACACACACACACGCTGATAATGGCTTGATGTGTTGTTCCGACGCAGCCTCCGCCCTCCGGCCGGCCCGCGATGCGCGGGACGCGGCAGACCTGCTTCGCGCCCACTTGGAAGCGGCTTCGATTCGAAAAAGCGGCGCCCTAAGCGGAAACCGCGCAGCCAAGGCAGCCAATCATAAGCGGCTGTCTTAAGGTAGGGTGATAGGTAACTTCGCTGGGCGGCAGAGTCATGAAATTTGAACCAGGTAACCGTAGAGGTCCTACGAGGCGTTGTTTAAAATATGAAACGATATCTGTGACTAACTTTCTAGCTGCATGGGCCTCCATGCCCTTGGCACTGCCATAATAATTTAGCCTACAATCATGTGTGGATGGGTCGTTGCCTGCGTCACAAGATGCACATTTTCTGTTACATTGTTGATAATCTAACACTTTGCCACTTAAATTACTAACAAGGGCCCCATACCCATTCAAACTGTCATAGTTTCTTCCTGAGCCCCTCTTGCTCCAACCCATGTCGTAAGACACCATCACTCTCACAACTTGGTCGAAGGTGGCTCCCCACAGGTATTAACTCCCTGTGGCGGTGGCATAATGAAATCTTCTTGAAGATGTTCAGGCCTGAATGTGATAAATAAATACATGTTGTGAGTATTCGGGAGTACAACAAATGATCACTCAATGGGTCAGTGTATTTGTTTTATTAAATAAAACAAAACAACAACAGATCCATAAGTATCGTCCAATTTTTAAAAAAAATAACCAATCAAAATAACAATGTTTAGCTTAACACAACAATAGAGCATTTAAAAATGTCAACAATAATATCACAGTTTGGGTTCTCTACAACATAAAAATATGTTGTTGCGGTGACTAGATAAATTTACTCGTAACGAGGAAAAATATCACAGTGGCATCACTATCGTTCAAAAAAATTGGTATGTATAGTTATAAGAAAGTACGGGTCTCTTGTCCACCGCAGTCCCATGTACTGGCATGACATAACCACTGCTCTCATTGAAATGTCAATGCTAACACTGCAATATGATTATCTTACAGGATTTGTTCAATGCTGGTCTTGTTCTGGATGGTGAGCTCCCTCTCCTCTTTTGCAGCCTGCTCGCAACTCTCCTTGGCAACCTTCTCGATGTTTGGACACCCCTTCCGCTCATAGCTCTTGAAAGTTGCGAAAGTCATGTTGGGCATGTTTATCTTTGCAAATATCTTGTCAATATGGGCGTAATTGCACCCAGAACTGCTGATAGCTAAACACAAAAAAGATAAACAAAAATTAGTACAGTACAAGAAATGGGGTTATGTTCCCCACAGCTCACACTCAAACACTCACCCATGGCAGCCTTCTCGAAGAGTGTTGTGCGTCCTCCTTTCCCAGCATGCTGTTTGCACTCTTCCTTTTTCGAGATTCTTTAACTGCGTCTGATAGGCAGAGTATTGGCTTGCCGTGCAAATTCTTCCCTTAATTCTGTACATTTTTACAAAACACTGATGCACGAAGCGTGGAGACGCCGCCAAATGATGTAAACAAACATGGCGGACGGGTCGTGTCTGAGGCAGGGCTACCACTTGCGGCGTTGCCGATGTTCACGACCAAAAAAATAGTCCGAGACCGCGGCACAACGGGTACTTTCCCTGACGACATGGAATAATAGTACATTTCTTGCCACGGAAGGCACAACTTTCGTTGCCTTTCCAGTAGTTGACCTAAAGGCGGCCAACAAACACCAACCCATTGCTTACTTTTTATTATTTCACGTTGGCAAGGAAAATCGTAAAGTCACATCCAAAAGTGTTTTCTGTGCGAACCCTGCACCTTCAAATTATTGTAAAAAGTGTTAAAAATTGTTGTTGGGGTCTGATCTGAGCCCATTTATTCCTATTTGCCTATTCCCCATGTCACACGGACTATAAAAACCCCTGGAGAACTGCCTGTGTAGTTTGAAGCCGAGTGCACTGTCTGCAGGGAGAGCGGTCGTTCGACCGGAGGCCTCACCGATGCACAAACACACAAACACACGCGGTCACACGGCACTGTCACTACACTCGACACTCGCGGCATGGAGAATAGATTCTCCATGCTCGCGGCGGGCTCCACACGGCGGCACAACAAAGGGCAGCGAGCGCGCCAACGGAAGACCCGGACGAACACAACCGCTCGGCGCGGCGTTCCCGCCAGACCCCTAGTGCACCGTCCCGCCACCAGAGCGCGCTCAACCCGCCGCTCCCCGGCCAACTTCCTACCGCCTAAAGAAAGCACCTATTTTTCCTTGAAATTAAAAACGATGTACTAGGCCCAAACCCCAAAGTTTTTGTCTTGAAACCCTAGAAATAATTGGGGAGGCGAGAAGAAGAACAAAAGGCGAGCGGGTCACTTCCGCTTGGGTCACAACAAACAGACAACAGAGGATTTAAAAATCGCCGAAAATCATTTTTTGTCAGTTAAACGGCATTTTTAAGCCAGCCAGCCACACGCACCAGGCTGCCCCGGCCGCCAGCCCTTATTATATTGTTAGGATACGGACTTGGTTTCTGGACTCTCGAGTAAAAGCTAGCTGACACCTTTATGTGTCTTGTAGTTAGTTTTAGGCATGTTTTTAAGTAAAGGTATCATCTGCTAAAAAAGTTTCTAAATGGAGTTGGTCGAAATGGGGCAAATGGACTGGGGCTTTATGTATTGGAAAGGCCCGTAGGTGGCGGTGCCGCGCGTCCACAAGGGGAAGTGTCAACCGGCGCAAACTTTCTGGGAACGAATGAATGCCATTATGGCAGTGGGAGGCAGTGGGTCTGTTTGGTCTCGGTCAGCCCCCGGCGGTCCCCGGGCAGCCCCAGGCTGAAATGTTTCCGGCTCGGGGACCGCCGCGCCGCGCCCCGCGCGAGCCTCGCGCCTCCAGTGGCGCCGCCTGCCGCCACCGCCACCGGGTACGGAAAAAAGGAGCCGTGGCGTCGCCGTGGCGTCGCCGTGCCAGATTGATGCGGCCCATTACGCGTCAAATGCGCATTTACCGGCGCGAGGCTAGGCTGCCTAGGCCGGTCGGGAGGATGGCAGCGCGGAGCACAGCGGAGCACCAGCCCCTGCAGACTGATTCCGTGAGTCGTTTTCGTTGCTCTGTCTCTCTCGCACTTAAACG